GAAAATTTGATAAAATTCAAAAAATTTGATTATTTGATAAAATAAAAATAAAAAAAGTGAAAATGAATATTAGAGAATTTTATTAATAAGGCAGATGAATTTACAATGGATTAAAAAATTCAATTCAATTCGTCGTTAAATATTTAAATAAACAAATTTTGTGGGCGAATATGCAAATAAAAGATGGGAAAGTTTGAAATTTTTAAGCATATTTTTCGAAGAAATAATTCCATTTATCGCGAAAATATTTAATATTTTTAATGAAATTCGCAATTTAGCATCGAATTTTATTGTTAAGTTTGTAAAATTTCCAACACTTTTATAGTTTTGTTCAAAAGAAATAAGCGAAATTATTGTTGCCATTTTTATTTTAAACGGTTCTGCTCACTAGCCTGAGGCGTTTATTACTCAATCCGTTCCTAATGCTGCTAAATAATTTTAATCCCCTTTGTTTATTACTATATAAACAATAACATATTATACGATTCGAAATTTAAAACAAGCGTGTTAACATAAAAATTTCAGAAATTTCAGTGGCAATATTAGATGATAATATTATCAGTAAATAAGCCTGTTTCGATCGGTACCACTCTCGCAACGGAAGTTTTTATGAAATTTACTATTACAAGAATTATCCTCCCAAAAATTTGAAGGCGTTTATTTGCCTTCTAGCGGCGTAAAGAATATACACATGTCGATGTAGTAATTTGAATAAGTGAGGCGAAATGCATAGCGCAATGGAGCGAAGAGAAATTTCAGTTAAGGCCATGAAAATGAATTCCTTTCGAGGCCAGAAAAGTTTAAATCCATGAACCATTACTTAACTAATTCGATCAAATCTTTAACGAAAACCTCGAAAACGCACCGATTTCACCCCAATCGAACCTCAACCGCCAGTTTCAGATTTGTGGCCCTCAGTGCAGATTCTTGTGATACGTTCAACTCGAATAAAGTGAAGTGAAGTTAAACTAAACATTTTATACAGAAAAGGATTAAACAAAGCAAAAAAACGCTAAAAAATTTTTTACAGTCGCACTAAAATAGATTATAAAAAATGTCCTTGTTTAATAGTAAACGTATAAAAATTATTGGTGCAGATTTTTGTAGAAAAATTTGCTACCGCATAATTTCATTCATTCGAGGGGAACAAATTGCCCGGCGATCTAACTTCGTTTATCTTCATGGATTTCTGGAATGATTGAAAGAATTTTATTCGCAGAATTATTTGACTGCTTCATTGGCCTTTTCGCGAGGATTAATAGGAATAAATGGGTTTCAGCAATAAATTTGCCGATGCAAAATGCTGAAACGCTTTGATATCTCTTCTTGGACTGCATGCCTTTCCTGGCATTTGCTGTCAATAAAAAATCCGCTAAAATATCTTTCATATAAATCGCCAGTGGAATAAATCTGAAACAATGAGTATACCAAACATTTCGTTAATTATTTATTTTAGAAATAGTATTTTTATTGCAAAAAATAGTTTTTAAGCATTAAATAAGTAGACTTTAAGCATTAAGTAAAAAATACTGAAAAACTGGTACCGAGAAAAACTGGTACTGAGGGAAACGTTTGCATTTTTGTTTCGGAATATATTTGATTTTCTTTTTAGAATTTATTTAAATTTGCTTAAATTTGTAAGAACTTTCTTTAAGTATTTAACAATTGGCTGGCTTTGGCTCTTTGAATAATCGAGCCAAGCAGCTCGCCAAATGGCTTTATAAGCCAAGAGAACGAAAAATATTGGCTATGTAACCTTTTTTAAACCTTTCACTTGGCTATAAAGGCTAGTTGAATAGCACTTTTGAGTTGCCAGCAGGCTTATGATCGACAGAAAAAGAGAAGCGAACCCATAATCCCCATCCACTACTTAGAACATGACAAACTTCTGCAAAGTGGTCTAAAACGATAATGAACAATGAAAGTCGCCCCAGGCAAAGTACGGGAAAGCTGTTGTAAGAATCCTCACAAAGCTATCGCTACGTGTAGCTAGCGAATAATCAACCATTTATACGGTTAGTTTTTTGTGACGCTTGAATGCGAATGCTTATCTCTCATGAAAAGCCTCATGAAAATTCTCGGGAATTTGGGTTATTCTAGAAGAGTTAAAAAGGGAAAAAAAGCTTTAGTACAGTTTGGTTTTTGTACAACATAGGGTAGTATTAGTATTAGGGTAGTATTAATGAACAACAATATTCAAAGGTTAATGATTCGTGGAATAGAAAAGAGAAGCTAAAATAAATAAGCAGACTTCACTTGGAGGGTGAAGGGGCAGCAAAAATAGATATCAGTTGAGTGAACACGATCGCTGATCATTCATGGCTTCTGCGAAATAATTGCTGACGAGAGAAATTATCAAAACTGATCGGAAATTAGTAATATAACTCAAAATTTCTTGAACAAAGGACTCTTCACAACGATCTTCCTTTTTTTCTGTAAAGATTCATATCTCTTATCTAAAAAAAAAAACTACCTTATTCACAAATATCAGTTGTAAAACAGCGGCACCCTTAAAAAATTTCTCTGCAATTTTCTCTTGTATAAAAAAAAAAAAGTTAATTTTATATGTTTTGTATGTAATTGTTGTCTGCATGATAAAATAATTCGTGGGATGAAATTATGAATTATCTTCCGGTTTGGACCACCATCGTTAAAAAAAGAGGAAGTAGATACAGCTCGGCGAATGCTAATGCAGACGCAGACAAACGTAGTTTGAAGGTATCAACGATAATGAAATAGCTAAATGGAATCTTTATTATGATAAATATGAAAAAACTATGAAAATCGATGAGTTGATCATGGAAATCAGAATTAAGCGAAAATAAAATAGAAACAGCTATAGAAAATTCGAATCTAATTCCAATCAGTTCCATAATTCCAAGAAGAAAATCGAAATACGGAAACCATGTGCAATGGTACTCGAGCATCGACGAGAAGGACGTGAATAAAGCTTTCCCTTCTGATGCATCGCGTCAAAAACAAGACAACTTTCACAATATTTCCAGTTGCTGATTAGCAAAATTATGTCATTATTGTATGGTGAGTATTGTCCATGACCCATCATTGTATTTAGTGACAGGGATTAGGAGAAAACAAGGATTTTGATAGTACATTTGGGAACAATACCGGGTTTCTTCCATTAATTCCATCTCATGCATAATTCTGTTATTTGCTCAATGGCTTCAATGTTCAAGTGATGGCTTTGGTTTGTTTCCTTATTCGTCTTCTCTTAATATTTCATGCTTTATGATTTCTTCTTTTATCACTTTTATCACTTTTCATCAATCTTATGTTTTTTTATATTTATATTTTATGCTTTATAATTGCTACGTTTATTGTCCATAAAGTTTGCATAGATATTGGTTATTGTTTAAAAATGAAATGGAATCAATTAAAAATATCTTTTTATATTTTTTTAAATTTGCATTCGTTATTTAGTTCATATGTGTACATTATGTGTAAAAATACGATTGGAACGGCAAACAATAAGCAGAAAAGGGTACCACAAAGGCTTAGGTAAGATAGCCTTTAGATAGCCTTAGAGGGAATCACCCACGGTTTACCCCATCGAGCCGCGTCAAACACTCACATTTTCAATAATTATCCGAGAGGATGCTTTATTTTAGTTCTACAAATTCATACTCAAATTTATTTATTATTTCACTAGTAACTTAAAAGTGATAATAATAATTAACTTATAAGTAACGTATAAGTAAAAACTTTGATGGTAGAATTGCTTATTGCAAAATTTATTGTTAAAACAAAACGAATTGCATTAATACGCGTTACAATAATAATAATGAAAATGATTGTAAATTTGAAGGAAAAAAGACTATGGTTGGTCTTCTATATGTAATTCCCCCTTTTCTTCCTCCACTCCCTCTCTTCCCCTCCCCCTCCCCCCCCCCCCCCTCGTCCTTCCATTTCCAAAAATTTCATAAAAAATTCTTTTATCAATCGCATAATTTTCGTTCTAATGTAACCTGAAAACTCTTTGTTTATTAGCCAAATGAGCTAACTAAACCACAAACGGTGAACGTTAACCACTTATCCGACTGATATTTATTTTTACATTCATTTATATTTTGAACATATTCGGTTAAATTTTGAAATATTTTAGATATATTTTAAATTGCTTTAAACGCTAATAGTAACTTAAATTAGGATGAAAAACTGTGTCGATCGCTCCAACCTTTCTTCAAATGAAGATTCCATTAAAATGCGAAATTTCTTGCATTAAAATCATTATATTAAACGGTGGTTTATTGGCAAATTTTTTGTAAAATGAAATTGGCATCGCGCTTAAAATAAAAACAGAACAAGTGAAGCATAAATAAACCAATTTACTAAAAGCTATTTTGATGAAAGCCTATGAATAAAAAAATTAAATAGCTTTGAACAGTTCAAGTATTTATTAGCAATTTTGTTTTCCAAGCTCTCATAAGTAAAACTAAAAAAGTAAGCGATTAATATTGACCATTTTTGGTTAAGCTAGCTCTGCTCGCAGTACCACGTGAAATTTTTATTAGAGAAAGCAGTACAGGTGAATCGCCAGCATTACTCAGGTATGGTTTTTTCCTGTCCAGCCGAAACAGTCAATATCTACCCAGCTGTCCTACTTTTCCAGCAGATGATCAAGTGGACTGAAGTAAAATATTGTGATTTCGATTCCCATTCCTTGATGGAAGTAAATTTACCACTAAAATTGAAAGACGTTATTATTCCTAATTGTCTCACTGGTTTCATCGTAATATTAAGCCAGTCGAATCAGAAATAGTGGAATAGAAAAGGTTCTACCATTACTTTTGGTTCATTTTCTAGATAATGAACAAGTTATTTCCTTTTTCTATTATCATCTATGAAATTAATTGTCAAAAAAATTAATTGTCAAAAAATCATTGACATAAGAAATTACCTGTTAATAAAAAAATTATTACCCAGTCCAATAATTTATAAGATTTGATAAACTAAACAGCTTAGCCTCAATCTAGGCCCCAAAATTATTTTTCATCGCAATTAACTTCAGTCCATGTCTGACCATGATGCAAAACGATAAAATCATTAACATTCAAACCAGCTTTTTTAACTTCATCTCGTAAAAGATCAGCAGGTTCTAAATATGCCTGAAAATAAATCTGAATATTTTCAGCAAAAATAATGGTAAATAGAGAAGAAATAAGAAAAAGAGGAATCCAATGAATTTTACCTCAGTTGATCCCATTGCATAGGTTCCCCAATGGATTCCAATTGATTTCTTCGATCCAATATCTTTATGAATTTGTACAGCTTCAGCAGGATCAATGTGTTGAGGTTTCATAAACCATCTTTAACTTATATTTTGAACTTATACTAATTAAAAATACAAAAATTCAACAAAATATATCAATTTACCACTGATTATTTTTACTATTTAGTTATTACCAGTAGTTTAGTTAATATTTATTCCAATAAATATTTCTTGTTCTACTGACAATAAAACGAAATTTATAAATTTCGTAGCGAATTTGAAGAGTTTATTATTCAAAATAATTATTTCAATATATTGAGAAAAAGACCTAGGAGAATAACAACCGATCGGCAAGGTGGCAAGATCAATTTGGCCAAAAATTTTTTTTATTTTTCGAAATTCATCGCAATAGCCTGTATCACCTGCGAAATAAAAGCGTTTCGTTGGGCCCACAACTACCCATCCAGACCAAAGTGTCTAAAAAATCAGATAAATCAAGATAAGAACAAGCGAATAGCACATTTAAATAGAAATTATTTAATAGAAATTAAATTATAGAAATAGAAATTATTAATAGAAATTATCATAAAAATAATCTAACCTTGTAACGATCAAATAACCCGCGCTGACTCCAGTGTTGAGCAGGCACACAATGTATATAATATTCACGATCTCCAATTACCAGATTTTTTGATTCACCCCTACCATAAATTTCAAAATCTTTAAGATATTCATGAAAGTTTCTTTGAAAAGACCAATTCATAAAAAATATCAGTTCACTGGAAAACAAATCGTATATAACCATACACACCACAAAAAATGCAAGGCAGAGAAGAGTGGATGGTGGTTCATATTATGAGAAGAGTTCGATTCCTCCGACAGGGAACCTAAAATGGACCTAAAATGGTTGCAGCCACTTACTTATTTGCAAAAATACATATGAAATAAAATGCCAGGAATACGACCAAGAAAAACAATCCTAAAATCATTTTAAATGTTCGTCTTTAAATAATCGAATCTCTTTCTAGAATAAATCAGAATATATCCTTAACTCTTTTTACATTGGTCATTAAAACTCACTCATTTACGTGTAAAAAACTAATTTTTTGAGATTGCCATGGCAAAAAGATTCATGTAAAAATGAAATCCAATTGTAATTGGGGTATCCGAACCGATTTGTTATAAAATAAGAATTGCTTCCATCGAACCAGGCATTACTGCACTAGTTTCATAAAAAGAAGTCAAATAGCACACTGGCTTTATGTTGCACTATTTTTTAATTTTATAGTAAAAAATATAAAAAATAAATGAAATTTTTGGACATGCCTTCTTCATTTTTTACAACCAATAATTCCATATTATATTGCGTTATATTTTATATGCTTAAGTCTCTCAGTGCGACCTAGAGAAAGTAAAAGGTTGGATATCTGTTATAAAATGAATTCAACCTGGAATTCTCTAAATTTCACTCACAAATCACCTACAAAAAAAAAGAATGAAAATCAAAAAAAAATACCAGCTGAGTTCGTGAACATTCTCTACAGGGACATATTTGTGCATATAGGTTTTTAAACCCGACGGGACATACCACTGCATCCTTTTGAATCGTTTATTTAACGACTGAATCGCTTCCGCATCAAAGTGATCATAGTGATTATGTGATATTACAGCAAAATCTAGCTAAATAAAACATAAAAGTATTATTAAAATATTAAAAATAGTAAGAAGCAAAAAATATGTGCAATTTAATAAGTAAAAAAAAATTTTTCTAAAAGCCGAATTTAGAAAAAATCCATTATTCATACGTGCGCTCAGTTTATATAATCAGAAAAACAAATACATCTGGTAAATCGTCGATCGAACATGGCGGCTGACGATATCGCTTCGGACCAAACGTACGAAAAGGTGAAGCAGTATCCGACCAAACAGGATCGGTTATAAAATTAATTCCATCCAAATGTACCAGAACTGTAGCATGTCCTAACCAAGTGCATTGTAAAGACGAATTATTTACATCGAATGATGGTTTATACACGGGTAAAGTTTCATCCAAAACCTTCAAAAAAACAATAATGAAATATTTTTGAAATTATGCGATGCATGGTTCAGTCGCTGCCTCTGATAGTATTCAACTCAAATCATCGCAAGACTTAGTGGTACTGCAGACTTATCTCTACTTTTATCCCCAATATGTCATCCTAATCGCTAGAATACCAAGCCTAATATATAATAGTATTACTGAGGAACTATTCAGGTCAGTGAAAGGAAACAGTGGCAGGAAAATTTATCATCAAATGCTTTTCACAAGCCTATGACCTGAAATCGAATCTCAAAATCATGTTAATTAATTTAACCAGTTTTTGCTCGCAATTTTAAAATCACCATCAAGGCGTTCCATTTTACTGACCTGTTTCGAAGGAGGTCTTCCACTGTTCGGTCCCATCATCCATCCTAGTATCGCCAAAACATTAGGCAAACCCGTCCATCCTACGAATGACGACGGATTTTTGAAATAATTACCGTTATATTCCGGCTTAACAAATAAATTTTCTTCCATTTCCATCTTCCTACAACAAATTTAAAATATTAAAAAAAAAGTAAAGGAAGGTTCAATAATGTACAATAATTTTCGTAGCAATAACCTTCGCTTCAATAATTTTGCAAAGAAATATAACCAGGTTTGAGGAGAATCATAGAAAGCAGTTTAAGATAAATTTGCAGAGAGGAAAAAAATTCAGCGGTGATTTTCAGGAGTACTACGAAAACGACTTCCACAATATAAAAAATATCAAAAAAATATAAGACGGGCCGATATTTCGAAGTTTGCGGTTGCGGCCTATTTGCAGAAGCAAGCACAGAAAAAGGTGCCATATGAACAAATGCAAATAAAAGGGTTAAAATGTTCGAGTTATTTACTTCGAGTCATATTAGATGCTAAATTTTCCAGGGAAGAATAAGTTTTCATAATTTGTGGTTCTTATTGGCGATGATAGGAACAGACGAACTGACTGCGTGACAAGGACATACAGCACGCTAGGCGGGCTTGTTCATTGGACTACTTTTAAACATCGCTTATATCGCTTTTAGATGAGACGCATTGCGGTGACTATTAGAAGGATGAAAACAAGTCGATAACGAAGGGATAGTCTGCAAAATTTTATTTCTATTACATTTTCCAATCATTTTTTTTTATTATTTTGGACGCTAATGTTTCGTAGTAAAGATAAATAATTTTAACAGTTCAATCTTCGAGAATATTTTAGGTCGCAAATTTATATCCATTTTAACAAATGCTTTTACATTAAACAAGTACCACAAAGATATGGCAAACAAGAGAGAAAAGAACTAGGTTATTGTGCTGCAATAATTGAATATCTCGTTTTTTGAAACGATTTTCTGGAGAAATGTTTTTTGGTGGGAAAAATTAAAGTTTTTAAAATTTTTTATGGTTTTTTTTAAATTGAAGGGGTCTCTGAATTGTTTTTTATAACTTTTAGTAGTCATTTAGTGTTATTTATTGCTTATTTTCTGTTTTTTTTGTTATTATTGCATATTAATTTTATTATTTATCACCATTTATTTCTTATTGTTTATCACTTTTATTTTTTATCATTGTTTGTTATTTATTGTTATCACTTATCACTGTTTGTTATTGTTATTATTAACGTTTTTACTATTATTGCTATTATTATTACTAATTATCATTATCATTATTATCACTATTATTATTGTTATTATCGTTATTGCTATTAGTTTTTTTTTTTTTTAAGAGTCCTTACCATTACTGGTCAAACTCGCTCCACTGGCTTGTGGCACTGGACAAATATACCAGGAAGTCCCTTGGCGATAGAAATACAGGCGAGTCGCCAGGGTTTTTGTACAGGTTTACTCCTGCGGGGAATCGAACCTCAATATTGGCGCTCCCCAATTGAGCAACAATCCACTGAGCCATTCTATACATCATTGCTATTTGTGATAATATTATTTGTTGTTTATTTTTTGTTATTTTTATTATTATTGCATATTAATTTTATTATTTATCACCATTTATTGTTTATTGTTTCTTATTGTTTATCACTGTTATTTTTTTATCATTGTTTGTTATTTATTGCTATTACTGATTACTATTTGTTATTGTTATTATTAACGCTTTTACTATTTTATTATTGTTATTGTTGTTATTGCTTTATTATTGTTATTATTGTTTTTATCGTCATTGCTATTAGTGGTAATAAATTTTTCATTTTTTTATTTTTATTGCTATTATTTATTTATTATTATTATTATTATTATTATTATTATTATTATTATTATTATTATGTCCCTATCATTAGTTTCATCTTTTGTTTTTTATTCTTTCCATCATTTTTTATTGTTTTGTTTGATTTTTTATTCTTAAAATTCGAATTTAATATTTATTTTTTTAACAATTAGTTTTAACTATTTGGCGATCGATTTTTCTCAGTTAATTCATAATTTTATCCTAAATTTTTTATTTTTTATTACTTAAAAGGTTTTTTTTTTTGTCAAAAAGCAGTATTGGAAATAATGTTCATTCCACCTTTAATTATCTGGTACTATACTATTATTACTTTATACTGATTTTATAATAATCTGCTTTATACTGATTTTTATTTGAATTTCGAATGTTATTATTAGTTTTTATGAATATTTTGCCGCATATATATTTCCTTACAATCATTACATATCTGCTGCTCGTTACACTTAATGAGCGCCGTTATACTTTTTGGCTCCTAAATGGTTTTTATATTCCGTTGATTTCATTTTTTTAAATTTAAATTGTTTTCATTGCTTTATTTTTATTAATATTTATTTATACAAAGAAGCCAAGCACACATCATTTTGCATATTTTTTCTTTAAATGTCTTTCTTTAGTTTTGTCGAAAGTTGTTCATAGATATGAATAATCTAAGCAGTAATCGATCTGTGGAAATCATGAAGGAGTTTTTTAACAACAGAGATCATGTTGCAACAATAATAAGAGAACGCGACAATTGTTTTATCGGTAAATATTTTCATGTTCATAGATAAGCATGTTTTTTATCATTTGGAAATTTTCTACCTTTTAATGTTTTTTATTTCATTCTATCTTCCTTATTATTACATTTTAATACTTGCACTTTATTACTTTTTAATAAACATATTTAAAGATACTCTGAAACTTTTGGACTTGTTGGATCGTATAAGGCAAAATTGGAAGGATGAAAACCAGAAAAATGAATCTTTGCGAGATCAATTGCTAGCAGCGGAACAAGAATCTGGGTAATTTCATTTTCTTTAACATTTGTACAATAATTTATTATGTCCAGAATGTCCAGAAAAAAAAACCATCTGTATCTTATGTCAAATTTTGTGAAAGTTTTTCTCTATTAGAGAAGTATTAGAGAAGTGGATTCACACAGTACCTCAAATATGATTCCCTTTTAATCCAATCTTATTTCGTTCTAACTTTTTGCTATTTTTTTCAATCACCCCCATATAGCCTTTTAAATTATACCTGTTGTTACTGTTTACACTCCCAAAAATCCCTGGCTCTCTTTAACACTTCACCAGGCGTCTCCCTATTTTAAGCCATAACTTGATAATAATGATCTCTTAAACTCCCTCTTATACTTTCTTAATTCTTTTCCGTTATGGTCCTCTAATCCACTTCTCTAAAATTCCGTGATTTTTCATAAAAAATCATTTTGTTGTGAAATCTTGTTCCATTTGCCATTTTAACTACTATTTTCAAATCTAAAATCCGTGGTTTTTTTATGGAAGAAAATTCTTATACTCTGTCATTTATTCCTTTTTACCTTCCGAAATTCTTCTTTATAGCTACCGTTAGTAACCGTTAGCATTTTCAAACACCACTTTTAATATCACTTATATTGCTCTTCTCTGTCAAACATCTCAGGATAGTTTTGCCTCGATAGCAGTTACAAATATAAAATTGGAAAGGGTGATATGATCAGATGCATCAAAGATTTTACGATTATTGAAGGGTATTAATGGAAAATTATGGAGATTTGGCTATTATTGAATAAACGAACATGATGTAGTTAAAATCTTACTTTATTATTTTTTGTTGTGAATTTTTAGAATGAAATGATCGATTGGTTTATTTAGAAATCTTAAAAAAGAAAATCGTTTATATAAAGAACAACTGCGAGATGCAAGAGCCCAGATTGCCGCACTGATGTCAGAAAAACAAAGTATGGAATTAGATATTTCAGAAATGGAACGTAAATTTCAATTCGTCAGCCAATTGCTGAAGGTTTACCTTTTTTTGAAATTGCTGTGTTTTTTTATGTTTACATTACTTTGTTTTATATTATTTAGCATGCGAATTTTAATGGTGAATATATAAAAGAGAAATCTCTGCAATTTGAATATTTGGCTCCTTATTTCTCTTTCTGGCGCATATTTCTGATTCCACTGACCATTGGAGTAAGGCCTTGAGAAGGGTTGATGAATCCCAGAGTTATCATAATTTTTGATTGCAGCTGTACTGGAGCTAGGTTTTTGTCAAGAAGGCTTATCGATTCTATATTGTTTTACCCTCAATAAATAAATAACATAACATAAACAAAAAAATTTTGCACTTTTTGTAAATATCGATTGAATAATAATTGCTGATAATTGAATAAGCTTTAGGATGATATGACAGATGAAGAAAAAGAAAAATTAGCATTTTTAAAAAATCCGAAATGTTCACAAAAGAAGAAAATAGAATCTCGTCGTGCAACAGGTGCAAGTGCTGAGTTTATTGATTATGATAAGAGCGGCGATTCAGTTGAAACTTGTGAAGAATTAGAGATGTCTCATTTACGTAATGGAAAAATATATAGAAGGTTGTTTTCTGTGATGATCATTGGTAAAAAATAGAACCATTTTTTAATAGTTTTATTTATGTATTTTTAATGAATCTTTATTTTTTGTTCCATTTTTCCAATGGATATTTTTTTTTTAAATGCAGGTCGCATCTTAATGGAGCAAATAACGATGAAACAAAGGTTCCGCGTCCTACCAAACGTAGTAAAAGCAAAATATATGTGAGTAATGTGCCAGAGGAAGTGGTATATTTTATTTTTTTAGGCAAATAACCTCGACGAAATCCATAGTTTTTTTTTAATATTTTCGCTTCTATATATTCATGTCTTTACTATTATTTATTGTTATTTCTGTTATTATATGTAATTATAGGTTTTTATAGAGTACTCCGTGTAAACGATCGAGGAATTCGCGCGAGTTAAATAAAGAAAATGTCACGACTGTTGATCCTCATGCGAAACGTCATTCACGACCAAAAGTAACTGCGAGGCATTCGATAAATCGTTCATTATCCGAATCAAATGTGCTTAATGCAGTATGTTTTAATTATATAAAATTTATTATATAAAATCAAATCCGTTAATTATCCTTGATTTTTCCGGCAAAAATACAAATATAGAGGCTGATTAATCAAATCAGTGGTTTCTAATTTGGGATTGGGACTTAAATAGGCAATATTTTTTTAGATTAATCTTGGAAATATTTTAAAGAAAATTTATTACAGTTTACAATTTCCTTGATATTTTGATTCAAATTTTTGAAAAATACAATTTAATCAATTGAGCAAAATAATTTATAACTTTGAATTTTGCTTTAAATGAATGAAATTAAGAATGAAATCAAAGAAGCTGAACAAAAATTCAATGCTCTTACACCTCGTTCTATAGCAAAAAGTCAGATTGATATGTAAGTTCAACAAATTTGCCGTTAATAGTTTGTTTAAAAGTGAATATAAATAATTTTAATAAAATCCATGATTGAATTCTTTGATATCAGTTTTATTTGTGATCATCTTTTAGCAGAAGTCCGTATGCGCAGGGAAAAAGTTGGATAAACGTTGGAGGAACGATTAATTCTCGGCCTCATTCATTTATTAGTTATAATACAGTTCTTCCAGAAAAATGTGATGTTTGCAATCGTCATATTGCTTTATCTGCATTAACTGCAAAGCCTGCATGTAAATGTACAGGTTAAGCTTTTTTTATTTTTTATTTAATCTGCTTTAAGTAATTATCATTCAAATTGAAAATTTTACTTTTTGTATCAAGTAGTAAATTTTACTTACTTTTTATATCAAGTAGTGTTAGTAAGTAGTTTTATAAAATTGTTCATTTATCGTGCATTTTAGATTGTGGAGTTCGTTTGCATGTGGCATGCAAGGAACATGCACCGATGCCATGCATTCCTCGTACTCCGACCTCACGTACTCCTAGCAAACAACGTCCTCGTTTAAAAGATTTTTGCCCTCCAACGCGGCCGATGATACCCAGTATTATCATTCATTGCGTGGTTGCTTTGGAAAGAGATCGCTTAAATTGTGAAGGAATATATCGTATCCCAGGGTATTTTTTTCATTTAAATTCTTCTTTATCTAAGTTTCTTTTCAGGCTTCTTCAACTTCTTTATTACTATTTTTAATTATTTTTAGGCAGGAATCACAGGTGACCAAACTGCTAAATGATCTGAAAAATTCCCGTGTTTCTCCTAAACTTGAAAATCACTATACTGAAACGATTACAGGCTGTATTAAAAAATTTCTTAAAGAATTGAGGGTTAGTTATATATTACTTTTATATTTATATATATTATATTTATATTAGTATTTAAAGAAAAATAGCTATGTTAGCTATATTATATATTTGTAATTGGTAAAATTACTTTTAATATTAAAGAAATCCTTAAACAAAAGTATTATTTAGGATCCAGTGATTCCAACTAGTTCTTGGGAGGAATTTGTGCGAGCTGCTGACACCAATGATATTGAAGCACTCAATAATTTCATTATGGATTTGCCAATTCCGAATCGTGACACACTCGCTTATTTGTGTTCACATTTCCAAAAAGTTTTTTTTAATTGTTAAGTTTGAGTTTTATGTAAAATTAAAAAACTTTTGATGCCTAAAGAAATTCGAATAATGGGCTGAAACTGAAATTATGATACATTATTGCAAAAAAAATAAAGTTTAAAAAAACCACATCACAATAAATAATATTGATATCTAATGATATTAATAATCATATATTAATATTAATAATCTGTTAGTAATATTTATATTAATATTATGATTAATATTAATATCTATTAATATTAATGTTTCATGAAGATAAGTTTAAGATATGCGAAAATAGTAGTCGTAATAAGATGACAGCAAAGGTTCTTGCTCGTAGTGTGGCGCCAACAATTGTTGGTCATGCACCTCCTCGTTCCATGAATTTCGCCCAAGGTAACGAAGAGGCAAAGAAACAGGTAATTAATTATTTTTTGTTTTCTTATTTTATTATATAATTTTATCTCTTTTTTCGATTTTTTCGACTTTGATGGAATAATTGAATAATTATCTGTTGAATAATTAATAAATAACAAAAATTTATAAAATTTATAAATCTATGATAAAATATTAACACAATATTAAATCTTCTATCTTTTGCCGTTATCTGTGTTATTTTTCTAGGTTAATGTAATGTTAGCTCTTCTTCAAATGCCACCTGGCTATTGGACGAATTTTTATGAATCGAATGAGCCTTCTCGACCGTTCCACAGCAATCATCAAGCGTAATTATTTTCTTTTTTGATATGAAATGAATAGAATGTATGTTTAATAAAATAATATTTTTGTGATATACTGGTGCATTTTTGAAAGACGCATAATTTAATATTGCAGGAATACCCCTATATCGTCAAGTCGTCCAGTTTTTGAAAGAACTCCAGGAAGAACACCACTAGCTCCAATTATTTCTCTTCCAGGTGACACATCGATCTTAGGTCCATTGGGGACACCACCTGCCAGTTCGTCGAAGTTATTGCACCACGTTTCTCGTCGCGGGAATATGTTCGAAAATTTATTCTGAAGCTAAAATTTTAATTTGATAGCTTCATTTAATAAATTTGATGACATACACCTTTTGAATTTTTCCCTTCCATCTCAATTAGCATTTTCCTATAAAATCTTTATCTTTTTTATGTCATCATTTGCCAGTTTTTTTTTTTTGTTTTCAAATTGATTTAATTGATCAAATTGTAAATATTGGACCAAAATTTGAGAAATTTCGGAAATTCAGAATACGAGGAAAACGTCTTATAGCGTCAAATTGCTTTAGCAAATTAGCTTTCTGGTTCTGCGGTACTTTCTTGTGCGTTTATCAAAAGATTTCTGAATTAATAGCTGGTTTCAGCATCTTTTCCAGTGTTTTTGAGGTTTAGCTGGAAATTATTTCTTTATAGTAATAAATGATTTCTTTCAGTTTGAATTCAATTTTAATTTCTTCGATAATTTCACTGGCTTTGTATATTTTTACTTAAAGGCGCGTCGAAATTTATGCCAACAGTATTCAATCATTTTCCAGTATTCATTTTGAATCCTTTTTTTGCCCTTTCTCAAGCGAGGATTTTTGGCGTATCAAATTTTTTTAATATCTGTAATATTACTTTCTGCAGATAAAATCGATTTCTTTTGCTTTTTGTACTATATGTTTTAGCAATTTTTTGATTTTAGAGCTGGAAATTATGAAATTATAAAGTGGCCTGGAAAGCAAAAGGGTATAAACTTAAAAAAAATTTTGGAAAATGGATGATTTTTTAGCATTTAATATTCAATTAATTGGAGAATTTCAAACAGGTGGCATTTCATTATTTCGCATATTAGTCTTTTTTGTAAAGAGCGCAATTACATTTTTAAAAAAAATGACCATTAATTAGTAAGCATTTTAATATTATAACAAGGAAAAAAAATATTGATTTAAATATTAATATTAATTTTTTTTAAATATAATTATTAATTTGTTTTATTAATTTCTTTTCTAAAAGTGCCAACATTTCTGGTTTGATTCATTCCCTAGATAAATTTTGTCAAGGAATTAGGAAATAGAAATGGGTCATCAACATCAATCAGCTTCTGAAAAGCTATTCTTGCCAGCGATAGAACCACAGCATCAACGCTAAGAAATAAGAATTCATGATATTCCCACTCATTTAATTTAGTAAAAATTGATAAAATAGTTAAAATATTTTATTCATTTCAAGGAAAAATAAAAAATTATTTTAAAAATATATTTTCAAAAACAAAAAATATAGTGGCTTTAATGGTTGATTTTATTGTACTTTTGGATATTGATTTGAATGGATGTACTTCATCGATAATAATTATTGGATTAAATTAAATAGAGATATAGTTATTAGTGTAGTTTTAAGAATAAACTTGGTAAGGTTATTCCCAAAGTCATCTAAAGTTGCCGTCTCAGTTTCATTTTTTAATTATCATTTTGGTTCTTGTTCCGCCATTTTTACTGTTTTATATTACTTATTACAAGTGCGTGGCATTTCTCAGCTTTGTTTGTTAGTTTTCAAGAAATTTGTAGACATTTTTTTTTATTATTAACATTAACAAATTTATTTGATTAATAGTAATTGCATTATAAAAATCGTGTTAAAATAATTTCAATTCTAATGAATTTCTTGGATTTTAATTCTTAAAATTTTTTTGTTGATGCGACATTCTTTGCAACTGGAAAACTGTGAAAAAAACTGCGGAATTCAAAAAAAAAAAGCAACAGTGAATAAATAATTCAGAGCGGTTGATTATTAAGAAACGATTTTAGAAGAAGAAGCATTGCGTCGCCTTTATTGCTACAAAGATAATCGCCACCCTAAAACGATCTCTTAATTAATTACGGGAAATATGGAGGAATAAAAAATGGGCGATGGAGAAAAATGTTGGATTTTACGGAAAAGTTAGAAAACTTTAATTCGAATTGTCTTCATCAATTGTCAAAAATAGGATATTTTCGATAAAAATTTACCATTATTGTCGCCACACTAATACGATCATATTGCGTAATAAAACCTCGAATTAATCCATCTACGTAGAATGGCTTTTTCTTCGAAAACATCTGAAAGAAAAATTTTTGAAAAATCTGAACAGTAGAAGAGTTTATAAAATTGTGTTGTTGATCGAAAAAACTTGGAAAATTAAGCTATTTAATCTTCATCATTTGCATTCAAATCAGTCTAATTTCCTCGTCAATTTGGTGATAAACGCCATAAAAAAAAGGCAAAAGCCTGAAGAAAAAGTTAATTTACCGAGTTCCCCAGGTCATTACCAAGCCTTTGCGGCGGAATAGGGGAGCGCAATTGCGAATCTCCATTTAGCAAAAGCATCGTCACATTAGAATTTTTCGCTTTTTTTGCCATCGATTCCAAATCGTAGAGAAAGTTTTGTATGTAATTTAATTCTCTGAATTTAATAAACTCATCATCGTTACAAATAAGCCTTAAGAAAACAATGAAAATTTAAAAAAATCTGATTTACTTGCAAACTACCCAATTTGTAGACTCTGGCAAAACGTTAAGTGCAGCTTTGACGTCGTTACGATTGAAATATGTTGTATATTCATTAAAATTGTAGCATTCAGGTTTATCCGTCTAAAAATAGTTCCTTTTGCGTGAAACATTTAAATATGTTAATATATAAATATAATAATTTATAAAATATATTAATTGAAATATATTCGTCATCATTAACAAAACATTTATGATTTAGCATATTAGCATAATCCACGAGGGGTTACTTGAAGAGCACTTCGCCAAGGGAGATTGAAGGAGGAGAGATAGCCATTTTATGGGTTTGAATTTTAAGCGACAAAAAGGCACGAAACCCGTTAAGGAAGGGGAAGTCTGTTTTAATTTGGTCTTAAAGTAAAATTTCTACCCATTACTCTGCTTATAAATTTTTAAAATGTTTAAAGAATTTACTCTGAGATTTCTAACATTTCCCAAATTGTAGATGCTGTTTTTCTTGTGCACTTCATAAAATCTCTCAATTTGATTAATTTGGCATGGTTTGTTGATATCGAATGGATTCAATCCTGATGAACTGCAATGTTTATTGCACTGAATTTTCTCCACAAACGATATTTATAAGTAATATATCTCGATTGCACTACGATCTTATCATAGCTGTTAAGCATTTTGGCTAAGCATTATAACCACGCTTCATTCGTGAAAGGGATAGGAAAGAGGTGAATTGGACACCAAAAGTGAAATCCGATTGGAACGATCTGAATTCATCTATACTTCTATCTCTCAATTGTTTCTGAATTGGCTTACGGGGTAAAGTTTTAATGCATTTAAACCACAATTAAAAAATACTATTAAAAGAAGACGAGAAAATAATCTAAAATCACCGCAAACACTCCCAGTTGAAAATTTTCTAACCAATTTTTCTGCGAAAATTGCGATTGCAATTCTTTTCATCATATTATGCATGAAACTAAACTGAAATTTTTGCCACTTTTTTTTAACGTTTTTTTCCAGCATTGTTTGATAACCATGGACTTTAAGCGACAAAACATTGAACTGTTACTATTAAATCGCTGAAGGCCTACATTAAGTTTGATGTTGCATTTAAAGAAAATGCCGCACAGTCGGTCGTCATTGCGAATAGCGAACAATTATCGATATCGCCACCACAACACTCATTTAAAATATAGCGATAATCACTGCAAATGATAATGATAATGATAATGGTACTCAAAGATTTGCCAAAGGTGGTATTTGAAAAACGATAAATCGCTTAAAATAAAAGTGCTGAACCTTTCATCAATATATCCACGGTTGTACACGTATGTTAATAATGTCGAATAATCGATGCTCCAGTTGACGTGGATACTTAAACCGATTACTCCCTGGAATTTAACGCTATTGAAACGAATTTTATCTCAAATATTGCCCTTTTTCGTTTCATTGGAGATTTATTAAATTGGTTCAAATGTCAAATAAAGAATAAAAGTAAAAGTCTTTGAATTATGAAGAGACGAAATTTTTTGATGAAAATGCGTCATAGATTATTTTAAATACGTTTATGGTAGCATTTTTTGGTGCCTATATTCCCTATTTTTTTCTATTTGTGTCCATATGTGCTTCAATTGACTCAACTGAAACCAATGTATAACATTTATTTATATATATATTTAAGGAATAGAAATGTGAAATAAATCTCAAGCAGCGCTTACTACTTTTAATGGCGACACAAGTTCCTCAAGATGTGAGGAGGACTGAATCGTAGGCGCTCGAATTTACGATCGAAGCCACATATTATTTACTTTCTAAGAAATTAAGGAATATTTTATTTTCCCTCTGAAAAATCTACTCCCATGAGGTGGAGTAATAGTCACCTTTACATTCCATGCGGATAAAAGATTTTTTTCGATAAGTTGCTCAACGAATAAAAGATTGATCCAGCCGGATGAGTCTGATCCAGCCAAATACATATCGTTTGCCTAAAAAGCGGTTTAATAAATTAGTAGAAATTCTCTCCAAGAACAATTTATAATGCAAAAAATATTTCATACTAAGGAATATTAATAAATATTTGGTACAAAAATAAGCGAAAAAGATAAAGAATTCAATGAGAAATAAGTTTATCAATAATAGTTTTACCGTGTATTCAGGAAAAGTTTGACGGAATTTTATTAAAACGGCTTCATAAATATTTATTAAATCCTCATCCATATAGTCCGTTTCATTTTGTCCCAAAGAGTAGCTGAAAATAATTGGAATTACTTTCAAATCTTGTAAAAAGTGTTCAAAAATCTACCATTTACAGTGAAATCCGTGTGATATTGACGACTTCCACTAACTGTGTGTCTCTAATTCTAAAAAAACAGTTTATATCAATATTTTTTTGTTAATATTTAAATATCACTATTTTTTAAAGAAATGAGACGCTACTTACCCAGACCCTCCAGGAACATCAAACACTAATAAATTTGCGGCTTTCGTCCATGAATCTGGATTTATTGTCACAGCTGAACCATTTTTATGAATACGAAAAGGGCCAAATGAAGCAAATAGTGACCAATAATTTGAACAGCCAACCTCATTGACCGTCCATACTATTAACGGTTTACTTTCTGGATTTGTTTCAGCTTTTATTAACCTATAAATTATTATTTATATTTAATTGCTGCAAAAAGTTTCATTAGCAACAAGTGGAATAAATTCTTCAATGAAAATCGCAAGTGTCGCTTGGTTTCTGTCTACAAGTGACTCTCTGGCTTGTCCTTAAAGCCTACTTACAGCCAGTGAAAATAGCCTAAACAGCCGAAATGATGAATGTTAGCCACTTGTTTGCTTAATTTTAATATTTTAAAAAGATTTGTTTAGAATTATTGGAATAATGACTTGTTCTACACTGTATTTTTTTCAATTTAACACTAACAGTTAACAGTTCCTCAATTTATTTATCAGGAAGATTTAATCAGGAGAATGGCAATGAAAATAACAAAAAAAACTAACATATAATGAATTTTTTCATCATTAATATTATTAACATTGACAGTAAAATATCCAGAAAATATTTCGAAATTATTTGGTGGAGCATCGGGCAAAAATACATGTGACTGAGCTGTAATAGATGCGATAATAAAATTTACAACCAGAATGAAAATCATTTTCGGTTATCAATGATAATTTCTGAGATCATAGGTTCTTTTTAAAGAGAATAGAATTAAGAATATGACAATGATAATTTCTGAGATCATAGGTTCTTTTTAAAGAGAATAGAATTAAGAATATGACAACGGTGATAAAAATTTCGAGAATGATAAGAAATTCTCGATTGAAAAAAATAATAGCAATAAGAAAAAATTAGCTTTTAATCTTTAGTGCCTTGAATGACACCATCATAGTTATTGGTTATTGGCACTTTTCATTCTCATTTTGAAAATAGAATTATGAGTAGGTTCCACAATTACATTGGAGTATTGTTTTTAAGACAGGTTTGTTCTTGATAGAAGCGAGAGCCTAACTAATATATTTGAAACGAATATATTTGCACTATATACTTCGATTTAGCCGCTTAAACTCCCACATTTTGATAAAAATGGTCGAATCATTGCTTACTGAGACATCGTTCCTTTACCCTAAACGACTCAGTTTAAATGTTCAATGGTCACCATTCACTTAAGCCAGGCTTTGTTGGCTGTATGTCCAGAAATTTTTGCTTTACACTATTCCTGTCAGAATCAAGGAATAACTCTGATCGTTGACGCAAATTGCAGCAACCATATCACTCCATTCGCGTCAATCATGTCTCCATAGTTAGTGGTTAGTCAAATTAATCAGAAATGTTATGCAGTGATAGAAGTTGAGTTTCACATTTTATGTTACAACTCAGTGGGAAAATTTTTCCGCAATATTTTTCATTTATAGTAACAACAATAATTTGTCATAAAAAGTCCCTCTTTAAAAAAATGACAAGCAAAAATAATAATTCTATCATCGTTTTGCGCTGATAGATGAATTCACAGATAACAGACACGATGCGTATTTGATTTTCGAGAATCTTTCATCTTTTCGAGAATTAAGAATGATCTATAATTTTTTTTCATAAATATTCAATAGTGATAAATGAGAAATTATTTTTTTCTGAAACTGAAATAAAACTGTAAAATTTCAAAGTTTTCAAAAAATTTCATAAATCGCTGTGGTTATCATAAATTTTTTTTTAATATAAGAAAGATATATTTCCGAGCTGAATAAATTGAGGATAGGATGGCTAAGTGGGTTGTTGCTTAATTGAGAGCGCCGATGCTGAGGTTCGATTCCCTGCAAACCTGTACGAAATCCGGGTGATGCTGGCCACTCACCGGTATTTCTGTCGCCAAGGAACTCCCTGGCATATTTGTCTAGTGCGACAACCCAGTGGAGCGAGTTTAACCAGTAATGATGAGGACTTTTAAAAAAAAATATTTCCGATACATTTTTCCGAACAGAAATTTTTAAAGTTTTTACGTGGTATTTATTAAAAACCAGCCAAGCATGGCGAGCGACAAACGCAATATATTAATAACAATTAATAGTGATTAATGATAAAAAAAGAAAAATGATAAAAATTGGCAAAAATTAGCAATATAAAGAGGAAATTATAAAATAAAATATAGTACAATCTAAAGTAACTGTATTATATATAACCCGATGGCAAAAATCGAGATATCACACTTCCTGCATGATCTGAACTTTTTACGTCGAAATCGAGATTTTCATTCATGAATATTCCAAAATTAGAAACCCTACAAATTATATTACCATTAATAAAAAGATTAGGAAAATCGAATTCTTTACAATTGATATGAAAAACGCTATTTTTAAAAAGAAAGAATAATTTCCTGTCATATAGCCAGTTGGCTATTCTGTTGAGGTCCTCGGGTTATCCGCTCTACTATGAGAATAATAAATTTTATAATCATCAGTATAAAGATAAATGGCAGAATTTAATACCACTTTAGTGATATTATATAATAGAAAAAGCAATGGCATATATCAATTATCTTGGAAACGCCAGATTTAACAGGTCTCATTTTAGAAAGAATGTTGTTAACACATGCAGCCTAGTGACGATCTTTTATCTAATCTGATACCCGTTATACAGGTTCCCTGTAATGCCATAACTATTAAGAGTGTTCAATAATTTGCTATGGGAAACGGTATCATAAGCTTTAGCCAAATCTAGGTACACAACTGATACATTGTCAGTTGATGATGACCAGTCGGAAAGGTTTACCAACATTTGTGAAGAAATAGATTTTTTCGAACAAAAGCTATGCTAATAAGAAGATATGAAATTTTTTGTATGATGAGGTGATATGGCAAAAAAATGTTCAAGAGTCATTGCTAATTTCAAAAAACCACAAATTACATAAGTTTAATTCGAATCTGAAGAATCAATTGTTACCAAATGTTTTATAAAAATCTATAAATCTATTTATTTATTATTTATGTTATTTTAAAAATCGCGAAAAACTTTAATAAACCATTAGGCGACTTTCATTTTGAGCGGTTGTTGGTCAAATTATCATCTCGAAAACCAAGTTTCGATAGGAATAGGAATAGGAATCCAAAATTTTGAGTAATGTTAGGCTGCAATCTATATCTCTATTCTTAATTGTGGTCAGGTTATCCCTTGTGAAACTCTTCCACCCTACTAATTGCCTATGAAGCTAACCTCAGTAAAAAAGCATCATTCATTGAAAATACTTGATCTGCATTAGCTTTAAGAGCATAAAGTCATCTCCATTTTTTAACAAAATTTTTCAATTTTTAAAATTTTTCCCTGTGCATTTTTTAAAAATCTTTTTCAGAGTTGGTTCTCTGCACTGAAGTTTAAAATGAAAAGTCTTCGCGATAAAATTACAGGTCATTTCCAACACCATCTAGATTTCATTCATTTCTAACGACAGACTTACTGCTAATGCAAAAACAATATAAAGATCGAAGGTATCGAAGGTAAATAACTTAGTAACGCAATAAATCGCTCAATCGCCATTTTTTAAAATACTTTTGAAACCATTAAATATCAATTTAAAAACGAATCGAAATACGGTACCATATTTTTCCACTTTCAGTTTTTTTCAATGAAACTGTTCCTTACTTTCCTTAAGATTTGCCAATCTTGGTACTTATAAATCTTGTAGTAGTGATGTTTCTTTTGGTATTCTGAAGATGGCTTATTCTAATTTTTTCAATTTTTTTATTATCATAGAATTTTTCAACTAAAAATGTTCACAATATTCTTTGTCAAAAGCAATGATTCAAAGGAAATGTTGCATTTTATTTAGAATAAACTTTTTTAATACAAAATTGCATTAAAATTCAGAAATTCACAAAAATATCGTTTTTATATTAAATATGAATGATGACGAAATGGAAAAAAATGGAAAACAATTCGAAAAGCACAATCGTTTCACCTGAAATTAGAATTTCTTGCGGCAAATTTGAATTGGTTCGCAATAAATTGAAGTCGGAGGTGAGGAAATCAACGCTCTTCAACGAAATTCATGCAAATATAGCTAATTTTCCTGTATTTTTATATATTTTTATTATATATTATTATATATTTATATTATATTTATATTATATTTATATATATTATAAATATTATAATATATAAATATAAATATGTATTATTATTCATAAATTTGTATATTTTATTATTACTATTTATTTATATATTTTTATATCATTAAATATAAGGAATTTTTACTTTCCATTATTGGCTTTTTTCTCTTTATTTGCAAGCAGATTACTACACAACTTTGATAATAAAGTTTATATACTTCGAAAGAAATTATTTACTTGATACGAATCGTTGTCTTCTTTAAAAATTCTCTTTATTCAAGAACGTGCGAAGAAGATGGAGCATTACATCGCCTTTATTACTATAGAAATAATTGCCTTTCTAAAATTTTTCCAGTTCACTTCCTAATTTCATTAATTTTGTATTTTATAAATTGGTCATCCTCGGAATGATTAAAAAATTTGCAAAATTTCATGAAAAAAATTAATAGAAAATTAAAATCGTCAATCAAAGTCGCGCCATTATTTCAGGCTTATTCAGGTAAATTAAATAGTTTATCGTCGAGAAATATATTTACCAGTATTGTTGCGACATCAACGCCTTGGTACTGAGTAAGAAAGCCGCCGAGTACTTTGTCTACGAAGAATGCTTTCTTTTTTGATACATGCTGAAAAATTTTTCTATTTCATAATAAAATTTCATTATTCATTATTTATTTAAAAGAATGATAAGAAACTGTAATTATTATGGAATTCACCGGGTATCCTAAATTATCGCTAAATGCCTGTGGCGGAATAGGTGAACGCAGTTGAGAATCGCCGTTGAACAAAAATAGCCTTCCGCCGGCGTCTACCATTCTTTTTGCCATAGAAATTGTATCATAGTATAAATTTTGTACATAATTTATTTGCCTAAAGAATATTTACATTTATTGCTTCGGCATCGAATTAATCAAAAAATATAATACAAAAAATGAACAGAATGCACTATACTTGCATAATTCCCAATTCCCAACTTTTGGCGAAACTTTGAGTGCATTTCTTACATCTTTACGATTAAAATATTCGAAAAAATCACTAAAATTATAGCAATCGTGGTATGACTGCAAATAAAAATTAGTTAAAATTAGTTCATCTTTTTTCATTAAATTTTCTTTTTTGTTGGGAAGAAAATAACCCAGTTTAGATTATCGTCGCACTAAGCTAGAGGAATTCCTGTAGTCGCTCGCCAAGAGGAGTAAATCCATTAATAGAAAAAAGTGTGAGTAATGCTAGAGTTTCCTCCTCTTTCCTTCCATGAGAATAAAATTTTTTATTTTCCTGTCACTCTTTTCAAGGGGAATGGGACTAAACCAATGATATTAGATGAGAATCAAGACAACTGTTGCTTGAGATGAGATTCACCTTTATCTCCAACGTCACATTCTGTGTTAACCGCTGGAGCAAGCGCAATCAGAAATGGGCGAGCGTTAACCAATTAATTAACCATTTATTTTTTAAATGCATTAAAATGACTGATGCAAAAGTTTTAATACGAACATGGAGATGACTGATAGACAGTGGGTTCCGAACTTTGCCTTCTTTATAATCTTTAAATCCTGGAGAAGTTTGCGTCTTGCATGGATCATTCAAATCAAACGCATTTACTCCAGATAAGCTGCAATGTTTTTGCTAAAGATGAAATATATAGGTTCGCCCAGAAAATTAAAGGAAAATACTGAAATTTCACGATCTCATAAATTGTAAAGGTTGTGATAAATCGCTTAGTAATTTAAGGAATATTTTCTGAATATTGACTACTGTCTTTAATTGGTGATTGGTGATTGTAATGAACAAGCAAAGACTGGCATAATCCAAATCCTTCTGCTAGATTATCATTAATCTTATGTGAATACAATGATTTAGCATACAATGTAGAGAGGGTGCGTGTTATTACTTTTAAGAGGAGCAAAGCCTGATAAAAAATTTGAGCGATGCTGGCAACCCACATGCGCACATATCGCCAAGTGACTCCCTGGTAAAAAGATGAAATATATAGGTTCGCCCAGAAAATTAAAGGAAAATACTGAAATTTCACTATCTCATAAATTGCAAAGGTTGTGATAAATCGCTTAGTAATTTGAGGAATATTTTACCTTCTAAGCGTATTATAAGTACCATTAGCTAGAAGAACGAGCCTAAGCTGTTGCCGTATATAATATGTAAATACCCTATAAAATATTCTTCGGATTCTTCGAAAGAAGTGCCAATACAATTTGTCTCAATCCGCGCTAAGTTTCTAGAAATATTGTTTACACTAACAGAAATAATAATACTAACATTACTTCCGATGTGACATTTAAGGAGAATGTCGCACATTCTGTTGTCATATCAAATATAGAGCAAGATTCTAAATAGCCATAACAGCATTCATAGATAATGAACCGATATTCACTGGAAACAACCAATTCTTCATATGTTTAACTATCGGATAATTGATATCGAAATATTTTACCTATCGCTGGTTTACAACACGAATAATTATATTTTATAACGAGAAATTTATTTATTGAACCTTTCATCGATGTATCCGAGGTTGTACATAAATGCTAGTGAAGATGAATAGTCAATACTCCAGTTAACATGGATATTCGAACCGATTATTCCCTAAAATATTTCCTCGTAAATATACCTATCACAATTTATATTTGCCAATTATTTGAATTTACTGAAAGGATGGTTTAGTGGGTTGTTGCTCAATTCAGAGCGTCGGCACTAAGGTTCTATTTCTAGCAGAAGAATTTATTTTATCAGTTGAAATTTGGCATTAAATAGAATGAAATTCTGTCAAGCACCTTTAGATTCCATGCAGATGAAATATTTTTTTGGATAATGCGGTCGGTCATCAGAAAACTCATCAAGCCAAATGTATCCGATCCAGCCAAATACATTTCATTGTTCTAAAAATTCCTTTGCAAAAAACACAGTGAATAAGAGAAAAAGCAGAAAGAATCGAAATGGAGGCACATATATTTATAGCATAGGATAATCGAAACGATGGAAAGAAAACGAAGGCTTCAAAAAAATTGAACCTTATGTTCGGGAAAGGTTTCACGGAACTGCTCTATTAGATCCTCATAAACATTTATGAAATCTTCGGCATTATAAATTTTATCAAATTTGCCCAAAGAATATCTAAAATAGAGGTCTTCAAAAACCGATAAAAACATTAGATCGTCCAATTTTTGAATTTTATTAGTTAAAATTCATTTCACAAAAACTACAATTCTCTTATAGCAAAAGCGAAAAATTAACCCAACATCTCCTGGAACATCAAACACTAATAGATTTGCGACTTTTGCCCACGTATTTGGATTTATTTTCAGAAATGAGCTTCCTTTATTAATTTGAAAAGGTCCAAATGAAGAAAATAATGGCCAATAATTTGAACAACCAATCTCATTAACTATCCAAATTACCAGTGGATTTGTTTCTGGATTTGTTTCAGCCTTTATGAACCTAAAAACTTTATCATTTCAGACACTATTCAAAAGAATAATTTTCCCTAGAAATTAGGTCATTCTCATTTTTTATATTCGTCGAGTTGCTTAAAATAAAGCTAAGCAATCGTAGGTTTGAACGTTGTCTCTCTCAACGGCTCAATTTATCGCTGAGGGTGATGCTGAGGGCCAACTCAATTCTCTCAACCCTCAAGTCTCCGTCTCTCCATCTAAAATTGCACTGTAGTGCAACTAGCCAAATCAGGATTGGTAAAAAAAGCGTTCAGTATCTTATCAGATAACTTGTCATTATCGCGAATACTTGCGAATTCAAAAAAATCGAAATTTAACTGAACGTAGAAAACCTAAATTCCAATATATTTACAAAATATTCGAATCATTAAATTTTTTATCAAAATTTCTAACATATAGTGGATTGATTCGGTGTCATCAGCATCAGTGCCATTAACATCGAAATATCCGGCGTAAATTTTAAAATTATTCGGTGGGGCACCTGGTAAATGAACCAGTGACTGAGCTGAGATAGTTGCAATAACAATATTTGCGACCAATACGAAGATCATTTCGATTATCAATGATAAATTTTGGAATTGTGACTTATTTTTAAAGTAGTTGTTGAAAAAAGTGATCGTAGTTATCAGTTATTAGCGATAAAGAAGATTCAAGGATGATAAGAATTTTTCCGAAAAAAACCATTAAAATTTTTAAGTTTCTTTAATTTATTTTTGTTCTTTGTTCTTCTAATGTTAAATAATATAATGCGAAGTATTATTTTATTTGAATTCTTTAATTTTTGATAATTTTTGTAATAATAATTTAAATCGCATCTCGTATTCGATTTTAGTTTTTTAGTTTTTAATTTTAAAAATTTTGGAAAAGTATTATTCGAATGAAAATAGTCAGCGGGTATATTACTTGGATTACCATTTTAGGTGTCAAGTCTCTATTCATAACTTTTTATTCTAAAAACTTTCACCATTACTGGTTAGGCCGGCTCCAACGGTTACAAGGGTAATACGCTTCCAAACGGTGCGGTCTAATGCTACCATCGACAGTAATAAAAGTCATTCCTTTTTCTATCCTCCAAGTCCTAACTTCTTAATATTCTTCACTCTCACTGGCTCGAAACCATATAACAAGATCAAACGAATCATGACTACAAGGCTTCCAAGGGGCGCGGAACTATAATTATTAAAAAATTCCTATGGTACTAAGGATTCACCTATATTTCTATCGGTCTCTCTTTATGTTCTCTGATAAAAATAACCGACAGTAGCCAGAGGAACAAGTCTAAACTAGAAGTGGTGAACATTAAAACTGAATTACTCTTCGAAGAAAATGCTATACATTACTTCTATTACAATTTGACACTCGTTGTGCTTAATCGAGCTTCATGGCGCTGCTATTCTTTCCTTTAATGTGTAAGCCTTCATCAGATCACTTTCGATGCTCCTTGAGAGTTAGTTTCTTAATCCAAAAACTGATTCGTCCACTTATATTTGGACAAATTACGGTGACCGCCACACCAAATTTGGACCATTTGGCCATTTATTTAATAAAATTATTTTGATGGTTCCACAAATATTTGTAAGTGATTTGCATATAATGAATTGAAATATGCATAAATAATTAATAAATAAATTAATTAATTTTTATTCGAGATGAATATACAAATAAAAATATAAACAAATTTTATGTCAAATTGTAATAGAAATAAATTTCTGACAAAAATTTTGCCACTCAGAAATATTCTAAAATGAAATGAAAAGCACGAAATAAAATAAATAAAAATATGGCAATAAAACTGATTGAAACCAACTGAAGAACTGCACCGTTAGTGTTGCGCTGGTACCGCTGGCTCACTAGTGGCTTTTTCAAGTCGAAAGCGAAGTTTCCTCTGAGAAGTCTGAGTAGTCGCAGTAATTCCCCTATGCATGTGTGTATGTGTGTATGTGTATGCTAATAGCGTGTGTTTCAATCCTTAAAAACTGCACCGCATACACAGACAATGAGACCATTGTAGCCATGAAATACATTACACTATAACGGCATATATAATTTATAATAATATAGAGCTGTAGCAACTGAAACGTAACTTTTGGAGCGAATTTCTGTTAGCAAATCCACGTCAAAATTTGTCATTGCTAGCCGATTATATTTTTATTTTTAGTGGTGGAGAGTGGGGGTGGGGGGGGGGGGGAGGGAGAAGTGGATAGGTGGTGAGTCTGCCTGATTTATATTTCTGCTGATTTAGAAATTCATTCTTTAAATATTATTTGTGAAAATGGTCTTGGAAATTTAACGCATAACTTTTTTAAACTCATATGAATTAAATTCATAATTTAAACTCATATACTAATGCCGAACTGGGTTTGGTAGAATAAGAAGGACTTGAAGACACGTCCGTCACCACTCACTCTAACTCACTGTTCCACGTTTCGCGAGCTCTGATTTATAAATCTGATTGCACGAATGCATGTATTGTTATAATGCATTCTTGAAAGTCTGGTGAAAGCCGCAGATCCTTTCGAGATTTTTTTAAGACCACCTGTTGTTTCAGGTTGCTTAGATGTGATGCCACCATAGCATGACTTTATTTTCATAGTAGCTACAGAGGCAGAAATCGAACCCATAAGGTATGATTGAAGCAATATACCATTCGGTCATTTAAATGTGTATTGTTTAACAATCTTGTATAAATAACCGAAAGCAGAATAACTGCATCCTTCTGTCGAAAAGTTCAGGTGATGCTGGAGATCTGCTTATATTTCTGTTACCACGGATTTGTCAAAAATTCTAATTGAGTGGAACGAAAGAAATAATAATTAACCAGAATTGACTTATGTCACTAAATACTTCTGTAGAAATTTTATGTCCATCGAATTTATAATTCTAAATACTTTTATATTTTAAAAAGCATAATTATTATTAGTATTTCCATAAATTTTTTTAAATTAAATTTTTCAAAAAAATTTTTTTGAAATTTTTTTTGATATTATATCAAGGTTAAGTCCGAAAAAATTTCTTTTTTTAAAACGTAAATTGGTGAAAATAAATGAATTTGGGATATTTTCTGCACATTTTGTTTGATTTTTTCGATGATATTGCTGTAAATTATATTATCGTTTTAGTGTAAATTCACCTCAATTTATTTTATAAAATTTATAAATTTATTACAAATGTTATTTCAGAAGTCTTTTTCTTTTTGTTCTTGCCGTGGAATAATTCATCTGATTTTTCTCCTTCTCTTTTGGGAATGCTTCGTGATTTTTTAATTGGTTGGATTTTAATCGGATTCTCGTGGTCGTTTTATCTGCCAGGTCTTGCGCCTGTTAATTATTGTGAAAAGAATCAAGAAAAGCCATCTTGTTTAGTAAGTTTTTTTAAGTATGAGTATCTATTTATTTATTTAGCTGTGACGAATTCTCTCAAAGTATACATTTTATATTTCCTTATTCATTTTTAGAGCAATGTAGTATTGTATGTTAATCGTTTGGATAGCGATCAAAGTGTTATTCCGTATGAATATCATAAGTAAAATTTTGTTTTATAGTTTTTTAAGCAGATTTTTAAAATTTTTGGTATGTCATATTTTACCAAATAATTTTATCTATCGATATTGCATGTTTCAGGTTCGACTTTTGCATTGGGAGTGAAGATGAATCACCCGTCGAAAATCTTGGACAAGTATTGTTCGGTGAACGTATTAGGCCAAGTCCTTACCAGGTTCATTAAATTCATTTAGGACCAGCTTTTTCTTTATCTGTGAAGATTTTAGGTATTTAGATATACACATTTATATAAACAAGATATAAACAAGATTAATAAATTTTAAAAAATCCAAAGATTTCGCTAATTTTTTTCTTTATTTTTCCATTCCTTCACCAAAATTTTATTCGTTGCTTTCTGTTCCATAATTTCATTGTTTTTGTGTCTTGTTCCATGATCTCTGTTAAATAACACACAGGATAAATTAAAATTATTACAAGATAAAAATGATCGTAACTATTGCATTTCAGATCAATTTTAAAGAATCGAAGTATTGTGCATTTCTTTGTGAGAAAAGCTATGAGAAGAATGATGTAAAAGATGCAGAAAATATTCGACAATTACAGAAGGGAATGAAATTGAATTATCAGCATCATTGGTTTGTTTACAAAAATTCTTGCAAAATACTGAATACTTCTTGAAAATACTAAAGAATATTTTCCAGGATCATCGATAATATGCCAGTTACATTTTGTTTCACGAATCAACAAAATTTGAATGTTTGCACGACTGGCTTTCCAATGGGTTGTTATGTGACATTAGATGGGAAACCAAAAGATGCGTGTGTATTGGATCCAGATTATAGAGATCCTGATAATTACTATCTTTTTAATCATGTTGATATCCTTATTGAATACCGTGACATGACCGAAGATCCAAATTTTCTTGAGGAGCACCTCGGTGGAAGAATTATTAAAATTTTTGTTCAGCCGAGAAGCATTAAACATGAATCACAAAATAATATGAATTGTGATACCGGTAATACTCCTCTTTCATTTTCGACGCATGTTCCACCGACGAAAATCATATATTCCTATTCTGTCAGTTGGCGGGTACATTATTCATTTCTCTATTATTCTTTTTTTATCTTGTGTGAAATTGAGAAAAAAACCAAAATTCTATTGCTTCAACAACGTTAAAAATTTTAACATTTAAATTAAATTTGATGTTAAATTTAATGTTAAATATTAAATTTTAAATTTAATATTTATTATTTAAATTTAATATTTTTATAAATTTTTATTGTACTATTGCAGAAAACGAATATAAAATGGTCTTCTCGTTGGGATTATATTTTAGATTCTATGCCACATACAAATATTCAGTGGTTCTCCATTATGAATTCGCTTGTAATTGTACTTTTCCTGTCAGGTCTGGTACGTTGCATTTACATTTGCGTTATGGTTGAATTAATTTGCTGTTATTTTTGAAATGATAATTTTTTCTCTTCTAGGTCGGTATGATTCTTCTTCGTACACTTCATCGTGATATTGCTCGTTATAATCAATTAGATAATGAAGTAAATTTTTATATCCAATTTTTATATTTTATATCTAAATGTTACTCTTTACCATTCTATAGATGTTTAATGTTAAATTTGTTGGACAAACAATATAAATTCTTTGGATTTCTCATGATATGTGTAAATTCATCATTAATTTTTCATTATTAAATTCGAGTTTAATACTCACTTGTACTTATATTTTACATATTTAATAAGGAAATTTTAGCAGTAAGAGAAAATCTAAGACAGTAGAATGATTTTAAAAAAAAAATCATTAATTTCATTCTTTCGTTTGTTTTCATTGTTAAGCATTTTAAAGGAAGATGCTCAAGAAGAATTCGGTTGGAAACTTGTTCATGGAGACGTTTTCCGACCTCCTCGTTATGCTTTATTTTTGTCGGTCTTTGTTGGAAGTGGTTGTCAGATTTTGGCTATGGTAGCCATCACACTTGGTGTTCTTTCATTTGTTTTCAAAATTTAAGATGATTCATAAATTAAAAAAAATTTAGTTTTAATCAGGGACAGTATTGGTTTTGACGTTTCCGATTATTTATAATGGAATTTTAGTGTTTGCCTGCCTCGGCTTTTTATCTCCGGCAAACCGTGGCTCTTTGATGACGTTTGCGCTTGTTTTTTATGTGCTGTTCGGGATTATAGCGGGTTACGTTTCGGCACGCATATACAAAAGTAGAATTTTTATTTATTTTTCTCAAATTAGCCATTTTATTATATATATATCTTTTTATCTTTTAATATATCAAAAAAATTTTTTAGCATTGAACGGCTTGGCATGGAAAATAAATGTTTTGTTGACCAGCTTTTTGGTTCCAGGGTTTGGTTTCATTTAATAAAAATGCACCTTTTTAATATAAATGTGAACTTTTTTTATTACTATTCCTTTTTTGTCTTCGTTGCAAATTTTTAATAATAATCTGCATGCGTCATGAGAATAGTTTTCAGAATAATTTTCGCTGTATTTTTTGTTTCAAACTTGATGCTTTGGGCAAAAGGATCATCAGCAGCTGTGCCATTTGGGACTTTAATTGCCCTTCTTTCGTTATGGTTATTTGTATCAATACCCCTTACGTTTATCGGTTCTTATTTCGGATTCAAAAAACGAGTTAGTTAAAACGGGTCTTTTTGCCGGTCTTACTATTTGTTACTTATTTTTTTATTTTTTGTTGCTTTTTGTTTTGCAATTTTTTGCTTCGTACTTTTTTTAAATTTTTTATAGCCAATACAACATCCTGTTCGTACAAACCAAATACCTCGACAAGTTCCTGAACAAAGCTTGTATACGAAACCTATCCCTGGAATGCTAATGGGTGGAATTTTGCCATTCGGATGCATTTTTATTCAGCTTTTCTTTATTCTCAACAGTATTTGGTGGGTGATAAATTTCTAAACAAAATTTTCTCTCAATTTTCATTCAATTTATGGTTGACATTTTATTGATTTCAGGGCTCACCAGACTTATTATATGTTTGGTTTCTTGTTCATCGTATTTCTTATATTAATTATCACCTGTAGCGAAGCAACTATTCTACTTTGCTATTTCCATTTATGTGCAGAGGTAAATTTTCTTGAATTTAGGCATATTTGCTAATGTAATTGTTCTGTTCATTATTTGAGTTCATTCAAGGATTATCACTGGTGGTGGCGTTCTTTTCTTACATCTGGCTTCACGGCATTTTATCTTTTTGCCTATTGTGTCCATTACTTTACATCAAAACTTACAATAACGGGGACGATTTCTACTATTTTATATTTTTGTTATACGTCAATCTTTGTCTTTATGTTCTTCCTCGCTGCAGGTATTTTATTTTTTTTTTCATTGCATTCTAGCCGTAATGGTAATATTACCCAAGAAGGCATTAAATTTTTTGTCGATTTGTTTATAAAAAGAAATATGTTGGATTTAATTTAATTTAATAATGCAATTATTTTTTTAATAGGTGCAATTGGATTTTTGTCAACTTTCTACTTTGTGGAAAAAATATATGGATCGGTCAAGGTGGATTGAATGAATAGTTATAGCAATTGAATATAAGAAAATCTTATATTGTTATATAGTTACTTTCTATCGTTCATTTTGACCTAACTATTTTTTTCATTTTTTTATCTTCATTTTGTTATTTCAATCGATTTTCTCTCTTCCAATTTTAAGCCGTTTCACTCGGGATCATTCAGGCTTAGTCCATGTTATTGATAAATTTTGCCAATTCATTTGAAAAATATTTGTCATTTTCTTTTATGTAGATTGTAATTATGTAGGCGGTTACAATGCTTTAAATTTAAAAAGTATCCTAAATAATAATGGTGCAGTTACTGAAAAATATTCAAATTTTCCTTCGTAATGGGCGATTTCTCCTTTCATCTCATTTTCCAATTATTCAGAGTAACAGTCATCCTTTTTTCTATTGATTCCCTAAATGCCTTAAAAATTTATGGACTTCTTTCATGTGTAAAATTTTTTTGAATTTTAAAATATTAACAACTGTTCCTATAGAATAAAAATATATATTCGAATTAGGAATTAGGAATTAGGAATCCCCTCCTTTATATCCGCTTAGAGTATCGTCTCCAAAAGATCCGTAGATAACCACTGATTTAAAGCAGAAATTCAAATACTGAAGCTATTAGTTTTTCATGTTTTTTGAAAACTTGCTTTATTATTATGTAATATGCAGTATATTCACGGCAGTCATTGTATTAATTCTTTTTTCCAAATTTGTACCATATGTCAATTTTTTTAATTTATTTTTATTAATATATAATTTGGGACGTATTTTTATCTTCATTTTTTTGTGGGAAATATATTTTTGATTCATCATGTTTACACGAAATTTGCGAAACTATTTCCCACCTGAAGTGTCGTCATGTCCTTTATTTCTTGTCCATGGTTACTTTTATTTTTCTTGTAAATTCCAGTAAATGTATATATATATATATAGCATGTTCTCTGGCTTGGGAAATTATGATTTTATGGTGATATTTAATAATGATATTTAAGATGGCATAACGTTTTCAAGATAACGTTTTACCTCCTTAATCTCCAATTGTCGATTATAATTGTCGATTTTTTTTCTCATCACTTTAGGAAAAGTGAAGGTAAACCATTGTCATACATATAAATATATATATATTTATATAAATAATTTAAATTGACGGTAATTTGCGTATTCATCACTACTCGAATAAAATGAGCAAGAGATCTTGCAAAGTTTGATAAGATGAGCGAAGCTGAGTTTGATAACCAGAATGAGAATAACCAGAATGATAAGCGTTATTCAAAGAAAATAATTCTCTTGAGTAGAAAAGCTATTTTGATGGAAAAGTTCTGAAAATTTTGAAGTTTTATCAGTTAGATTGTCATTAGAGATTCTGGATTTCGAGTTTAAGGCACTTTATCGATGAAATATCAGATTTAAAAGTCGAATTTAGGAAGATATGTAGATTATCATTGGATGGAATAGATAATCAGTAGAACGAGCCATCTCTATATCTTGCCGGGAAACTTTCCAGCCAGCGTTCATCAAATTCCGCATTTTTTTGCGCATTTCTTGCTAACGCCATATCATAAATTGATAATTGCTTGTTTTTCAAATCGTTGGTGAATGTTGGATCCATCGCACTGCTTATTTTTCCGATTATTGAGATTGTCTAAAAAATGCGTTTTTTCTATTTATAAAACAAGAATTTCTATTTATAAATTTGTTCAAAGTATCAATACTATTAATTTATCCGAATGATATATTATCAGTCATAACAGTCATAATGGGTTGTTATCAATCATAATTTTAGAATTCTCGAAATTGGATTGAGATTTTGAAATTTAGCTTTGGCCTTTCATTAAACTTGCCATATATCTTAGTTGAAACTTGGTATGGTCCAGTGGGTTATTGAAAGGAAATAAAGTGATGGTCCGCTATTTTCCGCTATTTTCAGCGCATGAATTATTGTGCAAAAATAATATTAATCAGCAACCAGTGATACTTTTTAATAAATAATAAATAAGTAACAATTAGGAATGATACCGAACGAAGTGGTTCATTTACTGATCGTCTGCCAATACCTTCTTTGCAACTTTGAACGTGAATCCAGAGCATTGCAATTCCAGCTATTGCTTCTAGCGCAGCTAAATGTAAGGCATTGCTTTAAAGATTCTCTTAAAATTTGCGAAATTGAAACGAAAATGGTTCATTTGGTGCATAAGTTCTCAATAAGGCTGAATTATTAGATTTAAAAAAGAAAATATCCACGAACCAATGAATAGAAATGAAAATCCAGGCATCCATACTTCGGTTTCACGATAAATATAACTATAAGTGATATTAAAAATAACGAATGCAAAATCGCCGGCAATACCAAATAACGAGAAAATTTGTCCGATTTCATCATTTGGTACTATCTGAATTGACGTATTATTTATTTTCAAATCTTTTCGTTTTTTTCTTAATTAACGGCAAATATCCATAAATTTAAATAAACTAATATTATCAATAAACTAATCAAGAAACTCCAAACGATCCTCTCAAATATCTATTCTCATCGGAGCTCCGTCATCAAGTGACTGATAAAATTATCTCCTCCTACTGATAATCAGTGATGACCATTGCAGTCCAATTAGTTGCAAACAGTTAAGGAATTCTATTATTTTTTAATAGTACTTCTGAAAATTGTTTTTTTTTTCTGATGTTTTTTGAATAAGATATAATTAAATTTGGAAATAATGCCTGAACGATAAATGATACAACAGCTGGTTGAACAAGGCCAGAAAAGATGCCAAGAAGATTAGCAAAATGCATATGCCATGTTTCTGTCGCAAATGCAATGACAGCTGTTCGCGATGTGCTTGAAGCAATTCCTATGAGTATCATCGATGTCTCTCGAATACGAAAATAGTGTTTGAATAGGAATAAACCGCCAATAGTTCCAATTATTACTAAATTATTGAAAAGTTCTATGAAAAGTTGGAGTTTGCAATTTTTTTCTAGTTAAATATTTGTAAATTTCATAAAATTTTTAAGTTCGGATGGCATTAGAATTATTTCATGCCTCTGTCCTTGAATAAATTTAATTAATGGAACCAATCAGTATCAAACCGGTATTTTTAGAAACAATGTGTTTTGCGTCAATAAATAAATATGCTTAGAATTTCAAAATTTCCATTCTATGATTGGACGATTGTTCGTAGCAAGCGATTCCCATAAAAATTAATTAAATGAAATTATATAAAAATTTAAAAAATATCAAGCAGCTTACATATGGAATAACCTGAGGCATACCAGTAGCCGAGCTGCTTTTGTTCCCAACCCAAGGATCCTTCATCAGTTCTCCGAAATACATAAGCATTGATAACAAAGCCTTAAAAAAGTTATTATATAGCCATAAATAAGGCCAGTGCTAGCAAGCCTATTTATTATTTATTATTATTTATTGATAACCAACCAAGCAGGGCGACAAGGCCATGTGCTTGTATTAATAATAACAATTAAGATAACAGAAAAAGAAAACACAAAACAACAAAAAAACAACAAAAAATATATAACATAAACAAAATTAATTATAAAACTTTTTTTTTTTTTTTTTTGTTGTTATTATTATTTATTGATAACCAACCTATTTAATCGTATTATCGAAGATCTTAATAAATTTTATTTAAAAAAAAAAAAAAAACCTATTATGGATTTTAATAAAATTGCAAATTAAAATTAATGTTGGTAAAAAAAGAAGTTGGGAAAACCTTCACAAAAAACTGGACTGCCAGAAATAATCAGAAAAATACAAAAAAATACCAATACGGGTTTCGATTGACGCTGTATGGGTAATTATAAGTGCTAGAACTGATAGAAAGATAAATGAACGTCGGTAACCAATACGTTTGCGCATATAAGTTTTTGCACCTTCTTTTAACAATAACCATAATTCCATAAAAAATTCTTGAATACTTTGAGCTGTTGATAACGAAGATTTACCTAAATAATCACTATAAGTCAAAAATCATTGTTCCTTTTGCTATATATATATATATATACTTATATAGTAGCGATAATAAACCAATCAATCATATTGCCGCATATATTTTAATGCGCGTAAACGGATTACGGGTTTTAAGAATTATGTTTATTTAAGAACTATTTTAGAATTATCATTAACAAGATAATTGCTCGCTATCAGGTGATACTAAAGTAACGCTCGGGAACTGATAAAATCTGATCATTGACCATTATCTTAATATTAACTATTGCTCATTCATTTTTAATATCGTAAAATTATTCTAATTATATTTTATTACTATCACAATGATTTCAATTATTTTCTTGCAGTTTCCCATTCTATATGGGTTATATGGGACGAAAAAAAGAATCGTTTTTTTTTGCTCTTCGGCACGATATCAGATTGAATGACTTGCAAAAGGCCTTATTCTTGTAATGAGCGAGGCTAACCAGTTAATGATGCGGAATTTGAAAGAAGAAGAATTTCAAAAGTCGGGTTGATTTTCTCAGTCTTTTTTTTAAAAAGTGCTAATCATTTTTGATAAAGCTTGCCGTGTTGTCAGACCAATTTCATTAAAGAATCATTTGGCGATAAAAGTGTAAATGAGTCGTCAGCACCACATGGATTTTTTTTTTGCTGCCAACAGATCAAACAATCCAACGAGCTAATCCACTAAAATCTTTCGCAATCTTCCATTTTAAGAAATACAATTCTTTGCTTTAACGTTTTCTATTCAAACAACTAACATCGGTTAGTTTCCAAAGTTTTTGTTTGTTCTGGTATCCTCCAGTAGACAAATAAAAGTGCAACGAGAAATAGGCCGAGTTCGATATCAATTGATATGACTGAAGGCAGCTGAAAAATTAAATTAATTTTATTAAATTAAATTAAATTAATTTTTTTAAATAAAATTGATTTTTTTATAGAATTTTTTTCTGCATTACTTTGCGAAAATTATTGTAAATTATTGCTGAAAATTTTTTAGTGGTATTTTTTATAATATTTTTTAAATATTTATTTTGAATTTTTATTTTTTTTCAATTTATAAAATTTAAAATGATAAATTATTTATTTACTAAATTTTCCGAAAAAAATTTATATTTATAAATTTATAAATTCGCTTAAAGAAATAGACCAATACTCATTTATAAAGAATTTTAGATGCATCAAGAAATATACCCAGCTGAAAAATCCTGCAAATACGCCACCAATTACAGAAGCAAATGTATAAGTTACACTAAATATTCCAGCACGAATAGTCAAAAGATTACTGTCTTTTGTGATATCAGCGAGATATGCATTGCATGATATTTGAATCTGGAATATCATAAATTAAGAAAATAAACGACTCATTCGCAATTAAATATTTAGTTACTCTAAGGAAAAAAGCGTTACCATTGAAATATATCCTGTTAAACCAGCAATAGCACCAAATACTAAAACCGTCCAATACGGTGCATGAATTGATTTGCTTAACACCAATAGATAACCGAATTCACCAATAACTAAACCCGTTATTCCGAGCATTATGTTTAATTTCCATCCATGCCTATCACCATAAGCACCTGAAAAAAAAACTTTTCAAAATTTAGTTGGCCTAGCGAATTTTTTTAACTTCTTCAATAATGAAATCTAGTACATAAATATAAGTTCCATGGCCTGCTTTTTGTGCAATATAATGAAATGAAAGGTTTTTTTTGAGATAAGAGGCAAAAAAACTTGGTTATACTGTCTTCTAGAAGCAGTATATTTATATAGCACAATTTATTTCTAATTTGAGTGACTTCACTAGCCATTAGTATAAGACTATATTTAGAAAAGGTAAGGGGCTACGTGAGTGGTAGTAAATTCACTAATGAGGAACAACACTATTGAGGAAGAACCAAACCTATAAACCAACTTGATCTCAGTTGAAGCAGTATATTTGGCTGTCCTGTCCCCATCTATTATATCTTTATATAAGCTTATCACATGATAATGACATTTGAGTTTGGATTAAAAATTCTTAGATTTTGGAAAATGAGATGGATCTATCTGCTAGCCACTTTATAGTACTAGCGTGGTTCTTACTGGTTCTTACTGACCATTTGAAGCTCAACATTTGGTTTTACTCATGAATAAATCCATATTTGCGATATGTAATGAATGAGTCATGTTATACCTAAGATAGTATTAACTATTACAGCAGGCAATAAATAGACCAGCGAATTATAAAATGACCACTCCGCATTTCGTCTTTGAACATTATCCTCTAATTTAGCATCAGTAATCCAATGACAAATTAATCGTCCACCATTACTTTCGCCACCATAATAAGTCTGACAAATTCTGAAACATCTTATTTACATATTTGGATTTTTATAGCATTTTACTTGTTCTCTCAAAATAAATCGAAAAATAAAAATAAATCTTAGATCTCAAAATTATAATTCAGGAAAATCAAGGGGCGAATCGGTTACTTTATCAATAAAGTTGCTAGTTTCAAATTCTCCACATTATTAAAATTCCATGAAAATCATGAAAATTTAAGGAAGTAAATCCAATAATGAGTTACCCTGAAACAACTGTGAAATAAAGATCTAAAATAATCTTACCTTCGATAAATCCCCGCTGATTGTATTGTATTACTGAATATATAACCGAGAAAGACAAAAAATATTACAGGTTCAACGGTAAGGCTTTTCGCTATATTAATTACATTATAAAATATTCCACTTAATTTATTTGGAAACTTCATTCAAAGAGTAGAATTAGGATTTTCAGTTTGTCCAAGGCAATAGTGCAAAGTTAATTAATTAACTTAAACTTCAACTAATTGAATCGAAATAATAGAGTTCAAGCGAAATAAAAGACGGTATTTAGAGCAAGTATGAATGCCGCTTATCATTTTCGACTGATCAAAAGCCAACTACCATATGATAACAAATCATTGCCAAATGAATTATCAAAACGATAAGTCTGCAAATTACTACAATATCAGTATAAGCTTATCGTTTAATAATCGGTTTCTATTAGAACATATTATAAATAATTATATTTTTATTACGACAAAAATATTAGAAATAATTATAATTTTATTGCGACTATTTATTAATTAGTCACTGTGTTGCTTCTCTATTCATATTTTTCTCAACACAATACAAGAGTACCAGAGAATAACTGGAACTAATTTCTTAAAGAAACCGAGTTGTTTTGACTACGGACAGGATAGCCGAATGGTTAGCAATTTTAGAATAAATTAATTGGAAAATTCATTCGAATGATAATAGAAAATAATAAACGATAATAGGTTAAAAATTTTTCCAAGAATTTTTTTTGGAATTTTTTAAACCGCAAAAATGTTTAATTATATGGTTTAGGAGCAATTGAGTAGCTCATTGCTTCTAATTATGGCGGCTTTGTTTCTCTTGGTGGAGAACTGTAATCAGTGCTGAAGTGCATCTATATCTCTTCAATTCTCCATCTCTACGACGCATAAGCATCATCCTAATAGCGAATGAAGCTGGTTAATTGGAACTGGTGAGTACCAATATGAAGCTCAATATTTATTTAAAAAATTATTTCTTCATGTTAACAACTCGTGCTGATTTTAATTTTATCTTTTAATCTTTATTTTATGAAGAAATATTATGAATTTAAATATTATGAAATATTATGAATTTAAATTTAAATATAAAAATTGTTGTTTATCGTCCTATTGAAATAAATTTCTAGTTTTCATTCTATAAATACTTGAATCTATTCAATAATTTCTATGATTTGATTTTTTATTTCCAAATTATTTATACTGATAAGAATTTACCATTCACTTTTTATTATCAGTTCTAATTTTATCTTGCTCGATTTTTTTTCATATTTCAATAGATTTCGCCATTTTTATAAAAAAATTTGTAGAAAGTAAAACAGAGTTGTTAGTAGCTCAGCTTGGAGAATTAGTGATTTGGCTCCTTCCTTCGATAAGAATATAAGAATATATCCGCCACTAAAAAATCCCGAATGATTCTGGCAACTCATGTCCTTCCGATCCCTGGCAAAAATTTCTAACCGTATTAATAGCTAATGGCGCGAGCCTAACCAGAAATAATAATCGTAGCCTTTACTTTAGATTTCTTTAAATTCATAAAATAAATAAATATTCGCGGCCTTACGACAGAATAGTCGCCTAACTTAATTTTTACAAATTTCTTGTCATTATGTATTCTCCGTTTATCGAAATATCACCATACGATCCCCCTTTCCGAATTTTTCCGAGGCTTATCAATCATAGTACAGTTCTTAAAAAAATAGAATATTCAATTTAATCAGTGGTGCTTTCATTCTTTGAATGAATTCTGTAAAACTTCTTAAATTTAAATTGTACCTTTTAATGAATTATTAGATCATCTGAAAAATTTTTTATTGAAAATTTAAAAAATATATTTAAAAAACTATATAATATATTTATATATTTATATATTTAAATGTATTTAAATATTTAAATATATTACATATTTAAATAAATAATAATATTTAAAAATATATCTAAATAATATATTTAAATATATTTAAAAAACTATATAATGCCAGTTATATATTAACTATTGTTGTCTATAACCCTTTTATAGAAAATATATAAAAATGAATTTTTCTATAGAAGCTTACTTGGATTTGACATGCTCTTTAAGGTCATTTTTTGCAGAAGAAAGAAATCTTTTTCAGCTAAATGGTCTTGCAGAGGCTGAACAGATAATAATCAAAAGAGCAAAGCCTTAGCAATGAGGAAGGAATAAAATTTCCGGGCAAATTCTTTGGTATTTTTCATTTATTTTTTGAAGCATGAAGGATTAGGATTACATTTTTCTTGTTAGCTACAGAATATTTCCATGAAACATGTTTTTAAGGATGATTGATAAGAGGTGTTCATTAAATCATCTAATCAACTATTTTTATTCTCCACATATATAGAATATATTTCTGCTATATGTTTGGCGTTTATAACCAGCATTAAGTAGGATTGTAGATCACATATTTTATCACCAGCAATAATTCTATCTATCCAAAAATCTCTTCCTTTTCCTGTCTAAAATGAAGCAAATATTGATGATCGTTAAAGTATACTCGAGAAGTTGATGTGGAGCACAAATAATCTCGTTTGGTTTTCTCAGGATTTGAAGATTATGGAATATTGTTTGCCTATCACAATCTGCTTTTTTTAACGATCATCCATTGTTTATTCTGGATCAACTTCGATCATGCACAAACTAACTGAAATTCTACTGCTTTCGGATATAATTCATTTATCTTATATACGTCGCTGTTGTATTACCCAATCACCCAATTAAATTCGTAGAGCATGCAGCAAATTTTTTTCAGATGGTGCTTAATCTTCCCAAATGAACAAATTTTCATGAACCCCAACTACAACATACAACTAAATAAAGATCAGAGACCATGTGTTCACTTTCTTTAGAGAAAATTTACCTGAGAATAACGATAACATTTTTAAAATACAATACAATATAATAATGCCGTGAAAAAAAAATTTTTCAATAATCTAAAAAAATTTTAGAAAGAAAAATGGAATAGAAAATTATAAAATATGCTTATTAGCCAAATATTAAAATAAATTTTACATATTGAGATGGAAATTTTTTCGAATTTTTTCTAGAAATTTATTTTAATCGTTTCAAAATATGATTATTCGGTCTATTTGGCTATTTTGAAATAAATATCATAATTGTTTTACAAAAACCTTATTTAAAAATTAAATTTTAAAAATTTATTCATAAGAAATTCATAAATTTCTTGCATCGAGTTATTTAGCGATAGGTTGGCTGGCTGCACCATCCAAATCTTAATGAAAGTTTTTAATCTTAGCGAGATCAGCAGCATCCAGGATGATAGAAGTATTTAAATTTTTAAGGATGTATCGAATTTTCTTTTTTTCATAGGAAGAAAATTGTTGAGAAAAAATCTGCAAAGAAAAAATCCCTCTATAAAATCTCATTTTTATCTGCTATATTTATTCCGAAATCTATTATCTTTATCTTATTTTGCTTTTTCTGATGGCTCTTACCATTTGCGGTTTATCTGAATTTTAATTACTAGCAATTGAGCCTTCATATTTAGAAATAAAAAATAGGTGGATGTGGATTACCAGCGTTTACTCCTTTGCCTCTTCCAGCAACCGACCTAGAAAACTATAAAAAGATTTTTGCAGATCAATAGCGAAAAATTAATCAATCATGCTGTATGATGAAAATTTGAAAAATCTTAATTTAAACCACAATAACGAAACTGGTGATAAAAATATGAAATCTGGCACAAAGGTCACAAGTGAAGAATTCGATGGTCCGCTATATATTGGAAGTATCGAACCATTATTTTCTCAAAGAGCCAAAGCCATAGCAAAAGTTTTTATTAATTTAATTGAATAAAACGAAAGCATTTTTTAAAGTATTTTCGGCGCAAAATTAACGTGTTTTTTGATTGTTGAGGATCGAAATTAATGCAAATATTTGCATAAACTTCTTATGATGGGAAAATCTGCTTGCTAAAATCAGTTTTTCAACCATTCATTTTCCAGATTGCCAGATTGCCAAATTAAATAATTTCCAAATGTAGCATTGTTTTGCACTCGTATGAGGATACTTTCATGTATTGAATCTAAACAAGATCTTCGAATTCCGAATAGCACTCGTAAGCTGGGCCCACTGGCTATGTGACTGGGACTTGCTGCTTAGTGATGCTAGTGGGAAAAATGAAGATGAATTAGATTGTTGCTCAATCCGGTTTCTTTCCAATGATAAGTAATGTAAGTCATGTCAAAGAATCGCACTTAGATGACATAACCTTGGATGGTAGTTGAAACGGCATGTCACTTAATTTTTTCCCTAAATATTGACACTCGTCCAAATTATTATAAAATTCTTTTATAATAATTCTTTTATAATTAATTTTATAAACTTCGTTTTAAGATTTCAATTCATTTTAGATTACTCGATTTCCACTGAAAAAGGAGGTTATTTATCAGCAAATGGATATCATAAAAAGCCAAATACAGTTAGTCCAATTAATCTAATAATATATTATTTTTTAGCTTTGTTAGAAGTTAGAAACCAATTTGCAAGACAAATTTTGGAGAACTCAAATAAAAGAAGAAATTGGTTTCATTTGTTGCAATTTGTTGCAAGTATTAATCTTTAAGCGAAAATCCATTTGATCAATTCATATTTCGGCTTTGGCATAAAGATACGATAAAATTTGTTACAAATTTCCAGACTAAAGACACCATCCAGAAATACTGAGAATTTTCCAGAAGGCTTCGATAATAATAACGGATTTTTATGTTTTCCTGAGGTCCTTTCTTAGACGATTTTAAGATTTTGCCAAGATAATTACAACATCTTAATTCAACGTTATTTTGAATTCCTTTTTTTATACCTGTAAAAGATGCTATGCCATCCAGGAAGCAATCATTCATTGAAAATTAAAAAGTAGATTTACAGTTGAAAACGAAAACAAATGAATTAAATCAAACACGTCGAAGAATTAACAACAAAGCCAGCCATAATACACCAGAAAGAAAAAGTGAAAGCTATTATATTCCAACAAAACCATTACATCACTGGCCAAATACTGGAAATTTAAGAAATATTGGTTTTCTGGAGGAAACAAATCTTATTTTTAATCGAGATGGCCAATTATCGAATGAAAATGTCAATTTCAGCTACTAGTCTGGTGAATTATCCCATTTTATATAGGTTATAGGCAAATAGGAATATAGAAGTGGTGCAATTTCCAGTAACCAAATTTTGCGTTCTCAAATCACGACTATATTTTTTTATAATAAAAGATTTTATATATCTGTGTCCATCAGAAATTTTAGAGCATCTCTGATAAGACAATAATAAGCAGACAACAGGTGATAATGATAAAAGATAAAGATCAAATTAGATTTTCATTGAATCATCATTGTAAAAATTTCTTCATAAATATGTACAAGAAGATTTAATCGAACGGCATATTAAAAATTCTAATAAATTGCATTATATTTTGTATTCATTTTCTTCTAATGGTGTGTCTGTCCATTTTTAATTTGGACGGCTACTATATAGTGTTATTGCTTCAACAGAGAATTAGTTTAAGGCATCTAGAGATCATCTTAATCACCATGCGAAGACAATTTTCAAGCAGTAGCTGTTAAACGGGTTATTATCAGAACAATCTAATCTATTCTAAAAGTTGAAACATCTGACCAGAGCTGAGAGAAATGAAACCGTCATTCCTAGTTTTCTTATAGTTCCTTCTATTGGTTCTCTTAATAGGATTTTGAATGAAACACGGGGGAATAAAAGAATTTGTGGTTAGAGAACGGTGCCATCTATGTTTAGCGGAATAGCGAATGCACCATACTGACGAGTTGTTCGATAGAAAAATTTAAATTTTTTTATAATCGGATCATTTCAATTCTTCAGTTTCTCTTCAGTGAAAGAGCAATTTTTTTACTAATTTACCGATAAACGAGTAAAGTAATTGCCGGCAATCATTTCTCGTTTCTCCTTACGCGAACGTGTTTGGAACAAAACCATTGATGAATACTGTAAATATTGGCTTTTTAATAGACAAATGACATTAATAAATAATTCTATAATTCTAATAATAATTTAATATTTATCGAGGGAGAATATTATTGACATGAATGAATTATGAAAATTCATTCATTTGCAAAACGATCCACGAAAATAGCGAAACAAATCGAAGAATAAGATTGATTTGAATTTTCGCCGTAACTGGTTTTCGATGCTTTTCTGATTTGTTGTTTTCTCTCCAATGTTTTTCAAAATTTACTCGACAAATTTCGTTTATTTGTTCTCTTATCTCCTTTTTTTTCGAGTATTACTCTCGGTTTTCTTTCATTTATTTCCTGAAAGATTAGTTTATTTCGAATAGGTCAGAACGATGCTTTATTTTTGCTAGAAAATTCGATTTCATTTTTTGAAAAATAGTATTTATAGAAATGAGTAAATGCCCCGGCAAGCCGACAAGGACAGTTGATTGTTGGTTGATAATTCAGCTCATTGTTCTAAGCCTAATTTAAAACGCTGAACACTGCTTACTCTTATTCAAGGCCATTAAGTAGAAAGGCCACGATGTATGCTACTTAAAGCAAATCGACTGCAATTTTTTTTCTAGAATAGCTTGAAAACCTTTCATTAAAAGGCAAAATCTTGTAGAGTATACTTTGGGTACTTTCTTGCCTCTATCTCGAGTAATTTTCTAGCGAGAAAGTTTCACTCCAACAATCAGTGGAATCAGCCAGAAGTGCCTATGAATGAAATAATATTAACATGAATGAAATATTTTTGGAAGAAAAGAATTAGACTGTTGACCAATTGAAATTGAAACTCTCCAAAAAACTGAAACTATCATTGAATTCAAATATTTAAGAAGGATTTAGCAACCCAAAAAATATATTTGACGGCAACAGTGAAATCAAATTTAAGTCGAAACCATAAATATTGTTATATTGCTATTTTTCTCAATTTTTATCAAAAAATGATAAAATGATAATGATAAGCGATAAGAGATGAAGAAAATACAACAAATGCCAATAACTACTCAAATTACTTTATCGTTTCTTATAATATCAATTATGAATTTTTCGTTATTTATTTACATTCAATATAAGTTTTTATGCCGGTCATATATGTCGGTCGGTTTAGTAAGTATTTCGCATTCATCGATACTAATAACACTTACTCCAGTAGCTATTTAAGAGGACGCGCTTTCGCCACTCGCATAATGGCAAAGATAGGTCTCCAACGCCATTTGGATTTTTGATTTTTGAATTCTTTTTTTTTACCAAAAGAATCCGCAGAAACCATAATATATGCTTCAAATGATAATCTTATCAGCACGACGCTAAGCCACACAACCTGAAATTAAATTAATGTTCATATATAGGAATTTTTCTTGCATTGATCATTTATCTCTGATTTTATCTCTTAAAAATTATGCAACTATTGTTAAAAACTTTCGATTGTCCGATCGGCCTTAGATTGCTTCAGTTATTAAATTTATTTTGTATTTTTTCAGTTGTTAAAATGGATATTTTTTCATAATACAACTTCATCAAAATTTTGAGGTCATTAAATGAAAGAAGGCCATTTTCAATTTCAATAGCAAATGTCTGACAAATCTTTCAATAGTTAATGAATTTTTAATAAATGATTAATTGCTTTAGAATTTATAGTAGTTATGCAGTGAAATATTCGTCGAAAATATCCTTATGTCACTTTCAGAGATAAATAATTTCTTCTTTCCTTATCTCCTCTCTCCCTCCCCCCCTCCTCCTCCCTTCCACCCCTCCTTCTCCTTTAGTGCTAGGAAGAATTCACCTGCATTTTCCAAATGACCTTGCGGAATCAGTTGAATCGACCAAACCAGTGTTATTAGAAGAAAAATAAGGAAGAAAAAATAAAAAGAAGAAAAAAAACATTACATTTAAAGAGTTTAATTACATTTAAAATATTCTCCATATCTTTCTTCATTATCGAAAGAATTTTAAACGAAATTTATCTATAAAAATTAATCATTTCATTCTTTCTTCTTGTTTCCAATTTTTCATTTTTGAAAATTTTCGAATTCTTTTGAAATATTTAATATTTTGCATTGTAAATACATTGTATTCGTATAAAATTCTGCTTTGTTGTTATTCCTTCAAAATTCCTATTTTTCTCGTTGTAGTGAAAATTTATTGCAAATGTGCAAATGTGCAAATGGATTAAATCTCGAAAATAGTTTTAGAAATTTTAGACAAATTTTGCACATTTTTGATTTCCGTCCTTAGTTTTACCAAATTTTTCCAGGTTATTCACATGCCGAATCAAGATTTCGATTTCATTGATTATATGGGACCATTAGCAGTTGCATTCAGTTTCGCATTCATAATATTCTTCATATCTTTTTTCATTATCAATTTCTATTGCATTACCAGATTCGACGATCTCACTGTATTCGAGAAGGTTATTTTCGAGAATTTTCGCTATAAAACTGCTAAAAAATATTAATGTTTGCCATTTTCCTCTTTAAAAGGGTATAAAATAAACGTGATCAACAACATTTGGTCAGATAAAATGCTATTTAGTCTCAGTAATGTAATTCTTTTCTCTACCCTTTCTTCTTCTTCTGACAGCTCTCACCATTACTGGCTAGGCTGGCTCCAACGGCTACAAGAGTAAGACGCTTCAAAACGGCGCGGTCTGATGATATCGTCGACAGTAATAGAAGCCATTCCTTTTTCCATCGTCTAAGTCCATATATTGCTGGTCCACCTATGCGTTCAAAATCTTTTCACACCGTATCAGTCCAGGTTTTTATTGGCCCACCTCGCTTTTGACGCAACCCATCACAGGATTTAGCAAGTAACGAAATATGCGTTAACTCCTATGGTGGACGGAGAACATACCCTAACCGGCGAAAACAACGCTCGGTGATAAAACATTATTAATGCAAGTAGTATTTGAACCAAGGTGGATATGATCATGTGATATTTTATCCACTCGATGGACCCGTAAAATGTACCTTAGACAAGAGTGGTCAAAGGCTTCTTAACTTCTTAATATCCTCCACTCTCATTGGCCTTGCATCAGATCCATATAGTAAGATCGTACGAATCACGGCTATATTGATGCTAACTTTCGTTTTTGTGGTGATTTCACGACGACTCCATAAAGGTTTCGTCAACCAGAAGAACGCATTTCTAGCTGCCGTTATCCGAGCTATATCATCTTTTGCCTGGCCATTTGGTATTAGAGTGGACCTAAGGTATTTAAAATCGAGCATTTCCTCAAGCGGCAATGCATTTATAAACAGAGATATTTTATCAGCTTCTTGCACATAAGACTAAAAGGCTTTCGTTTTATTTACATTGATCCTGAGTGAGTCCGATTCTCTACCCTTTATTATGAGTGAAATTCGAATAATTGTGCAACAGACGATCTCTAACAAAAGGATCCAAACATAGCGCCCAGTGAAGTTAGTCAAAAAAGAAATGATGGATGAGATCAAGTTTAAACTGAAAGGCTGTTTTCCCATGAAATTTGCAACTTTCCATTAAGTCTGCAGGTTTTATCGCACAATTTCGTAATATTTGCATACTGCTTCGTAATGTTCCTCAAATGATTTAGTAATTTACAAAAATAAACCGAAAGATAAGGAAAAGAAAATGTTTTGGACTTCTTCATCCGTAAATGCATGGTAAGCAAGTACTGCAAAATTTAGTCAATTCTAGTTACATCTTCCACTCTATGATTTACTTCTTTTATTTAAATTAGTTATGCTTTTTTAACGTTGAAAACTTTTAAGGAGATTTCCCAAAGTACTACAAGAAAATATTTTCTGCCCTTTCGGTTTGTTTTTCGTAAATTATCTGCAAATATTAGTGAAGTGAACCGCAAAATTAAGAAATTATTTGACAAACTCTTTAATTTTTCGTTAATCATTTCCTTTTCAATAAATTTTTCTTTGCGAATGTTCCAAAATGATGTTCCAAATTTTGCCAATAACTGATTTGTAAAAATTATTGTTCGTTTCGCATGACAAACTACTTAATTCATGAAGGCCATTTTGATACTTTTATACTAAAAACTTGCCAAAATGATTTTTTTCATCAAAATTAAAATATTTCAGCTAGCGTGCAAGAAGAATATCCGTATGGGACCACATTCATTAGCTGCTGCCAAACGTGGTGATTATGCCTCAACTTATGCGAAAGAAGACTTGAAGAAAGGCCTACTGGTGTAAATATGGGCAAATTATTTACATTTCATTGTATATATTTTTGATTTTCTGAACGAAAGAAATAATTTCGGTCTTAAAATTTCAACTTTTTATAAAGATTTAACACTAATGGTAAATTCTTTACCATCTTTGTAAATAAGTTTGTAAATATTTGCATTGTTTGTTTGGCTCATAATGGTCGAGCCTGCACCATAGATATCCACTTGCACTGCACCTGGCTTTTACATGTGGATCGAAGATAGTCAATACTACTATCTTGCAGGAAAAATTATATTATATTGGGCGGATTTTGTTTGGCTCATGATGTTTAAATGAATATTATTCAATTATTTTGCTATCTTTAGTAAGCCATCTTAATTATATCATTTTTTTTCAAAACCATCCGAAATTAGTATTAAATTTACCCATACCTTACCCATTTAATCCTAAAGATTGGCTATCTGTATCAAAGCTATCAGAGTTTTTGAAAGAATAATATAGGGAGTCCTTTGGCGATAGAAATACAGGTAAAACACCAGCATCACTCGGATCTTTAGACAAGTTTGCTCGTGTGAGGAATAAAACCTCACCATTGACGCTCGAACTTGAATCTATTGGTTCGACTAAGAGGAAACCATCATAGAGTTGGCTCCGTTACCTTGGTATGAATAAATATCATTGAAAATGAAGTTCGAATATTGTTGAGGACCCATTTATACTTCTATCCTTTGGTGGCTCTCTCTTAAAGATATCTCTAATATATTAATAGTCAGTGGAGAAAACCCAGCTTCTAACCAAATGGCTTGATAAAATATTAAATTTATATATATATATATATATATATATAAACAAATACATATATTTGATAGACCTACGATCAATAATCTATGAAAATTTTATAATTTCAACCATGAACTATAAATTATTGGTTCTCTGCCTATGTGTTCATAAAACAGGTTATTTTCATTGTTGAAAATAAATAACAATAAATAAAAAATTTTTATGATTATGCTAATATTGTAATACACTTTTTTTTAAATACCATAAAAATATTATAAAAAACAACTTTTATCCAAAAAAAAGATCCGTAATAATTTGTTAATAATAAAAATGAACTTCAGAAAAAAAGTTTTAAACAAATTTATGAAAAAGAAGGCAATTAAAAGTAAAAAAAAATAAAGTTATCTTTAATTATTGTTTTGATTAAAGTTTAAATAAAATATTATTTTTTAATGAAAATTTCATTTTTTTTATGAAAAATTTCATAGAGTTGATTTGCCTGCAGAAGTTCGCCAATTAAGAACTTATTTGAACAGAAAAATTCATTTATTTTTTAAATTCTTTGAGAGAGCAACGAAAATATCGAATGAGGAATTTTTTTTAAATGGACAGCGCTCTAGATTTCTTAATAAATTATCCAAAAATAGTTGAAAAAATGAAAAAAATAAAATCAAATGTCATTCAGGAAACATAGCTTTAAGTAATTTTTTCTCTTTCCAAAATCGTCTTTCGGTGATATAAACGTGTATTGTCGATAATACAGCTGCTATAATCAGTGCAGAAATGATGAAGATATAAAGCATCAGAACGAGAGGTCTCTTTTCGTTGATAAGACCAAAGCTATGAGGATTTATCCTTTCTAATAATTTCGAGCTGTTTCTAGCCACATCATCATGGATTGCATCGGATCGAAAATGAACAAATTTTCCCGTTTCTGATAAATTTGCTTCTTCGTAATGCATTGCACTACTTTTTTCTCTTACCATATGATAGTATTGTTGTAAGGCGCGCCGGCAGATGATAGCGTTAAACTGGCTTTTCGTGCATTTTCTTGTTCTAAATTTAGAAGGCCTGTCGACTGAAACCACAATGAACGCACAAAACGAAAAATTACCTGCCTCAGATTTCTTAAAATTAATAAGGATCGGAATTTTTTGCAATCCATGCTCACGAATATAGATTAATGCTAATTCTTCAGTAATCCTGAAATCGTTAGCATCATTTGGTAACCATACTTCGGATCCAAAATGTAAACATTCATTTCGCAAAGTTTCAATTTTAATTTGATTCCATAACAGACTGGAAGTCCGATTGATGAAGCGAATATGATAGCAAAACTCCACTCCTTTTTGCTTGAAACGGTACTCAGTGAAGTTAGGAACGTTAAACTCAGGTTGACAAATTATTTTAGCGATTATGTCATATTTTAGGAAGTTTATTAGGCTTAAAAAAATGATAAAATTTATTCGGACCATTTTCATCCCCAAAAAGATTAAAAATAATAATTTGAAATCTAAATATTGAAATTAAACCTTTATATATATGCAAATTTTTTGGACATTTTCTTTTTTACTGAGCGTTATATTTGGAACAAATAATGAGGAAACATTTAAATTATCGGTACTCCTATTGCACCAAATTTTAGTTTTGTAGGCTTCTGTAGCTACGAGGATCTTTTAAACGACATAAATTAACGTGGTTTTATAATAAGTACCAAATGCAGCCCTTTCATATCATTTGATCTACCAAAGTTTAAAGCTTATAAATTAAATTGTTAAAAAATCAAACTTAATGGCACCTATTATCATTCAAATTAGGTTTCGCGTTTAATGGAATTAAGCCTGTTGTCATTAAGAAATCCAAGAATGTTGAGGAACAATTAGTTTTTCTATTCTAAAGCGGCTGTCACCTACCTAAATTTGGTGAATTCAACTTCTACCACATTTTATTGAAAAAATAGAAATGAATTTTCACAATCAACTCATTAACTACTTCGAATTTGGTTAGAAATACTCGAGTGTGAGGATGAATTTTTGTATTTATATTTTTGCAATGTAATTATTTATAAAGTGCCCTACGGCACAAGCAGCGCAATGCTAAATTAAAATACCATTTAAGCAATATTAAATTTAGAAATAACGAATGTTTAAAGCTGATTTGTAGAATATTAATTTATTGAGGAAATTACCACATTTGGTGAAAAAGTTTGTAGGATTATTGAGATTTTTCCTGTCGAAATGGGAACCATGATAAATTTTTACAAAAGTCTCTAAAATTCAATCATCACATTGTATTTTTAAGTTTTATATTTCAACAAACAAATCATTTGGTTTTGATTTTTATTTCATTTTCTAGTCAGTTTTTTCCCGTGGAAACAAATGATATACTTTTAATTTACCGATGACATCGTTGTCATCTCGCATAAATTAGCGGTGCATATTGGTTAGGGTTAGGATTGAATGAAATGATAGGATTGAAAGAAGGAATGAATGAATGATTTCATTTTTTACTTCTCCTTCTAAAAGCTTTCACCACTTTTGCGTTGGTTTATTCCACTAAATTATTAGTAGGAATTTTCGCCAGAAAGATGCTCGTATACGTGGGTAGCCGGCATCATTTCATTTATAATGGCAGTTTTGTGCCAAGCGAAATGCCACTCGATCGGTTGGCACGGCTATGAATAACTGATGGCTCATGTAAAATTTTTTAGGAAGTTTTTTGCGTCTTTCTTCGGAAAAGCTAAATTACGATTTGAGAGCAATGAAGAAAGTCCGTCCACGTGCAAGGTTTTTCATCCCTCTTTCGTTGGTTTGCATTAATATCTTTTCTTTTATCATTATTCCAAGGCTATGGTTCATTATACTATAACTTAAATCAAGTGGATATAGTTGGCATATTTTTTACTCTTCAGAAATGTCGACTAAGTATAATAGTTCGGGAAGTTTGCAAGGCCCTCGAGGCTGAAAATATTAGTGTGGATGAAAATTTAGTGGATCGTTGTATCGATGTTGGGGTTGGTGCAGTTGGAACTGGGTCGCCTATCCAATTAATTAGTGTTGCTTATAATCTCTATATGCAACAACTTTCGGTATTTTTTCCTATTTTTTTCTTATTTCTTAGTGCGAAAAATTTCAATTTCTATAAACTGTAAAAGAATAAATTGATCGATCAATGAAGTTGTGGCTATGATTTTAATATTACTGAAAAAAAACCCATATATTACTGATTCCAATTTATCGTTTGACCCGGCGAAAGCAAGAGATGGTAACTGAAAATAAAAACTCTATACTTTTACTTGAAAGCGATTTTTTTTTCGTCAAGAGCGCTAATGTTGCTGGTTACGCACCATTGACTCATTGGGTTTAAAAAATTTAAAAGTATAGGTGAGTCGCCAACATCACCCGGATTTTTAAAGGATAGGTTAATTCATGAAGAGAGTAGAACCTTAGCGTCGGCGAAATTAAAGCAATCCACTGATCCACTGATCTATTCTAATTTCTTTTGCTTTCGCAACTTGCCCTCTCGGTCCGAGTTGACGTAGAGCCATTGTCTGCAGCAATCATTACTAAATCCCCATCCACACATACTAGAAATCGTTCATTAAAATGGTTTCCTACTATGCCATTATCGAATAAACACTGCTAATATCCGCTATTTAGCCAAGTGCTGCAGAAAAACAACGAACTAATCGTAAGCATTATGCAATAAAATATATGGATGAAAGTGTATCGCTATCTGATCGCATATTTTGTTATATAATGTTTAAAATTCCGAATGAAATGGTTATTCCTTTCATTCCTTTCTTTCTTGGTTCATAAATAGGTTTTATGCATATGCAGAAGGTGAATGATGCGTGTCAAATAGGTTAGGTCGGTTTAAAGCCAAAAGGTTTTGAATTTCATATCAGTTGTATTCTCTAATCAGTTAGAAATTCGTTTCAGCCAATATCAACGAAAACGATTCGCGATATTATTGAGGAAAATAAAAAAGATGATTTTCATGAATGGAAAGAAACTGCGTATTCAGTTTTTGCTGCGATCCCATCTGTACCTTTAGCTATAAGACTTATTCTTCAAGATTTCTACATAGCTTCGATTCGATCATTAACAACGGATGATTTTCGTCTTTTGAAGGAGAAAGATGTAAGTTATAAAAGTTGATCGAATTATCTCCACTCGACTCGAAATCTTAATGTTGGTTCATATTTTATATTGCACTGCTTAAGTGGTATGGCGCTTGAAGTAAAAACGCCACGATTATTCCTTGATAGGAGTGAATTTGTCATTAGAAAGAAGTAAAAAGTTTCCTGCAAGTGATCCCAACTGAACCTTCTATAGGTTCTGGCGGAAGAATTTTAACTTATTAATCAATGAAGTAAAACGAATATGCTTCGAAAATGAAGAGCAACATTTTAAGAACAGTTCAATACATTTCACCATGAGGGGATAAAAATTTTTTATTTTTTAGATTGATTGTGTCGTCGTATACTCGGAATTTTTGGATTATGGTTTTAATGTGAAGAAAGAACTGCCACTGTTTGGATCAGATGCCATAGCAGTTATAGAAGATCCTATGGTTCTCTCACTTCCTATTGATGTCTTCGTCAGCATTCATAAATGGCGATCGAATGGTACTAATCCACTCTTTATTTGCTGCCGATCCACTTTTTTTTTCTCAAATATTTTTTCAGAAAAACGTGTTTGTGTTGCATGTGATACTGATGGATTAACTATATCTGGCTTGATAGCAGCTCGATATTTATCGCTTATAACTCGTTGTAGCCACAATGATGCGATTATGACTGTAAAAATTGCCTACAACTCATTTGTTCCAAAACCATATGCTCTTTCTGAATTCTTATCAGCTAAAACTGAGGTATTTTAAATTAAATGATAAATTTTAAATTTTAAATGATAAATTATAAATGATAGTGATAAATGATAAATTTTTGATAATTTACTCAATAAAACTGATTGATACAAAATTGAATGCTAGCGGATTATGTTGATATTATGTATTCTTAAGCAATGATTTTGAATTAATTCATTTAATATTATTTAAATATATTCAAAAAGAAAATAAAAAATATTAGCAATTATAATCGAGTATGTTGGCGAGACCCATTTGCATAAAATTTTATCGCTAAGTAAAAAATTTCTTTTCATACTAAAACCAGTGCAGCTACTCGAATGAAAAAACGAGTTGTACGCTATCTACTTTTACTGCTTTCATTACGACGATGGTTTATAATAATAATAATAATATAATAATAATAATAATAATAATAATAAATAACGATAGCAATGATATTTTATAGTAGGTTAAAATCGAAATTAACAAATCTATAACTATGCATCGTTGGTTGCTATCGAGAAATCTAAGGCCAACGCACCATGTTTCGTCGCAGCGTAATGTTGTCAAATGGCAAGAGTAAGCCTGTCCTTCAAAAATCCGGTGCCGTTACTGCCAACGAGAGTCACTTGCATTTTTATCGCGACTCCCTGGCAAACGAGCTGCAAGCAGCCTAACCATCAATGGTGTGCGTTCTTAGAAAAAAAATGACAACAACAACAATAAAAAGTAATAATTAGTAATAACTAGTGATAATATTAGTAATAATAATAACAATAATAATAAATAGCTGGCGACTCACCTGTATTTCTATCGTCAAAGGACTCTCTGGCACATTTGTCTAATGTGATAAGCCAGCGGAGCGAGTTTAACCATTAATGGTGAAAACTCTTTAACAAAAGGAAATGATAAATAGCAGTGTTATTTAATAATATTTTAAAATCGAAATTAGCAAACTTATAATTACTATGGAATTGTTGTAAGCGTACAAAATTTTTTTTTTTATTCTTTTTTCGTTTTTTTTTAGTTTAGGATGAAGAAGCGAATCAAATAGCACTCCGAGTACCAACTCCAAATTCGATGAAGAATTTTGACCTTAGCATGCTTGAAAATTCAATTCGTGGTAAAAGTATTTGAAGATATTCATCCCAGTTTCATCCAAAATTAAAATAATCAAGGCATTCTCGCTTTGCTCAAAGTGAAAATATTTTGTTAGGTAAAAGTAAATTTTGTATGATTTTTTCTAATGGGGAATTTATTTAATTTCTCTCTTTTTCGAATTAAATTAGTGTTAAGGCTTGTAAAAAAAAGAAATATTTATCGAAATATTTTATTTTAATAAATTTTTATTATAGAATAAATTTGTTTTATAAAATATAGGCAAAGCAAAGCATTTCAAGTATGAGATGACAGTTATAACCAACTTTGTTCGAGTAGAATGTAGCATTCATAAGCTCGAATCATAGATATGGAATTTTCACTAGTCGATCGGAGCGAGTGCTAATAGATGATAATAATAGTTATTTATCTCTTTTTCGTTGGGAAATCTTCGTTGGATCGAATCAGCTGAATGTTCTCATATGGGTAAATACTACGAGTGATGAAGGACTGAGAGGACTGAAACTATGCAAGTTACTGCTACTGAGAATAAGTCATTAATGATATTGAATCAAATTGTTTTAATAAATGAAAAACAACAATGAAAAATGAAGAAGAACAAGATGATCAAGTTAAAGAAAGTAAGCGAGAGAGAAACAATTATATAAGGTATTTATAGAATTTCGAAATTTAAACGGATAAATCCAAAGAAATTTCGGAGATGCTTATGTTCGCCTTGAGTAAATTTGGCTATTTTTTGGATTTTGATCGCCAATCGGTGCATCGTCCAGGAATCTAAAGACGTTTTTATTCGTTTTTTATGATTTCTTGTTCAGTATTATAATTGCTTTAAATCAACGATTTCAATTTTTTAAATGTTTACATAATATTTGATTTTTTAAATTTTTATTTATTTCAAATTTTAACAATAAAAATTGTTTCTTTTTCGTTCACTTTTGCATCGCAATAATAATTTATTTTGTGAAATTCATATTTTGAAAAGAAAAATTACATATCATTGCGATATTTATCGGTATTTTTGGCCAGTTGAATCTTCATTTCAAATATTTTTTTTAAAGATTTCCACATTTGTACTTGATCGATCGCATTTTGAACAGTTGTTTCGTTGAAAATTTGTGATTTACGCTGTAGGGTTTCCGATTCGATATTGGCCTTACGGATTTCTTCCTCAAAAAATTCTATATAGGCTAGCGAAAAAGCGGAAGCAAAAAAGCTCTATTATCGTAAAAATGGAATGGATTCGAATCAGCAGTTTGCTTTATCAACAATTATTGTTAAAAAGATCAATGAAAAGGAGACTGATAAGACAGTTTTCATTCTCAATTCAAGGATATGTGTAGTTTAGTGGCATACCGAATTAGCAAAGTGATTTCAAATATACTATATAAGACGACGGTACCTATAAAAAAGAAAGCCAAAAAGTAAGCTACGAAAAGAAGCTTTTGTTATAACTTAATGAAGAATATAAGCACAGGAGACACCAAAAAAGAGTGGAAGTGGACCATTCTCAAAAATAGCCTTTTATCTTTTCGAATATTACTTATTATTTCAATAAGAATATATGTCTGATATGGTTATTTTCAAAATTTATTAAATAATTAAAATGGCAATAAAAATAAATTTTTACTCCAATCAAATCAGTCAATCGTTTTTCTTTATTATTTGCTTCATCTTCAAGTCGTTTTAATAATGCTTCGGTAATTTTCAATTCAACTTCTGATTTGTTCGATTTTCGCAAATATATATCAATTTTTTCTTCTAATTCTTTCACCTCCTGGAATTTTTTTTGGTTTGATAGTTATTTCTAATTCCTTTTTCTAATTCATCATTCCTGGTTTCGTCGCGCTTTACTGCTTAATGTGGGACAACTTCAGTAGAAAGTCAGCTGGAGAAATGAGCCTCAGCACTGTCCGGGATTTCATTTTAAATGATAAGTTTGCTGAAAAGGGTCTAAAAAGACGGAATCATTACATTTGAACTGTCAGTCTAAGTAATTCAGCTTCCGGTTACCAGTTACCGATTACCGTGTCTCAATTTCAAATTTACAATTACATCATTCGCATATATCTTATGTTACAGTCATAGTTTGCCAGTTTTCATATTCGAATTATTCTTGAAATCATTGCAAAAAACTGGAAGAACAAATTATTACCGTTTGCAGCTGATTTAATTCGCTCTCCATTCCGGCTCTCATCATTTCATAGTTACGATTTTTCGATTTAAATTGATCGCTCAATTCCTAATTTTACAATTACTTAAAACGTTAATACTGATAATACTATTAATACTGATAACAAGGAGGATGTGGTAATTAATACTCGTAATTAGTAAAGATTAGTAAAGATTAATTAGTAAAAATTAAACTGACTGATTCTTGCGAATCGTAATAAATGTGAAATTTATGATAAGAATGAAAGAGCCTAATATCCAGAAAAATAAATAGAAATAGCCACAACGATATCGGATGTTAGGATGATAGGCAAAAATTTGCAATAATTGGGATCCATCACTTTAGAAAGCTTGGACGAAAAAGAAAGAGTAATTTTCGAGATGATTCTCAAACTAACCTTGAATTTGATATTAGTCTCAGCATTTCGCTTCGATAAGTCATTAACCAGGTTTCGTTTACCGTTGATTGTTTCATTTAATGTTCTTATCATTTTTCGCAATTCATTAATATCTTCCGTTGAAGGTTTCGCTGTTTTCGGTCGGTCCATTTGCTTGGAATCTAGATTTTCATACAAATTTCCTCCACTTTCTTCCTATAACCAAGTCTATGAAGTTTGCAGCAGAAAAAGCGACTTATTAGAATATTTTTGAATATGTTGAATATATCTTAATACATAAGATGAGAGTTTTTTTGAACATTTTTTTTTGAAATATTTGGATCGAAAAAAATTTACAATTTGTTGTTTAAGCGATTGCCACTGACCATTAAGGATATCTACAGTACGTGCATGAATAATATATTCGTTCTTCAAATCATCCACTTCAGCCCGTTTTACTTTATATGAAGAAGTTTTCGTACGAAGTTTATTTACGTAATTTTTGAACTAAATTGAAATTCAAATTTCTTGATAATTGCCAATGATTTAGTGAATTAAAAAAGTCAAGAATTTATCGAATATTCCTTAAGATCGACAGTTAAAATCAAGGAAAATTCTTCTTGAAATGGTTTCTTGAAATTTTCATAATTTTATAATAAAATTTATCATTTAATTTATAATTTATAATTTTATAATTTTTAAATTTTATAATTTTTTATTTTTTATTTTTCCTCTTCCTTACATTATTTTATAATATTATTATGAAATGTTGAAAAGCAGATTATAAAATTTCTTAAGATTTAATCCAAAACGGAGAGATCCAAAAATTTCGCATTCTCATAGTTAATGGAGCTAACCTGATTATCGATGGTAAATAATGTAAATAATGGAAGAGGAAAAAGGGATCTGAATATCTTAAAGAGATATTCAGAATGATGCTGAGAAGGCTTTATTTCCAAGTAACTTCTTAGCTAAAATGCTAAATGCTTTATGTTAATAGTCAGTGAAGTAAGTAATCTAACTGGAAACAATGAATATCAGAGAACAAAAAAAGTCTGGATGGAACGAAAAAACCAACTTGTGTAGAGGTGATGATTTGGTCATTTCCAGTTTTCGCTTTTAATTCGTTCTTCTTTGTTTCTACTAGATTTTCGATGTTTTTAAGTTCATTCCTGAGTGAAATAATTACAGAAATGAAACAGAAAATTAGCATTTTTCTCAATTTAGATGAGTTCCTTGCCAAAATTAGACTTCTTACCTCTCGATATGATTGGTCTCACTCTAGTAAACAGTGGAACTAATCGAAGCCAAAGAGGCAAGAGCCACTTAGATAAAAAAGGTGAAATGATACTTTTCGAGGATCAACACTTAAAAGAATCGAAACTTACCGGGCATCTTGTAGTTTTTCGGCGAGTAATTCTTTTTTCCTTGCAACAGCAGCCGCTTGATGCCGATAAATGGAAAGCTTTTCGGTTGTTTCATCTTTTTTATCTCTGATATTCATCAATTCTACAATTTCTTCGTTCACCTTTTCAATCTACAAATAAATAATTAACTAATTCACCGAAATTATAGAAATGACAACGCAACACCATATCATCTCAAGTCGTTGGAATCAATCTTATCAGTAATGATACGAGCTATTAGAAAAAGAAGACATACGCCTAATAACCCTAAACTGGGTTATTATGCATACCTCTTTTTGCAATTCCTCAATATCCTTCTTGTCTATGGCTGGCATATCGATCACCTTCGACAATTTAGCGACAATGGCACGCTTAGCTTCGATTTCTTTCGGTAATTTTTCCTCTACCATGTATCGGTTGGTTTCAATTTCTTCCTAAAACTCTAGCAATAAGTTATAAAGTCCCAAAGAAATTAGATGTATATGGTAGGATTTTCTAAGAGGTAAATGCCTATGTAAATGAAATATGAGAGGCACTGAGAAACCTATATAATCAGGTGATTCTCTACTAAATCAGTGTTATCCTAAGAGTCAGTTGCAGCAAACTAACCAAATCAGAAATGATGAATGTTGCTAGAAAAAGAAATATACTTTAAGTCGCTGTATCGCTTCTCTTGGATCCAAATTTTCGGTTGATTCTTTAATTTCTTTTAAAATTGAACTAAGACGCTGAATTTTTTGCTCGTTATGAGCCAACTAAAATTAGTTTAGATTAGACTTTTGAGATAAAAACTGCGATAAAACATTCTGCGTGGTTTTTATGTGGTTTTTTATAGTAGCAACTAATTCCAAGAACACCAACCCAATTGTGTTGTTCTTGTCTTTCGAGAGCGATTTTCTCAGTTCGTTCATTTTCATGGCGATATGTCTCAGCCAAATCGAAATATTTCTTAATATTATCGACATTCTTTAATTTTCTCTCAGTTTTTTCGATGCGTTTACGTAATTGTTCCTTTTCTTGTTCCATAGTTTTTAAATCTTTTCGAATATCTTCGACTAATAACGAATCCTTTCTTGCTTCGGTTAAACGCGAATGATTCGCCTTTATAAGATTCAATGATGCATTATAATATGAAATTTTAAAATTTAAGAGCTTTACGATTCAATAGAATTTCTACAATAATGATTTCATTGATAAGCATTTCTCCAGGAAATTACTTCAATGCTTAATAATGAAAAAGAGGGGAATTGAAAAATTTTACTACTAAAGCTTTTACCTTGAATTCTTCCATGAGTAAATCTATTTGATTCGAAAGTTCCATCAGTTCTGTGTCTTGAAAATTCCCTGAATGAAAGGATTAAGAATTTTGGCACAGGGAAATTTGGTTGAGAAGTAGAGGACAGACCAAGCAAACAGTGGTTGGGATTACCACGCTGAAAGGCAAGGGTTCGGTTCGCCCTCATCATGAACAAAAACCTTATCTATCTTTATTTCTATTGCCAAGTACCTCCCGTCAGAAATTTTTAGCCCAACTAGCAGCCTGTGGAACCAGTGGAGTGAGGAATGATGAGGAATGATGAGCACTAGCCACTTAGTGGAGGAATGAAATAATTGAAGTGAAGAAAAAAGCAAAAATAAAGAAGGAAATTTTTAAAATATTTAATAAAAAATTGGAAAATTTAAGAATTTTCTCATTTAGAAATTTAATGAGTTGCAGTACAATCAATGATTAAAAATGATTAAACCTGGAATGTCAATTTTAGTAAGGAATTTGGAAAGATAAGCGCGTTCTTTAAGTGGATTCGGATCCTTGAAAATCCATTCGAGGATCGGATAGATTGCAGTTTTTTCACCTTCCACGATACCTCGTCGCCATTCTTGTCTTTAAATGTTTTCATATATATGCTTTTTTACTTTCAAACCTTCGTTTACTTTGGTGCACTCGGATGCCATTGAGGACGCATAGGTACCTCTGGCGAAGAGTTATCATCATAACGATTAATGTAATCAGCCAAAACGAAAATGGAGAAAAACGTTCAAAATACTAAAATTTAATTAAATTTCTAATATTAATATTATTATATTAAATAAAACCAACAATTGTTCGATATCATTTGGCGGTTTATATCTGAGAATTTTGAGATAATTAAAGATTCTCAAAGCTGTTTCATCTGCAGCTTCCTCTCGAATATCAATTCGTTCAGCTGAATCGATCCACTGGAGAACATCGCTTAAAATTTGAAGAAGACGAATCGATGTGATCGAATCGAAACTAATCAAATTCAAATTCATTAAAAATGGTTCACCGTTAAGGCCTTCAATTATTGTTTTCACCATTTGCACTGTCATCTTCAATCGCTTATCTATAAATTATCAGTGCAGATAAATAAATTATCATCAAATCATCATCGTCGTACTATTGCAATAGCCGAGTGTTTGTTATCGGATTATCATCTTGAAAATTAACGGTTGAGTTTTATCTCCAATGGTATTGCCATTGAAAACACGGGTTATACTGGCGTGTTTCTATCGCCAAGTCACTCTCTGACCATACTAAGTGGCTCTTAGTGGACTGAAATTAAGTGCTAAGCGCTAGGTAGTCACTTTTCAATTAATAGAGAGTGGAACGTGGAACTAAACCAGAAGGTTTTCATTTCATTTAACTTTACCCGTTCAGAAAATTTAGAATAAATTTAAAAAAGCTAATGGCCAGCATTCCGCTGTTCAAACAGCCTATCCACACGACATCTTTGGAGAAAATTTAATTGAATGGTGCTTGCAACCAAAGCGATGCAGTCTGAATTATGTTACTATGGTAATATCATTTATCAAATAGCATTTAATGCGCACCTATTGTTTCCTGGATTTGGTACTCGACCTTCGGAATTCATCACCACGTTAGTGAATTAATTACCAATCAATTTTAGACAGGAGAGCACTATATGGGAAAATATCACTTATTATCCGATAGGACTGATTCCATAAGCCTTTTAAAATTTTAAAGAAGTTGTGGTACCAAAAAAAACTAAGAGAGTGCAAATATTCTTTACTTAATACTTCTGATGTTTCTCAGAGATATTGCTTTTGTTCGATAGATTCCTATGTGGAACCTTCATAACGGAAAAATTTATAACCGATCATATTTGATTTGGTATCATATGCAATAATTCACAGGACCAATAAATGCTGGGGATCCGCTCGCTCGTAGCGAAATAACTTCATCCTAATCACCGATGGAACCAAAAAGAAACGAGATATGGCGAACGACATTTGCATGCTTCCATGTTATTTAGTGCATGTTTTATTGCATACTATTGAGTGCATGTTTTATTGCATACTATTTCCCTCTTTTCTCTCTTCTTTTCCTTGTTTCCCTCATCTCTTCTGTGGTTGAATAATATTGCAACATCCAATTTGCCTTCGAAATAAGCAAAGTACCACTTCATTATGACAAATATATTCTCTAAGTTCCAAAAGTCGACAAAATTATAGATGAAGCCGATTAATAGCAGCTGCAAATTAGTAGTCGCATTGTTTTTTTTTTAGTGATCTTCACAGGCCATTTAGGCTCAAATTTCCTATATTTGCGGGTTTCTTTTACCTTTATACCTTTGGAACTTAAATTATTGAGTCATTATATATTAAGACATGAGGGTCTTTTCAAAATTTTACCTTCGGCGACGGCGATGCTCAATTCACTCAGTGGTTCTCTTACAATTTTTATATTTCAGGAACCATCGGAGTTGGTTTCATCCATCGGCATAAGTGAAGTCGCCTCTTCTTTATCCCTTCTTCTGTTTCTAACCGCTGAAATTCTTCCAATATATCTCAAACGGCTTTCAGAAGGTTTATTAATCTCTATTATATTATTTATTCACGTAATACCTATTATAATGCAATGTTCAGCGCGTAAAAATCCAGGTTTATGGATATTATAGCTCACTTCTTTTGCACCTTAGGGTTACCAAACTTAAAAATTATTGGAATGCGGTACGATTTGCCAGTAGGGTTCAGTTTCGATCGCAGACCAGCTCCGTGCTGCATATCCTTCAATTGGCAGTACGGCGTTCAGTGCTGCGTAGATTATATGGGAGTCGCAACTGGTGCATCCGGTGACTATAAGTTTGCATCTTACACTCTCTCTCAACAGTATTCCTTCAATTAGGTGTTTTTGTTGTAATCATAAGGTTTACTTTTCTTGGCCTTTATTACCTTTATTACCTTAATTTTTTAAATATTGTCCCATTTTTAAATAATTTAATTATTATTAATTTTTAGTTATTCTTATTGAATTATTCCATAAGATTTCTTTATAGTTTGATGGGTTGAATTGATGTTCTTGGTTGAATTCCTTTAAATTTGTTGCTTTGCAATCGGCAATGATTCTGGAATTGAGGAAAGGGAGAGGGGGAAGGGGCATTTGATCAAATTTTGAATTTTCTTTCAGCCTTTTTGGATACATTTGATAAGAAAAATGAACGCTTCGAGCTCTTATCGATATACTTTACTTCCTGATTCAACTATATCAGCTGAACAGTTCGTTAGTGATACTCTTCAAAAACAGCAGGTTTTTAGCATTTTTATTCTAATTTCTTGATTTTCTAATTTTGAACTTTGCTAATCAAATTTTATTAAAGATGATTTTTATCAGTTAATTTAAATTATATAATTATATAAATTATATTATATTAAAAAAATAATTATATTAATTATATAAAAAAATATGATTAATTATATGATTCCCATACTCGGAATTTCAGCTTATAATGAGGGATCAAGATAAAGATCTCGAGAAGGTGGGCAATTCAGTTCATACGTTAAAGAACATTAGTTATCAAATTGGGCGAGAATTGGAGGAACAAGCCATGTAAACATTTTTAAAACTTTTTGGCATTTTAATTTTCATTTATTATGGCTTCACCTACAATTCAATAAAATAAAATAATACTATTAAAACGATCTGAGTTAGCATAAATTGGATTTGTTTTTTAAATATATTTTTAAATTATATAGTTTTTAAACCTCGTGTATTTAAGTGTTCTTGACGAATTGGGAACAGAAATGGATCGGGCGGGAACAAAAATTGATGGAGTCATGAAAAAAATAGCTCGTATAACAAATTTGAATGATGGTACTTTATATTTCGTAAAAATATATTTTATATATATTATTTATAAATATATTTAACTTTTTTTTTACTTTGTCTTTTTTAGTTTTTGAATTTTTTCCTCATAAATACATAAATAAATATATAACTAAATATTTTTATTCTTTTTATTTTTATAATATTTTAAAATATTTTTTTAAAAATATTTTTAAAAGCGTTTATTTTAAAACGTTTGTTTTTTAGATAAAAGGCAGTGGACAGCAATCTTTATTCTTTCTGTTATACTGTTTTTTATAATAATTTTATTTATTATTTTGTAGAAGAAAAATGTTGTTCTTCCCACTTCTAATTGCTCATTTCTTTTATAAATATGGTATGGGTGATAATATTTTTTGTTGCTAAATTTTTGCTTTTTGTATGATTTTATGTGACACTGTATATACTTCTATTTGATTATTTACTTATATTTTTATTTGTTTTCTTAATTTTCATTGTATAAATATATTTTATTCAAATTAATTTGTTTTCATTTATATAAGATAAGGTTGACAGTTGATTAAATTTTCGCAAAATATCTTTATCGCTTTAAAATCATCTTAATATCGAAAATTCTGCATCGTTTGATCCGTACAATATCTGCGATACAGTATTAAATAAAAGATATAATGCTACTGGTGTCGTACCAATTAAACTTATCAGAGTTGCTTAATTTTTTGGTATTGAACTATATCTTTATTCTGAACTGATAAATCAAATAACGATGGCAAAATCTTTGTATTATCCAATGAAGTGCATAATTTCAGGTAAATTTGATGTCGAATTATCATCGATTATGGCCAGTATTATGTACTATGGTGATATTTACTATATTAAGTGGACGATTAGCTTTGGAATTAGCGAATGATAATGGGTACGTGATGTATTGTCCTTGCATGGGTCGCTTTGGTAATCAAATTGAGCAGTTACTTGGTTCGATATCATTCGCTCGGATTCTTAATCGAACTCTAGTTCTACCGCCGTTTATCGAATATCATCGCGGTGAATCGAAAGCCGTAGGTTTCGCTGTATTTAATTGAAATAGCAGCATAGCTAAAGACCTTTCTGAAATAATACGGTTCACTGCGCTATTTGATCCATGTTTTATATAAGGTTCGAAATTCGAAATCCAATCTGTTCGATTCCCTGCAGGAGTAAACCTGTACAAAAATCCGGGTGATACTGGCGATTCACCTGTACTTCTATCGCCAAGGGACTCCCTGGCATATTGCTCAATGCGACAAGCCAGTGGAGCGAGTTTAACCAGTAATAGTGAGGACTCTTTAGAAGAAGATACAGTTCGAAATTGCTTTCAAGTAAAATTATGAAAAAATTTCAAGCATTTAGTATTTTAGAGTGGTTCAATTTGTTAAATTCGATTAAACTTTGTAAATTTTCATAAAATGATGGTTTTGAAGTTGTTTTGCACAAAAAAAAAATTAAATCAATTTGGATGGATTCTTATTATATTAGTAAAATTTGTAGGTTAAATTTGCTGTTTCCTATTGACCATGGGTTTTTCAGTCATTTTTGATTATTGCATTTTAAGGTAATGATCGATTTTGATCGTTATTTCTTACTGGAACCGTTCCGCGGATTTGTCGACGTAATGTCGATGCAGAGATTTATGAACGATGTTGCTCCTTTAGTATGGCCACCTGATCGGAGAATTGGTTTTTTTTGTTCATTATGCATCATAATCTGCATTTTTTTTATGAACGAAAAATGAATAAGTTGGTTTATCTAATCAGTTTTATTTTTAGCATTTTGCTGGAGTCCTCGCAAAGCATTTTTCACCAAAAGTGAGAATATTAGTTGTCATGCAAAAGATGGAAATCCATTTGGACCATTTTGGGACCATTTTGGAATTGATTTTGTTGGTGATATTTTTTATGGTTCAGTAATACCAAATGGTTATAATATTAAACATGAAAATGTGAAGGAAAATTGGATGAAAAAGTATTTTCTGTCATCATATCAATTAAAACTAGAAATTCCAAAAACTATTCAAAGCATTTTTCTGATAAAATTTGTATTTCTCATAAGCAAATAAATTTCTTTCCTTTCATGAAACTCCTCGAACAGTGAATTAAATTAAGTATTCGTTGAGTTTACTTGAATCGATTTTTCGACAAATGAATGCTTTTACTTAAAAAAAGAAAGTTTTTTAAGATATTTATTTTTAATATATCAGAACAAAATATATCTTACAGCTTTCCTCCATCCGAATATCCTGTACTTTCATTCATATCAGCACCAGCGCCTTTCCCTTCGTTGTTTGAAGATCAAAAGCTTCAAAAATACCTGCAGTGGAATGCTGTGGTGTCAGCAGAAGCGGATAATTTTATTGCACAAAGCCTTAAACGACCTTTCATCGGAATTCATCTTCGTAATGACGTCGACTGGGTGAGTTTGGCAGATAAAAAAATTTAATGGGAAGGATAAAGAGATAATTCTAATCTGGACAGGTCGAAATTATTTTTCAAAATTTATTTCTCATCCTTTTTCTCTTCTTTCCTTTCCAGTTTTTTATTCCTTAATTGGAACTTTTGTTTAAATGGTTGAAAAATCGAAAAATACATTGAAAAAAGGGAACATTCAATTATTTGTGACAACAATTATTTGTGACAACAAATTTGAAGGTGAATGTGTGCGAAAATGTTGAAGATGGTGTGACGAAAACAATTTTTGCTTCAGCTCAATGCACAGGATATTTCGGAGAGCATGGAAGTTTAACGAAGGAAATGTGTTTTCCTCCGCTTTCAATAATTTTAAATGATGTGCGTCTTTTGAAATTCTTCCTTAATATTTCCAAATTTTGAGATATTTCTTTAAGGATTATTATTTAAGGAAATATTTAAATTTAGGATGAGTTGGAATATGTTTTTTGAAAAGCTTGCATTGTATAATATTTAAATTTTTAGACAGAATATGAAGTAAAACGTATCTCTGCGAAATCAGTTTTTGTTTCAAGCGATCGAAATCATTATATCGATGAATTGAATCAACGGCTTGCTTATTTAAAAGTACTTTGTCCAAATTTTTTTTTTATTAGAGGCAAAAATAAATTCCTTAATTAAAAAGAAAAATCGATGGAGAATAGGAAATTTTCTGATTGGGATGCAAATGCAGAAACACAGATCTTGCCACAGATCTTGAGAAGGTGCAAAAGTGCACGGTTCACGGTGCTTGCTGTCTCATAGAAATCCATCTCTGCTTTCTCTTCATATCAATAATTTCATATCAATTTTTTGTTTTCTTCTGTTTAATTTATTGCGTTGTAAAACGAATATCATTTTTTAACAGCCCGGTTTCGATTTTTATTTTAGGTAATTGTTCAACGCCTCGAATCAAACAATGCTCATTTAAGTCTTGCAATATTAGGAAAAGCTGACCATTTTATCGGAAACTGTGTTTCCACATTCAGTTCATTTGTTGTTCGTGAACGTCATTTCGCACACGAATCACCAAAACCCTCATCATTCTTTGCTTTTCGAAAAAGATTTATTAAAGAAAAAATTGAGCTCTGAATTTCATTAATCGACGGTATTCTTTAAAAATATGATTTTCAATTCACTTTTATTAGAATCTCAGTTTTAACTTTGTTTTTATTTTTTTAATTCTATATGAATCTTTTTCCATTTTGTTTGTTTTGTTTTTAACATTTCTTAGTGCATTTATTGGTTATTCTAATTCTAATTCATTGATTCTCCAGAGTTTTTAATGATTTTTAAAAAAACTCAAAAATGGATTCAATATTTTGTTCTACAACTTGGTGCAATCTTTCATTTAACTTAAAGATGCCTTTTTCTCAGAACTTTTTTATTTTCTTGGTAAAAACTGCTTTTGGTTGTTTTTTCCAAAGAATCCAAGTCTTGCCGACAAGAAAATGGTGATTTAAAGTTACGGTGTCTATTGAACGCGATGGGTGGAACAAAAAATCGCAGTCAAACTCTGTTTTCGAATAATTGATATTCTTCCTGTTTCAAATAATTGATATTCTTCCTGTTTTCAAGTTTCAGAATTTTTTTTTTGGATTGCTGCCTCAAATTCATTCAACTGCGAGCAGTGTTTGGCCGAATGGGCTGGTTATTTGGATAGCTCATAGTACGGAATTTCCTTTCGATCCCATCAGGTACGAACTTTTTTCGGGTGTTCACCTTTGGCGCCTGTTAGTGGTATTTCATTTCGCTTATTGCCGAATCTTTTCCGTTTGATATTTTTGTAAATGATCTATTTTTCGCCATCCATCACAGTTCTCTTTAAATGCATACCACGTTTTCTTCACATTTGTCACAGCGAATCACATGCGGAAATACGATTCCTAAATTTTTTTCAGTGAAATACCTACTCGCACATTATATGAAAGTGACTCACCTGACCAGGTCACTCTAGGTGCTCGTATTCTTGGCAGTATTCTTCTCTTTACAAATTCCCGTACTATCGTTAATCGTTCTTGGTCTTTGTCTCCACATAATCATCACGATGTTTGACTGGCCATTTTTCAAGTTAAAATCTTGGCAAAAAAATTCGGAGACCGGTTTTGAGCAAAAAGTTTTATGTACGCGGTTTTATTATTATTTCTATTATTATTAATTGTTAACTAAAAGATACATAAAATTTTATATTTATTATGTTTATCTCCCTAAATATATTTAATTTAATAGGAAATACGATAAAGTCTATTCTCTATTGCAATTTCCTCACCAATAAACTCATATCGATAATTGAGATAATCCATTTGCCCTATTCGCAATGAATAAATTTTCTCAATTTTCTTTCAAATTATTTCGAAGACCTATTATCCTTTGTATAGTTAATTTTTAAAATTGAATTCCATAAATTATTTTCAGAATTTTATAATTCTTTAAGATTTTTTATTAAATACACAAAATACATCTTGAAATAAATTAAAAATTGAACAATTTTTCGTAGGATTGAAATATGAAAAATTAAGAAAATTTCCTAATTTAAAAATTTTTCTGAAATGAAGTGAAGACTAGAATGAAGTGCGAATAGGAAAAATTATAAATTCGGATACAAATTTTTAATAAGTAAAGCCTAAATTTATAGGTATAAAATAAAAATTCTATGCTTGCTAATATAATCGAAAACTTCATCTATACTTCTCATTGCTTTTTCTTCGTAAACAATCATAACGAAAATTATTGCTAAATATTTTTACTATTTTCACTATTTTTTTAGTTTTCTAGTTTTTTTTAGTTTAATATTTTCTATTTATTTCTATTTTAGAATAAAAAAACAAAAAAAAAATTAATGGAATGATTAATAGAATAAATAAATACTGAAATAAAAACACGATTTTCATATAAATTTATGAAACAAAATAGTTTAACGGAAGTTATCTGCCATGTTTCACGTGTTTTAATAATTCAGTTTTCATATTGCTTCAAAAATTGAAAGTACGAATTACGAATCAGTAACGATGAAAATAGATATATAAATATGCTATGCTTAACTAACCAAATGAAAAAAATGGAGCGAGATGCTTTTGCAACTTTTCATCATGGAATCATCTAGAGTAGGAAATAGGAGTAGAATTAAATCACCCAGCCAATAGCCATACGAAAAACGATAAAAATGTCTCCTTCAATCATAGCATGCAAATATTGTTTAACATGTTTACGTGAAATTTAAAGTTCCACGCTCCATTTTAATCCACTCAAAAATATTGCACATCAAAAGACCGAATTATAATAAACTTCTGAAAAATAAATAACATAAAAATTAATCTATGGCAGAATGATTAAATAAAAAATCAATACAAAAGGGAAGCAAACGAGAAAGAAAAGTTCTACATATTGTGAATGAAAAAAAAACGAGAAAAAACGGATAAATTAAATTTTTCCATATTGACAAATTTTTGGTTTATAAAAATTCATAAAATTTTTAATTAGTGAAACCAAATTAAAATTTTGAATATTTTTTTCACAAATTTAAAAATTACATTTAAAAAATTGAGTCAAACAATATAATATTTATCCATCACGTAGCTTGTTTAATCCTCGAAGATTTTCTAAGAATGATGTTGGAGTAAGCAATTGGTCCGATCCTTTAAATCAATTAAATTAAAAAATAAATAAATACAATTCTTATTAAAATTGAATTCGATATTTTATTCAACAAAAACCTAGGAAAACCAAACGTAGACGTTCAAATTTTTCTAATTTAAAAAATCAAGAAAATCAAAAGGTAAGGTCTGCTGAATAAATCGATCATGAATTAACCTATTACGACTTCCCAAGGTTTCTTGTCCTTCGTAACTTCATATGCGGCTCGCATTTCTGAATAAGTGACTCCACCGACAACAAAAATAATAAGACGAGGTCCAGAACGATAAGCAATTTGATGACCACGTTCCTTGTGCCACTGACCGTATCGAGCACTAAAATCTTGTTAGAATACTGAAAGAATTAGAAAATAGAATATAATTGCTCTCTAAGAACCTTGCTAATTAATTGTTAAAAAGAATGTACAATAAGACGACCTAATCGGCGCTCGATAAGTTGGATTCATCTGACGACCAGATAAGAATGGAAAATGCTTAATATCCAGTTTATCATCGATAGCATCTTCCATAATATCTTTAATTACTGGCACCCAACGAGATGATTGATAGAATTGTTCATTTGTGCGTTCTTTTCGATTTAGCGCCCACACACGCTTTCGACCTTGCTGTAAAATATCAGAGAATTCTGAATAAAAAATGAGTATAAAATATTAAAAAATAAGAAATGAGCGATTAAAGAAAAAATAAAAATAAAATAAAAGTGGATAAAAAATATCCCAATTAGGAAGAAAGCATATATGCTTACATCAGTCGTAATATTCAGGCCAAGATAAGAAGCATTCGTAAGCGTTTCCTTTTCAGAGGAATCAATATTTGCATGTTGCAATAATTTATTGAGGTTCTCATCAGTGATACCTGCAACAACGATAAAACGCATAAAAATTTTTGCTTTTGATCTCCGTCGATAAAGTGATATAAAAAAAAAACTCAAAAAAATTTTTTAGATTGAATATTAATATGGAAACAAATCTATTAAATATAATGACTCAGTGGGTTGTTGCTTAATTCGGAACACCGATGCTAAAGTTTTTCGCAGGGGTAAAATCTGCTCGAAAATGCGGGTGATGCTGGCGACCCACCAGTACTTCTATCGCCAAGGGATTACTTGGTATATTTATAGTGCGATAAGCCAGCTGAAGAAGTCTAAGGAAGATAATGATGAGGGCCCTTGAAAAAAAATAATATAAACCTAATACCATTTTTAGAAAGTATATATAAAAGAATAAGACGAATTCGATCAGCTGGTTCAACCGCCTGATCAATAAGTAAGGGAACCATCAACTTCATTGGATCCTTCACTCGCTCTCCATCTGCATCCACTTGCATTGCTAGATCCTTAAAATCATAAAACCATTGATATTGTCAAAAAAAGACATTTGTATTTCAATATCAGAAATTGATATCCTACTAAATCCAAAGTAATAGTAAGTCCACGTATTGAAATAATAAAGGCTTTTTATGCTGCATAAAGATCAGTGAAAATACCTGCTCAACTTTGCAAAGTTTATCAATCCCTTGTTGATATTTCCGCATACATTCTTCTGCTAAATGGAAATGCGTGCTGAATTTATTCAGTTCCTTTTGATATTGTGGCATTTTTTTGATCATCATCGATAAATCTTTAAAAAAAAAAAGAAATAAAAAATATCAGAAGATTTAACATTTAACTGTGAAAAATAATCATATAAAAGCAAAAGCATCGTCAGTTATCAGATATTTAATATCAACAATGAAAGATTTCTCAGTGGTATCAAAAGTTGAAAATATTTTTAACAATAAATTACCCTTAATACTTTTAGCATCAGCACTCATTCCTGCTTTACTTTCTGAAAATTTCTTCAAACCCTTTGTGACCTCCTGAGATACAACTGCAATATGTTTGTGACGATTTTCCACCCATAAATCATCATTCTCATCTAAGAGAACTTCTTTTTCGACGCTATCATTTCCACCTGTTTCATACCTGAATTCAAATAACAATTGAATCAGCCAACATAAAAATAAACAAAAATATAATCGTTTGCTCTACACAAGTAAACTGACCTGTAAACATCATTCTCTATGTCCAGTAGATCGTAGGTCATTGCTTGAAGAGTAAGCTCATGCAACAAAGGTGTAATACAATCAAATCCTCGATCTATAATTAATAACTGGCTTCTGGCTCGATCTGCACCTTCTCCCATGGATGGATCGTCTGCTTTATATGCGTCCAATTTTTGCTCAACTAGATGCGCGAGCTCCACATTCCTTTCGAAATCTGCGCGATATCTTTAAAAATTTTTTTCAGTTGAATAATCGTCCTTTAAAAAAAAGATAAAATAAAACTTTCATTACCTTAGTGAAGGATATTCTCCTAAAGTTGCGCAAACGGTTGCAATTTGTTCGGCTATACGCTCAAGATTTGTCGTCAAACCGCCTTGTTTTTGTGCATTATAATATAAAAAAAATGTTTCTGGTGAATCAAGTGAATATACCTAAATTCAAATTCAAAAAAAATGAAATTCAAAAAATCCGTTGTCTGTTATTAATTATAAAGTGTGAATATAGTAAATAACAGAAACCTGCGATTCGTATGGAGTAAATGCTATATTAATCTCTTTTAACGTTTTAATATATCTGGCTGCACTGCTTTTTGATAATGTGGAAAATAATTGATCAGGACAAGCTATAAATTTAAATTATTAAAGTTTTTCAATTTTTTCAATTTTTCCTCAAAGAATTATTTCAATCCACTAAATCAACAAAGAAAAGTGAAGGATGAGCAATCTAATTTCTAATTTCGCTAAGAGTTAAACTTCTTTCTGAATATCAATTTAAAAGTAAAATAAAAAAATAAATTCAAGAATAAGAAAAAAATTTTGTAAAATGAAAAGATGAAATCGTAAAAAAAAAATTAACCTTCAGTAAAGAAAACATGCGCATATTTGTACTGATTTTGTCCATGCGAAAAGTCAGCAATCAGTTTATCCACAGAATCATTAGTTGGTGCCACTAAATAAATCGCATCTAAACTTGGTAGTGGCTCTCGTCGTTTATTGATATCTTCTACAATCGTTATACCTTCATCCATAATATCATGCATTTTACAACAAGCACTAAGCATTCGCATTGCCAATCGATCTACCACTAAAACATTCCAGCCACCATTTTTCTCACTTCGGCGTAATGGCCGAATTACTTCATTTAATAATTCTGAAATAGAATATTGCGTTCTAAATGGATTAAACATTTGTTTCATCCGCAGCGTTAAAAATATCGAATAAAGAAAGGAAACAAACATATGATTTAGTTCAATTCAACTATGAAACAAAAAACTACAAGTACAAAAATTACAAGTTTCCGGAAAATCACTTACTTTGGCCGACGATTGATTTCAATGACATGGTTGAATGATCTGTTTCGATATTATTGGATTAATAATCAACCGTGACCTGCTAAAAATTGCTAAATTAAGTGTAAAAATTCCAAGATATTTAGCAAAATAATAAATGAAAGACGAAAAAAATTGAAAATTTAGAAAATTTAGAGAAAATTTTAAAATTAGCTTAAGAATTCGAAAAAAAGGTCGAAAAAATTTTTGAAGAACAAAACGAAAAATTTAATCAACAACCGATAGTCCATATAAAATGTACGAAATGCTTGGTAAGAATTATTTCATTAAAACAACTGAACAAATAGTAATGACATATAAATTTTACCGGTTTTTTATACGTATCCCAAAAGATATTACTAGTTTTTGAACTAAAAAAAAGTTGAAGATGAATTCTTTTGTACATGTACACAATCGATTTTCTGGCAAATGAAACAAGAATGCAGAGGATCAGCAAAAAAGCCAGAAAGAATGCAAAATTTTATTTATTCGCTAATTTTGTGGCAAAAGACCTGTTAAATTAGTGATTCAAAGGTGAATGGATTTTGCCGCACTTCATGAAAAACTCATATATGTGGATACATCGTTCTGTAGCCGAATATATAATACAACTAATTTAACTGCAAGATATAAAATAAAGAAGGATTAGAAATTTATGGATAGAAAGACGAGAAGGCAGGAGGAAGTGGTGAGCAGGAACAAAGAGGAAAAGAGAAAAGATATGCAAAATAGGAACTCTCGCCGGCGCTGCCCATTTAAGCGAGAAGTTTTTGCTTCTGCGTTTGAAATTCACTTCTAGTAGAACCACAGTAAAAAAAATGAAAATGCCAATATTGCGGCACTAAGCCAACGTAAAAGAGAGAAGAAATAATCGCGTAAATCTATGCGAAGAACAGCGCGCAAATTGTTTCATTAAAAAATTAAATTTAAAAACTAAAATTAAAAAGAAACAAACAAAATTCAAACAAAAAAAAACTTCTATCGGTGGAATATTATTACACCAGAAAAAGGAAATTTCCTTCGCCTTTTCCTTTTTCAAAAAATTTACAAATATTTTCGAAGAAAATTTAAATCTAAAAAAATTCAACTCCGTTAAATTTATGAAAAAATAAAAGCATATTTTTTGGCATTTACGGCTGATAATTATATTAACCCACAGGGAATCCATAAAATAGGAATCCACCAGCACAAATTATTTATTCCCGAATGATTGACTGGCGAAACCCCTCGCTTCACAACGGCTAAGCTAAGCAATGAGCCAAATCGGAAAATATGAACGTAAAAAAAGCGAATGAAATTTGAGGACGAAAATAGATTTCCGAAACAGGCACAAATAAACTTGGCTCCACTCGCCAGAACGCATGCGATTCTCAAGAAATGTCGACACTCCACCAAAAACATATCAAGAAATCGAAAATCAATAGCCGCAAATTAGTGTGTAAAGCTGTCTTGTAGTATTTCGAAAATTCAGCTGCGGATTCAAATTTAAATTTCTAAATTTAAAATGTGATAGGCGCCAAATTTGATAATCGTATCGCCGATTTTATCAATTTTCAAAGGAATTCCTCTGAAATTTTCGTTTTTCTATGATCGAAATAAAATTATTCAATTATTTTCTCGTTTCATATTTTTTCTTTAATTTATAATTGCTATTTTTTCAGGTTTTAATTCTAATCAGTTGGATTTCTCTATAAGGGAAAATTGATTAGAGCTTATCACTCCTGATAAATCTCTCGCTTGCTTCATTGACTGTTAATACGACGAGTGATTTTCGTTAAGAATACATCACCTGACGGATAGAAATTTAGGTGAGTCGGCAGCACCAATCAACTAGTTTTTTTAATGAAGGATATACTCGGCGAAAAGGTCCAAAGTGTGGCACTTCCAGAAGTTTGTCCAGAAGCAGCGGTCACTCGCTATTCTTCCTCAAAATTGGTTTACAATGGAGTTTTAAAGGATTTAAATTCTGTTAAAATTTTAAGTTATAATGTTTAAAATATTTTGAAACGGTTTTGCTGTCTTTGTAAAATGTCTAAAAATTTTTCTGATTCATATTTTCATTTTTCAATGAGAAATTCAATCAAATTTATTGAAAGCAGCTTCTTGGAACATTAAAGGTTTGGAGGATTTAGGGTAATCTCGTTTCTGAGTCGATAATTTTTGTTCCTTATCTCTCCTCTTATCTCCAGCAATAGAGAAATGAACGAGCACATTTGCCTGATTTTTAGAAGTTAAACAATTATGATTGTTTGTAGGATTGTTCATTTGGAACTTAGCTGCTTCAAATCATTTAATATTTTTTCAGGCAAATAGTTTATTTCCTTCTTGGTGCTTTTAAGATAAAAAAATTTAGAAATAAAACGTTTCATCGATACTTGTTGGTTTTAAATCGTGGTGTATTTTTTGCACTATCTTTTGTAATTTTTTATAAACTTCGAATTTAGTCTTAAGCAGTTAATTGAATGGAAGTGGAGTACTACTGGAAAAATTATGCACCATTTTAATTCGAATTATAGGCATCGCAACTGCCATCCGCAACACTTTAATACTTTAGAATTATTTCTACTCCATCGTATTTAGAATAAAAATTAAGGATCTCAGTAATGCATTTTAGCGATAATCAATGTGGAAACATTTTTCATCCATTACTTTGTGGTTATAAATGCTTTGCTACAAATTAGACATTTCTAATTATCTAATTTTTTTTTGATAAATGATTTGCAGTATGCTTTCATTATCGAAACCTTTGTTGAATCATATTAAAAATGAAAAAAAAAAACGAGAGTGGACATTGGACGATTTTGATATTGGTCGACCACTTGGAAAGGGTAAATTTGGTAGTGTTTATGTGGCGCGCGAATTAAAGTCAGGATTTATTGTTGCTATAAAAGTAATGTATAAGGAGCAAATAGAGAAGTATAATGTACAACGTCAACTGCGGCGAGAAATCGAAATCCAGTATCATCTTAGGTTTATTCCACTTTTTTTTTTCTTTTCGTAAAATTTTGTCAATTTATTTCTTCAAAAATTTGTAAATGATAGATAATTTGATAAATAAAATGATGTATAAATATGGTTGGTAAGCTTCAATGATTTACAATGTAAGAATTAGACTATTCTGTTAAGCTATTTATGTTTGTAATTTTAAAAATTAAATCAATAAAAAAATATTTTTCGATTATCTTCTTCTTCTAACAGTTCTCACCATTATTGGTTAGGCTGACTCCGCTGGCTACAAGGGTAAGACGTCTCCAAGCTGCTCGGTTCAGTCGCTAGTAATAATAGAAGCCACTCCTTTTTCCATCGTCTAAGTCCATATGTCGCTGGTCCCCCTATACGTTCAAAATTTTTCCTGTATCAGTCCAGGTCTTGACTGGCCCTTTCGATTATGTGATCCATTGTGATCTCTTGACTTTAAAGAAAAAATAACATGCTCGCCTTTCCTTTTTTCTTTTTTTTTTCTTTCAGTTTGTATTTATATTCGTTCACTCTGCTCTTTTTATGTCTTTTTTTATTAAAATGCTTTTATAATAAACAATATAAATCAGTGAATGAACTTTTCAGGCATCAGAATATTCTAAGACTTTATGGTTATTTTCACGATTCTTCTAGAGTTTATTTGATATTGGAGTATGCTTCTCGTGGTACTTTATATGCCTTATTGCAGCAGGTATAATTTAAGGGTTTTTCTTCGTCTTAGCTAATCTTTATTTTATCGGGTTTTAAGTGGAGATAACATGGTTCGATTCCTTCGCAGAAGTAAATTTATACCGATGGTACTTCCTGCTCATAATATTTATTGCTTTAATATATCAAATGATATATCTTTCTATGATTGTGAGAACGAGTTTTATCATTGAAAATATGAATGAAATACAAAACTGAAGTACTGTTGATTTTTTAATTTATTTTCCAGGTGAAAAAGTTTGATTCCAATAAATCAGCGTTGTATATTTATCAATTAGCAAAAGCATTAGCATATTGTCATGAAAAAAATGTAATGCATAGAGATGTAAAGCCTGAAAATATTCTTTTGAATGAGGAAGGATTTTTGAAAATCGCTGATTTCGGTTGGTCAGTCCATGCTCCATCTTCTAGGTAAGCGTTTAAATTTAAACTTTCACTGATTTCAACTCAGTTCCATTACCCATTTAAAAATGAATAAGGCAGATACATGTTGGCATGTTGGTTATGTGATCCATTGTGATCCATATTCGGAAATATTTTTTATGCTTTAATTCTCTTTTCCTTTGCTATATTATATCCTTATCCGTACTCTTTTCGTTTTTTTCTCATAATTTTATCTTTACTATATTTTAATTTGTCTCTGTTACATTTCTTGTGGTGATATCTTTTTTCATCTCTAAATATTCCCAGTGAATAAATACTTCTGTGGGTTGATAATTAACAGTAATAACTTGTGATTTCGAAAATCTTATTAAGTAAGGTGGATTTTTTCTATCTTTTATTTGGATTTCTTTTTTTTTTCAATTTATCATTTTCTTATTAGGTTTTTTATTTTCATTTTCTTATTTGAAGGCGTTCTACATTCTGCGGAACACTGGATTATTTGCCTCCAGAAATGGTATCCGAGCGGGTGCACGATGCCTCAGTCGATAACTGGTCTTTAGGAATAATGCTTTATGAGTTTCTTACAGGAAAACCTCCTTTTGAAGCACCGGTGATTGTCGAATAATTGTTTTAAATCATTTGTACATAGTTCATCCTAGCAAATATCAAATAAATAGCGCGACTTGTTAATTTTTTAAGTTTTGCAAATTTTTGCAACAGCCGATTTAAGTAAATTGAATTGCCGCCTATAAGCATTTAATTAATTAATCTTAAAACTGGACAGAAAAGAAAATAGCTTACATTGAGCACCAAGTATTAAAAGAAAAAAATGGAATAGGGAGTTGTTTAGAAAGCATGAGAGCAGATTTCCTAGCAAATACCACGATTTCGTTATCTTTTGGCCTTTTATCGAAAACATATCAATATTAAGTTTTAATCATCATCAATAAATTATCTATTTTTCCGATTTTTATAATTTGCTGTAATTTAGAATATCGAAAACACTTTAGAAAAAATTCGTTCCTGCACAGTTTTATTTCCAAAAGAAGTATCAGGTGATGCGAAAGATCTTATTAGCAAGGTTGTTTATTATTCCATTATTTTATTATTAAATTAAATTACTTTATTAAATTTTTAAATAATTTTTAATTTTTATTTAAGGTTATGGAATTAACGACATTTTTTATGAATTCTTTGATAAAATTATGAGAAAAAAGGTTTTAGTCGCAAGATTCTTATTCTTCAAATTCATGATTCATGATTTCTGATGTGGCGGGCTTTCATATATTAATTTTGAAGCATCTAGCACCAATTGGAGATCTTGGCGAATTTATAGAAAGAAGAAAATGGCAAAAGGAAGGAGTTGAATTTAAAAAATTAAATTTAAAATTTTGAAATTAGATAAGATTTTACATATTTTTTTGTTGTTCAGACTAAATTTACTACTAATGCGCGAATATTCTTTATGAAATATTTCAGCTATTACAAAGAGAACCTTCGAAACGTTTGCCCTTAACAGAAGTATTAGAACATCCATGGTTGTCATCGGCAAAAAAAGCGTTGGAACCATTGTACAACGAAAACCGTTAATATTTTGTAAGCTGTTAATATCTATCAATAAATATTTCTGGATAAATAAGCAAGAAATAATCGATAACAATAAAAATTAAGAAATCGAAGCCATAAATTTTGTTGCTCTTTTTTTTATATTTGATTTTTTTCATCTCTGAGTCAAATTTTTTTTCTCAAATTTTTTTTCTCAAATTTTTTTTGTCCCAATATTCCTAATATGGCTGATTCTACTAACTGGAATAAGTTCGTCTCGCCAGAGTCATTTAGAGGCAGATTCACAACTGGGATCTTAGCATCTTAGGTTTGATATTGGATGTCCCTGCCAGTGAGCAGGGATCGAGCGCATGTTCACTCTTAGCATAGGCAAACCTTTAATAAGCCTGTCTTCCATCATGTTTAATCTAGATCAAAGTAAGAAATTTCAGGAAGATTTTTTCGAAATAGAAACCACTGCAACGAGCTGCGAAATATTTCTGCAATTTTTCATTAAATATTTTATATTGAAATTTTTTATTTTAAAAGTTTTATTTTTTGTTCATATCATTTCTTGTTTTTCATACTACTTTGTAGTCTTTATAATCTTTTTCGCATTTCTTTTCTTACTCAAATTTAAACAAAAGAATTTGTCCATTTTCCTTGGAAAAAGGTAATATGACTACTTATTTGAATATACTAAACACAAGACTAAATTGATCATTTTACAGTATTACTAAATCATATGGATCAATTCTATGCATACGCAAATATTTACTACCAAATAAGTAATTGGGGACCACTTTCTGGAAAAAGCTTTCCAACTTCGTTGAACTGAATTTCATTGTTATCGAATTGTTCGAAAATCTGGACAAATCTTATAAACAATTGTATACATTGAATAAGAGATAAGATTTTTGCTAAAATATGGGAATTTGATAGGAACTACTTCGCCTTTTTTTAGATGCCTTTTTAAATGTTATATTTTATTGAACTAATTGTAAATTGTAAATTGTAATAATTTCTTTCTTAAATAACTCTCTATTAAATTTTTTAATATAAGAAAGAAATTTTTCAAAGATGAAAAGAGCGAAAAATAAATTATAAGTGTCGTAAAGAATTGTGGATAGAAGCCACATGAAATGAAGGTACCAAAATTTGCTTATTGTTTTACCATTATTTGATTTTAACAGTTAATTCCAATAAGCAGAAATGGGCTGCTGGTCTCGTTTCGGAGCGTCGAGGTTCATATTCCATTTCGGCAATAGCGAACCTGTTTATCAAGAATGACGGCAAATCATCAAGAAGGCCATCAGTTTTCTGAATGCGAGTGTAATTTTTGAAAAAAGAATTCTAATAAGCAAATTTTCAAAAAAATTTAAAAAATCATGAAACAAAAGCGAAGTGATGTTAAGTGGCTCATAATCTGACTTGGCTGGTTCCACAGGCTACTAGAAAACCCCTCCAGCACTGATCTATTTCGGAAAAAAGCATGAGCTGAACCCTAAAATCACTCAAATTTCACTTTCAGAGAAACATTCCCCTCCAAGAAAACCACGCAGTGCGCGACTGCAAAATCATTATTCTTAATCGACAGCTGCGGCTTTCGAGTCAATTATTTTCAAAAAATATGGTATTTGGTGAAACTGTCGCGTGCTTGGGTCCCGTTTTAACGATTGTCGAATGGATCGGCAAAAGGGATTTATGTTTGAAAAATTTTCGTTACGCTTCATTGCCAACATTGAATCGTATGAATTCGATTAAGTCGAACGATTTTCGTTTGAATCGAACGATTTCCGATGAATTTTCGATTAATCAACACAAATGCAGTGAAATAATTTTTTTATTTGGTAAAAATTATATTTTCAACTTCGATTAATGAAAATAATTCTTCCACAATATTAATCTCAAATCAAATAAATAAATGGTTTTCTGTAGGTAATTTTTCTGCCACTAAAAATAATTGAAAGAGGAAAGAGACGAGCCTTGCGGCGGTGCAATAAGTGGGGACGTGGGTGTTGGAGGCGGGGAGTGAGGGGGGAGGGGGAAGGGCCTTGCGGCGGTGTAGTAAGTGGGGACATGGGTGTTGGAGGCGGGGAGTGAGGGGGAGGGGAACGAGCCTTGCAGTTCTCCTCCTATAATGGTTTTTAAAATGGAAAAATTTTTCAAAGCCTTTTTAAATTTTTTTTATATGACGAAAATGCTTATTTTTATATTTAAAAATGCTTATTTTATTATTTTTGCTGTTTTTTTAAAATAATCTTCCAAGGCAGTGGATTTTATGTCGATGTTATTTCATTTATCGATAAATTAAATCGTTTTATACTCGTTAAACGCATAGAAATCTTCAAAACGGGTGCAAATGTTCATGGAATTGCTCAAAATGCGAACTTCGGTATTATTTTATTTTCGGTCATCGTTGTTTAATATTATTATTGTTAAATTATTATTTTTATTTTTATTATTTTAATTATTATTATTTTTATTATTATCATCATTATTTTAATATTGTTATTGCTTTCATTAAATAAATAATACTCCTTCAATAGTAAATAATAATTATTACCATTAAATATTATTTAATAACTATTTTTAAGAAAAATAATTGAAGAATTTCATCAAAAACGATCGAAAGATTACTATATAAAGGTTGAAAAAGATTGCAAGTCATTTCATATTTTGATTAAGAGAATCTTTTGATGGCTTAAAAATAGCAATTGAAGTTCTTTCCTAATCTTTCCTTTCATTATCCACTTTTTTTAATTGGTAATTTCAGAATTCTTTGTCGCATACGGTGAACAATCACTTGCAGTGGTATCGCCCTTTTCTAATGTGGTACCTGTTTGTCTTGTGAGCGTATTCAAAGATTGGATTCAGTCAACTCTTCTCCTTGATAATGGATTGGTAATTACATTGGTATTCGTCACAGCGTCAATTTTTTATTTTATTTTCAGATTGCAGCTTTGTTTTCTTCTAATACAGTTTCATTGTATTCTTTTGTTGGTTTCAATGAAATCGTTGAAATTCAACGAATCCGTTCATCCTATAAAGCTTCTTTGTAAGAATTCTTTTTAGCAAATTTCTCATTTTCTATTTTCTATGTTTTCTTTTATTCTTTATTTTTGAAGTTCTAATTTCATAGATTTTTAATCATTTAATTTAATCAATCAATTAATTTTAATTAATTTTTTTAAATCAATTTCTTTTATTATTTTTAATTGTGTGTTATCAATAGGATTACTAATATATTTGAGGAAAAGTTTTCTTTTTTTTTTCAGATTATTTTCTTTGCTTGTTGGTTCAACGTGGAAAAATATTCGTTTGATCGCCGGAACTGTGTTTGGTGAAATATTAATATCCTATCCGTCAAAAAGTCCTGAAATTGTGTCTAGATTTAGTTTACATACGGTCAGCATTTGATGGAAATTAGCAAAAAAAAAATCATGAATGAGTGGTATAATTCAGATGAATATCTTACTGAAGTTTATTTTCATAAATATCCTGATTATATCCTTTTCATAACATTTAGCATTTAAGGGTATGATATTTGGCTTGGTTTTGCGCAATAATCATTTGTTTTCCATTTCGGATGATCGCAGTTTGCGAATTTGGTGTTTGCGGAAAAATCTACATCTTGATTGTGCATATGGACATTCATCTCGGCCTTTTGCAATTTGCACTGGACCATCAAATTCTATTATAACGGGAAGTCAAGTGAGTTACATTTAATATGTCCAGATTTGGAAGTATTTCTTAGTATTTATTTACGAATGAAATATGAATTCTCATTTTTTCATATAGTTTATGAGTTATTTTTTCAATGTTTCTAGTAAATTATGCAATAGAATTGTGAGAATAATTCATAATTTTAGGATGGAAGCATTTGCTTATGGGGAACTGATAACAACAAACTTTCCATGTTGTATTTATTACGATTCAATCGTGGCTCTATTCGGGCTTTATTCTATTCGTGCAATAAGCTGGTTTATTCTTCTCTTTTTCCTTTCTCTTTTTTCTCTTTTTATCTTTTTTTTATTAAATCTTTTTATCATTTATTTTTTTTAGTTTATTTCATTATTTTATTTTGTTTATTCCAGTTGTTTGGTACAGATTCTGGTTTTTTTGGTGCCATTTTTTTGCCAACAAATCTATTCCCATTATATGTAATGCGATCCTCATTTGAGTCTGTTCATATATGTTCGTTTTTGCGAATTTCTAATGAAATTTTCTTCGTCGTGCTCAATGATGGGTAAATTTAATTGAGTTTCTTTTTTTAATGATTATTTTTCTTATTTTTTAGCGATGTTTTTAATGCAATAGTTTTGTAAGCAATTTTTTATAGGAGCCTTTTGCTGAAGAAAAAAAATAAGAAGATTTTCATATTGAGGCATTTGCCTGTTCGTCAAGGTTCACTTTCACTCTCAAAATGTGCTCAGTATATTGTTCATTCTTCGAATACACTTTTATTTATAATTTCTGGTAAATCAAAATTTTGCATTTAAGAAAATTGGTTTAGTTTTATAAATTTTTATGTTTTTATGCAAATTCTTTGCAATAAGATTTCGCATCAATAAAAAATATGAATTGTAATTGATGTACTTATAAAATTTTGCTCGGAATTTTGTTATGATATTTGTTGAACTTCTTTGAATCAAATTGTTTTAAATGTAATTGTTTTATATTCCACATATAAAAAATCTATTAGTTTTGGAAAATTTATTAATAGTAAATTTTATAAATTGAAATTATTCAAATTTTTATTTTATAGTTTCTTGTCCCAGCCGATATATTTGTATGTCGAGAAGGCGAAATATTATCGAAACTTTCTTTGCAGATAAGCAAACTCTTGTTGTTTGTTATGACGATGGATTTATTGTAATTTTTTACAGACTTTTAATATTAGCATTAATTTTATGGATTTTCCTCAAAATTCTGAATGAGATGTTTTTAGGAAATTGATTCCATTCTCTCAAATCTTGAAACAAAAAATGTCGGCATATATCAGCTATCTTGTGAAGAAACACCATCTTGCGTAGTAATGTATGGCGATGAACTTATTTTTGGTACTCGTAATAGTAGTATTTTTATTCTTCGTGGAAATCAGGTCGTAAAATTGTTTTATTTCATTTAACAGCGGAGTAATACATAAAATTTGCTCTACGATCCTTTTTTTCTAAGAGCGCTTGCCATGGCTTATCCAGGCAAATTGGCGATAGAGATACAAGTGAATTCCAGTGACGCGAAATACGATATTTTTTCTAAAATTATTATTTCAAAACCCAATGTTATCCTGATTTTTGAAGAATAGACCTATTCCTGCCATAGAAACTTAGCGTCGATCTTCCGAGTTGAGTAATAATCCACTGAACCATTCCATCTCCTTCTACTTTCTCCATTTGGCCACAGCCTGCAGTCCGACAAAACATGGTGTGCGCAGTGGATTCGAAACCAAGCTATTTTCGATTCGCGGTAGCAATCATCTTGTCTTTAAATCATCGGCACATTATTAATCTTCCTTTATAAGAATATTTCCCAATGTCTTAGAGCATTTTTTTGCCTTCATAAAATTTAAGTATTTTCCAGTTGTTAAAAGCAGGCCAGGCTTGCCACGCAAAAGATGCAGTCACCGATTTATTTATTTTCAATTCTCAAGTTTTATCCATTGGGCGTGATGGAAAGTTATGTGTGTGGATCAGACAAAAAGATCGCTCATGTTATTTTTTCGTAACAATTTGATCATGACTTAATTTGAGTCTTGTTGTAATTCATATAATCTTCTATTAAAATCTATACTATTTGGTAAATTTTTATTTTCAGAAGTATGCTTGGATTATTGTTGCACTCCGAAAATTTTCTCATAAAACATTTTAAATATTTTAGCATTTAGCATTTAAAATTCTAATAAAAAACCATCATTTACTGCACTTATCTATCATGATATACCACAAAATTGGTTTTTCATAATATAAGTGCTACAGTATTGTAAAAGCGATTAGGATTGATCGGGCACTTTCTTCAATAGGTCGCTATATGGCCTAATGAGGTCTTAAATGATCAAACATAATTTCTAAATAAATATTAATAATAATTGACTTTTAATTAATATTAATAATTTTTTTCTTTTCTTTTTCTTTTTATTCGTTCAACTTTAATACATACTTGCTACTGATTTCTTACTTTATAATTTAATATTATCTTTTTTTGAAGTGGCGTTTAATGAAAATTGTCCTAGCGAAATTGTTCGAGATATTTTTATGTCTCTGTTAATCAAAACTATAATCAAAAATAAATTGAATTCATTCATGGAGTTTCTTTTTTTTTTAGTTCTTTAATTGTGTTTTAATGGTTCAGGTTGTGCATTGAGGCTTATCAATCGAGTTTCCTTATTTCATAACTCAATGGAGTGGCCTTGTAAATTTATTGTTCATCTTGGCAGACTGTACATTGCTGGTTTCCATGGAGTATGATTTAAAGTTTAAAGTCTTAAAATTTTTTTTAATAGTTTAATTTTTCAGTTTTTAACTGAGCAAGTTTTTAGACCATCGAAATTCAATTATTGTATTTCTTTCCATCATTTTTCAGCCAAATTTTCTTTTTATGGATTTCCTGCAGTCACACTGTGTTTTCGAAGTTGACTGTGGTGGAGGTCATCGTCTTTGGCAAATATCATTTGATGAAAATAATCGGAATTCGACTGCTGTTGTAGTTAATTTCGAATTTATTAGAAAAGGGCGAATCGAAAGGATAAATTCATATTTGTATACTTTGGAGATTATTCAGGTGTGTATTTTTTGCGCTAATTTGTATTTTTTTGTTTATCATTTATTTTTATATTTCTTCTCCCAAATTACATTTCTTTTAGAATAATTTACATACTTCCGGAATCACATCGGTTGCTGTGCTTTCTCTTGATAATAAAAATGTTTTTATTGCAACAGGAGGTGTTGACACGTGTTTATGCTTATCAAGGATCTCTTTATCTTCTTCAAAATTTCAGTCGATCACTTATCAAGGTATTTTTTGTTTTTCCTTAATTCGACTTCTTATTGTAAAATACAAAGGTGATTTTATAATTTCATGAATTAATTTCATTTGCAATTTACAATTTTACATATGTCAATTAATAAACTATATAAATTTAAATAAACATTTATTATAATGTAATATAAAAATTATATTTATGTATATTTATTTTTATAGATAGGAATAAGAAAATATTTGTTAATGTGCACAGCGCAATATAAGTGAGCATTTAGACCTATTTTTATTTTTTATGGGTGCTGAAACTTGATAGCAGTATTAAAAAACCATTTTTTCTGCAGAAAAGAGAAAACTCAAAAATAGTTTGGTAACAACATCAAACTTTTTTTCTCCACTAATTATATTTTCGTAGGTAATTTTTCAATATTGGATCAACATAAGCTTCATTCTTCAACTATTTATGACATTTCGATCCTCAATAATCATCTTATATCTGTTGGTGGCAAATCTGAGTTCATCATTTGGTATTTTGATCAGTGTAAGCATTTCAAAATTCTTTTGAAATTTTTTATTCCATTGCACTAGTTGTTCATAATTTGATTGCTTGTACTCCTTATTAGAATGGGGTTTTTTCTTCAAAGAATCATTTAGCAGTAGAAGTACAGTGAGCACCACTATAGTTTATTTGGTTTATTCATTTTCCATTTTCATAATATAACATTAAAGTAATAAAGTAGTTTTCTTGGCAAATAGTTTAAACAAAAATAGTTTTTGTTAATGTTTTATTTTTTCTCTTATTTTTTGTTTTTTAAGGTTTGCTGCAGAAGATTTTTGTTTATCGTGATGTTTTAAGTTATCGGTTTGTTTCTGTATCTTTTCTGCGTATTTCTCCTACTATGCAGTTCGTGATATCTAGTTCAAATGGTAATTTGACGTATGTTTTTGAAATTATTATTCCCATTATTTTTTGTTTCTTTAATGTTTTATGAAAAATACTTATTATTGAGGCAATTTTAGCAAAACCTGTGGCGAACATAAAATTTATAGTATACTGTTCTTTTTTAAGATTATATACGATGTCAGAAGATTTAAAGAGCATTGATCATGCTGTTCAGTTGTATATGGACGCATCTATTGGAAATATATTGTTTACTAAAGTTTTGTGCTTTTCGTTTCCAGAATGTTTCACGGTTTATGCAGTTTCTACGTCAGGGAATTTGTTTATATGGAGTAATGAGAATAATCTTGAAATGGTACTTGATATAGTCAGCCTTACTGCAATGTGTATAACCAATTTAGGTGCTTTTTTAAATTTATTTTGTGGAAGAGTACCAAATTTGTCAAAATAAAATTAAGAGTATTAAATATTTATTCATTATTGTCAATAAGATTTCCAACTTTCCATTCCTTTTAATTTATGCTTAAATATTAAATTGTAAAGTATTATAATTGTTATTATAATATTAAATATTATAATTGTTAAATATTTAATTGTTTATTCAAATTTTTAAATTTTTTCGACAGGTGATAGCGCCATATTAATTGCTATAGGTGCAGAATCAGGTTCTATTCAAATTGTGAAACATTCCCATAAAGAACGACCTCAGTTTTTAGATCAAATCATTTGGCATTCAGCCACTTGCACTGGTTTGTTTCTTTATTCCAAAAATTAATAATTTTTTCAAGAAAATACTCAACTATTTTGTTTTATAAATTTGCTTTTTTGTTCATCTATATTAATTTTTTAAGAATGTTTTTAATTTTGCTAAGTTATATGTTAATATATGTTATATTTCGCAGTTTTGACAATATATTTCTTTTCTTCAGGCTTATCTTTTTTTGGCGAACAACCTTGTGGAAGTGCTTATCTGGCATCCATTGCTATGGATTGTCGTTTAGCAATATTTGCGTTTTCTTCTAATAAGGTTTTTTTAAAATTTAGTCTACTTTATTTTTCCACTTATTTTGAATATTTTGATCGAAATTTTTAAATATTTTTAGCTGTCTTTCCATCGTGCTGTGACATTGAATGTGTATGATCCACAAGCTTTGGATATTATCAAAAATGATCATGAAGATCATATATATACTGCCATCATTGTCGGATCTTCTTTACAGTTCGTTGCTCTTTGAACTCTGCAAATATGTAAAAGTGTGTATAACTTTCGATTTGGCGTCAATTATATTAAATGAATATTTTATTTGTACTTGAATTTTAGTGAAAAGATTTTTGAAAAATTGTGATAATAGCAACAATAAATAATAATGATAATAGCGACATAAACAGTATAGTAATTGAAAATAATACATTAAATACATTAAAACAGCTGAGTACAAACATTTTATATAAGTTATCGGACAGATAAATTCAAATAAATTTAAAAAGATATGTGAGATCTGCGAAGATTGAATACGCCTATGCAAATATAATTAAAATTTACAATTAAAACCTTCAAATATATCGAAATTAATTAAGTTAAAGTCAAGGAAGTTAAATTTTTTAAATTTTTTTAAATGTTTACATTTTCTTTTCCTGGTCAACTTGTGATTTAACAGGATTTTCGTCAGAAAAGGGGTTAAGTATTTTAATGAATGGTGAATTAGGCATAGAGTGATCATTAAAAAGGGGATTTCCATAATTCTTTGTTCGTTCCATAACTTTATTTGGCCATTTCTGTGAAGCTTCATCTTCTCGACAAGTCGGCGGCCTTCTTTCTGATTTATTTCGTAGATTGCGGAATGTTTGTGGTTGGAGAATGTCGAAATTATTTGAAATTCTCTCTTTGTCTTCCATCTTTAGCGCTGCTTCACTTATACGACATAATTTCCACCTTAATTTTATTTTTTAGTTAAATATATTTTTTAGTGTTAGTCTTCAGTATTTTCAGCCGATTGCTTGTCCTCGTTTGCCGCTCGCTTAAACCACTCGAATCCCTAAAGCTAAACTGTGGCACTGGTAGAGCTCGAACACACAGCCTGTGGACTTACTGCTAAAGGGAAAGTCATATTGCAGTTTATTACTTTTTATTTGTAAATGTTTCTTCCCTTTCCTTGGCATCTTTTTTTTCTTTCTTCCTGAATGACGAATGTTGTAATTTTTTTTCCTGAAGTTGGTTATTCAACACACAATTCTGGTCACCAAAATTTTCCGTATGTTCTGTCGCAAATATAATATCTGCCTAGAAAAGAACCTTTCATGAAAGTATGTCCGATTATTTTTTTTCTATATAAAAATTTTGTATTAGGCTGCTACGTTAATCTTAATTTTGGGAAATTTTTGAAGTTTGGATTAGCATAGAGAAGGAACTTAACGTCTTGTTTGATAAGTCTATCCAGTTTGGCCATTTCTAAATGGATAATATGCAAAATGTTTAAATTCAGCTTAAAAATTGATTCTCATGCTTCCAAGTTAGATTTTTTGGAAAAGTAGCGGTTGAACCATGTTCACCTTAATAGAAAGTACTTTAACTGATGGCATATATTTTGAATACAACAAGTTTCCATTTATCGATAAACGAACTTCGATCAAATCAGTACCGAATCCAACGACAAAAGGAAAACGGTATACTGAAAAAATATAGGAATAAATAATTTATCCCCTTGGAATTAAGTGAAAATCTTTTAATCTTTCAATTATTATATTCGACAAAGAATATTAATTAACCAAATTGTTGCAATGATGAAGACCAGAACGTTTCTTCTAGATTATAGGTACCATCTTCAAAATAATCGATCTTCAGAGTCATATCTGTAATATGAAAGCGAAAGAAGATAGGGAAAGTTTTATAGGATTTCGAATTGTGCAGACATAACTACTGTAAGTATGACCGAGTGTTTAGGCCATAAATTCAAGCATAATTTTTTCTCTCTCTCTACTTGGTGGAAGTAAGTCTTTAAAAGTTAAGCCCAGTGCTGGAGATCTATCTATATTTCTTCTCCCAGTTAACTGCCCAGCGAAAAGACTGCAGGCTTAGGCATAATTACTTTACTTTAAACTTTGATTCAGAAAGAAATTTTATTTCAAAGATTGATAAAAATCAAAATTGATAAAAAGATTAATACGATAACCAACTTTGGTATGATAAGATTATCTCATCGTATCCTGCAGTACATTCTCCATAAAGACCAGTGATCGGTGATCGTGGAATTTTCCAATCCAAGTATTCTATAGATTCGTTTCCGAAATCGGCTATCGCTAAGCTCGATCGAGTGAGAGCAACTGCACGAACACTTCCACATCCGCGACTTCGTTCAAAAACTGAGATCGCTACTGCTTCTTCCGTTAAATGCAAACACTAAATTTTGGCTAGAAATTCATAAATATAAGTTAATTTTTGCTAATATTTTAATGCAGAATAGTCTTCTTTCTGGCACCACCTGGATTTTAATTTTTTAGAAATTTGCCAAAGAAGAAAGGACATGCAAAGATCCATGCAGCACATGATTTTGCGAAATACAAATTACGAATCTGTTTTAGGTCAAAATGGATTTCAAGCGTTTAATTCAGCTTTAGGCTCTGTATATAATGATAATACCTTCAGTAATGTGAAGTTATTTTTTATATCAGTTCCAACTTGAATCCTTCCAAGTGGTCCAAATGCCCATCGCAGGAGAGTCAAATTTTTTGAGATACACATCACTATATTTAGTCGCAAACCATGGCCATCACTAGTTCCAAATAAATGGCACCCTTCAATAAATTGAAAATATGGATAATTAGGTTGATAAATGCTAATAAATGATTGGAATGATTGGAAAATATGGAAGATTTCATCTCTGTTCAAAAAGTTGAAAATAATATAATGTTAAAGGATATCTTTGATTCAGTGAAAGCAATGGCGAAATTATTCGAAATTTGATTACCTTTTGAAGAAGGGATTCGATGGTCCAGGAAATCTTTTTTTAGGATTAGGTTCCCATCTTGGATCGCTATTCGTAAATCGACAAGAGTTAATGCAGCTAAACTTGATTCCTTTCCTGAAAAAACTTTGTTTCCACTGGTTCTTTATTTGGAAATAAGTTTTCTTCAATAGTATTCATTAAAAATTCTTAAATTGACTGAATTTTGTAATTAAGTTAGTGATTTCTCAGGAACCTTTGTCTATTCTGGCAAGGAATAGGCCGAAATGTTCTTGTATCGCAATTTGCATCACTTGTGCGGTTGCTTCAATTATCGGTACGGATAAACCATTGGAAATATATACAACTCCAGTATCTTCAGTTGCCAATACGACTGATTTCGCACCCCATCCATCGGAACCGATAACATTCCATGAAAGAATGTTTTCACTAATAATGGCTGGCTCCCATGGCTGAAACATTGTCATTTAATAAAATCTTAAATCCATTTTATAATCAATGATACAGTATTAATTCCACAATTAATGGGATCGAGTGGTGTATTCAATTTAGGTTGGGTTGAGACATCAAAGATTCTCTTTACTGGAGCGGATTTATTGCTAAAAGTGAAACTCAGCTGGTCCACCTATAAATGATTCTCCAAATGATTCTCTGGTGAAGAATTCTCTTTCTGGCAGCGAATGGAGCGAGCCAAATCGAAAATATTATTAGAAGAATAGGAAGAAGAAAGGATTCCTAAAAACTTCTGGACTTTGTTCGTGCGTGACAATATGCGACTATTTTAAATTCTCTTATTCTCTTCCGAGACTCGTCTGAACTAGGCATCCACTTGTATTTTCTCTATCTCCTCCTTAACACCTTCTTACGGGTGTCTTCTCAAAAAACAAAGAATGAAAGAAAAGGAATTAATTTGGGAAAGGAATTTTCTAAAGTTTGGACAGAAATCAAGTTATCATTTATCATTTATCATTTAATGAAAATGCCTGTTTTCTGCAAATTGTTACTGCTTGAACTGCGTCCGAAACATCACCACAAAGCATTTTTTCAAGTTTGATTAATTCTCCATATTTGCAAAAATCAATTCTATCTTTCATTTCTTTTTTCATTGGGCTCAACAATCTTTTAATTACAATATCCGTTACTTTATGAAATGTCTGAAAAGTTAATAAGGAATTTCAAGTTATCACTCTTTCGTAAAGCCATAAATTTTGGCTAAAAAGAAACAAATAAATTTTGGTAATAAATTGGCCTAAAGCTAAATGGAGGCGATGTTTCTCTACTTTTATTGGAAAAATATTAGCTAACTTTGGTAGATTCCTTTAAATGCTCTATGTACATATCCTTTAAGAGTGTGTCTAAGGTTTTTCTTCGCTTCTCGACAAAGGCATTCGCTTGTAGGGAAGCTTTTTCCGCGTTTATCACTGCAATTTTGATTTTCATTTTTTTTATTTACGAAAAATTCGAAAAACTTCACAATCGCAATGGTTTTCTAGGAACTTTAAACTTTAAACTCAGTCCTTCCTGAATTAATCCTTGAAAAAATTGCCACACTTCATAGACTCAGTAGATTTTCAGTAGAAAGCATATTAAATGTGAGACATACATTTGGTTAATAGAAATTCACGAAATAATTGAAGGTCATGGAACGTATTTGGATAAGATAAGGTCGGGCCGAATACTGGAACGCTTTCCTCAGAAAATACCCAAAGCCGGTAGCAGTCGCTTTCCTTATCGTATTTCACTACAGCGAATACGTCTAAAATTTTTCGGATTTTCTGTAAAATTTGATTCTGCGAAATATATTTTCGTTTAATGCAAAAATAATTAATTTCTTTAAAAGTGCAAATTTCCAATTTGAAGTTTCCAACAAAATTTTTTAAAAAACGTTTTTAAAACATTTTAAAAACATTTTTATTTTGCTAAAATTAATGTATAATTTTTATTTGTGGGAAAATATTTTTTGTGTTTTTTGTACCAAACTGCTGGGGTGGAAAAATTTTAGCAATAAAAGATGGTAGCGAGCACCATGCGTATTGTTCAGTGGCAAATTCTCTTCTGTTAACATTGGAACGTCCTTCCTGCACTTTGCATTTGCGTTTTTATTTTATGGATACTTCCTAACGTTCGCATTGAGTTTCCTTAGTAGCCGCTAGCTGAGCTAGCCAAGGCAAGTTTACTTCTACTAATACTGGACTGGAGATGAGTTTACTTGTTTCTGGACAAATTCGAGCCTTAGAAAAACTGAATATTGGTGTTGGGATGTATAGCAAAAATTTTTCAATGAAAATTTTAAAACAGAAAAGTTGAACGAATTGGAAGAAATTAGTGAAAATGAATTTTAAGCAAGCAAGTACGTGTAAAATGTGATTTCATCATTGTTGGCAAAAAATTAATTATTTTTGGGTCGCCACCTGCTTCGAAGACAATATTTACAATATCGTTACCGACATGTCGCTTTCGTTCAATCTGAATTTTTTATGTTGAGTTTTCTTCAATTAAGTGCCTTTTTTTCTAGAAGCGCTATCGCTTGTGGCTCCGCTGCTTCATACGATCGAAGAAATTTTCGCCAGACAAGCATTTAGCGGTGAAAATGACTCCCCAGTACCACCCGTCCTAAGCCCATTAATTAATTCAACCGAAGGACAGTTTATTAAAATTCGGCAAGTAATGAGTTCTGTTTGGTCGTTTTTTGGTCGTTGAAAAAAAGTGATATTTTATCTCGCCAGACAAGAACACGAGGATGGAAGTGGATTAATTTATCTCCCCAACGTTCGAGAATCGAACCCGTGGTAATTAATATCAATCGAAGCAACAATTTCTTCTTTTCCCTCACATAAAATTCGAAATTTCATTTTTTATAAATAAAATATAATAAAATCTGAAATAATACAAAATTCATTTTTTTTGTAAAATAAAATAAATTTATGAAAATATAAATTGAAACAAAGAAATTATAAAGAAATTTTAATGAAAATTTATGAAACCTGCTGAAAATTTTCGTTACTATAAGGTAACATTGTTGATACGTGAAACATAATTTCGTGGCCAGCAAAAACAGTATAAATAGATTCTCTCCCAGTGCTGTTGGCTGTAAAATAGAGTTAATTAAGTTATCTAACAGGCGTTTTTGATAAAAAATTCAGGTGACATCTTAAAATATTTCGGATTTTTAATTATCCATGCATGAAATTTCGTACTTGTAACATCCAGTCCTCCTCTATAACTTCCCCAGTCCTGAAGTTCAATTCGTTGGCCTAATATTTTTAGAAATTGTTCGAAATCTTCATCTCCATGTTCTGAAAAAAGTCTAATTATTTGGATAATTGTGAATCTAAATTATGAATTGGAAATATCATTTCTGCAAGTGTGGGCAAGTGATAAGTGATTTTTAACTGTGATAGTGTGATAGTTTATGAGATCACTTTATCTGTCAATAAATGAAACATTTTGAAGCATTTATAACGCTGTGGAATGGAAATTTATACATGATTTTCTTTAACTCATTCTCTTTGTCATTTTGTCACAAGAAAGTAATATTTCAGAAAATAATTGACTAAATTCAGTCAATTGCTCAATGTGTGCGAAAAGCAAAAAACCGACCATTGCTCAACATTTGAGTATCGGACGTCTGAAAATTCAATGCATAGATGACACCAAATTTACAGTTTACCCCTCCCTCCTGATCTTCAAGAATTACAAGTTCTCGTTGAATTTTTATATCAGCAATCTCTTTCAGTGATCGACTGTAATCTTCTAATCCAGGAAATTGTCTAAAACATAAAGGGCATATTTGCCGATTAATCATTTGTGGATTTGCTTATATCAATCAATTGAATTTATTTATTGTCAATATTATTAATTAATATTTATGTTAATAATGATATTAAGTCGATTTTCTTGTATTTTTGGCCAAATTTGCAATATATAGGAACTTACTGAAGAATGGTTTTAGCTGTCAAAATTTTATTCGAACCGATAGAAGCTGGGAAGCAAAGGCGCCTTGGACCCTGCAAAATTAAGAGTTCTTCTTCCAGAAATTATGTAAAAATTATTAAATTATTTTAAATTGATTAAATTCTTAAAGATTTTGAAAAACTGTTTAAATTAGTTCAGTATTCGAACATATATTTGTTATCTTTTGAACAAATGCAACATATTATTATTATAAAAAAGATTTCAAACTTTGCAGTTATCAATTCAGATATTTTTTTTCTGCTTATTTACTTTTAGGAAATTTTAGTCGGTGTTTGGTTACAGAAAGTTTAAAAAAAAAAATCGATGAATTGAAGATGCTTAAAACGCAAATAAAAATAAGAAATAGAAATTTAATATGAGATAGAAAAGGCAAATAAGTGAGTGCCTAAGATAGGTGCCCATCACTGCTGATAAGGCTCGTGTTGGTGATTAGAAAGGTTAAAAATTTTTGTCAGAAGATAATCGCTTGGCGACAGAAGTAGTGATAAATCGCCAGCACAACCCGATCCTTTTTTAACGGCAAACTCCTATCGAGAGCACAAGCCAAACACTTTTTCAACTTTTACAGCTATCATTTATTTGCCTAATTTTTTGCCTTTTATTGGAAATTACTATTTAATTTTTATACATTGTATTTTTAAATTTTTTTATTTTTATTGTCTATTATATTGTCTGTTTATTATATATTTTTTTATTTTCTTGGCTCACTGAAAACGATTGCATATTTTTACTTGAGAGGTCCACAAAATTGCTCGACATACTGTATCCTCCAACATTATTGAAATAAAAAATGGCAATTTAGTTGAGGGTTCGATGCCAGCAAAATTCTGATGTTCTGCAAAAAAAGGCTTTGACTGCAAAAAATAGATTTATAAAATAAATTTATCACATTTCTATATAATCAGTGTAGCCACAGAACGCAGAATGTAATGCTGCGAGAAAGCTGTTGGTGGCCCAAATGCAATTCAGAGTAATTCTCTGGCGAAAGGACTCAATTTGGAGTAGCAGAAGCTGATGTTCGATTCCCCGCAGGAGCAAACCTGTACAAAAATCAGGGTGATGCTGACTCACCTGTATTTCCTACTAGGTTACAATGCATATCAAACCAAAAAATTTTCGAAAATGAGCGAGAATTTTATATATACCAAATATTATACCAAAAATCTCTTCATAATAATATTACGAAGCGACTAAATTCATGAATTGCATTTGTAGGCTTCAAAAAAAAAAGAAAAAATGAATTACCGTTGCCAAGAAAATATTTCCAGTACCACCGAGTTTCTTCTTGTGGATTTTCAACAATCACCGGGCTAATCGATGGAGTAGATGAATCCTGAAAATGTATTACAGTAAAAATTTCGCTCAATTTCATTTTCGTTGTTAAATACAAGAGGAAAAAGTTTATATTCCTCAAAAATATAAGACAACTGAAAAAAAAAATTTGTTAATATCAATAGTTTCCATTGAAATTAGTGAAATAACTCACATATTGTAAGTCATAAAATGGTTCCAATCGAAATTGCTTTGCACCACGAAGTTTAGTGGCCGACTGTGATGGATTTATTAGACCAATAGATTTATAGTAACTGTTATGGTGAATAGATCCACGGTACGATAATCGGTTCATTAACGTTAATACAAACTGCAGCAATACAACAATCATTATAAACAAGAAATATCGCATAAAATCTTGCGTCTCGACAAAATTTTTCTTATAAAAATTTCGTGCTTTAAATGAAAATTAATTTTGTTTTTTCTGGAAAAATTTCATTTATCTAATTGAATCTAAAAATTTCGCTTTATCTTTTTCACTATAGAAAGAAATATTGTTTTATCTCACGTTTTCATCTTAATTTTCTGGAATTTCAGAAGAAAGCAATAATTTTCATCATTATAATCGAAACAAAAGAATTTTAGTGGATTTTTCTATTTTTTTATTTTCATTTAATCCATTTTATGATAAAAATTTATCAAAATTTATCAAAGTTTTATGATAAAAATTTTAGAATTTTCTTTAGGGATTTAAAATGGATTTCTCATATTTTGAAATCATTATGCAAATAGAGCATTAAAATTTACAATAAAAAAAAATTTGAATCCAAATTTAAGAAATTTAAATTTATGAAATTAATTTGACTTTAAAATAAATGCCAATATTTTAACAATCGATTCTACGATGCGAATTTTTTTTAAAGAAAATCTCAATAATGCCGTATCGCTGACTATTTATTTAAATAGATTTCGGCCAAGACCATTAGCCATTTGATTGAAATTTCAATAATTCAAAACAATAAACATTGGTGAAAGTAATATTTATGTTTTATAAAGTAATACGCTGAGGTAGCCAATTTCTATTTTCATTTCACCTCGTAATTCCATAAGAAAATTCCATTTAATTTCGTTAACCGCAAAGATACGAAGCGACTATTTCACTCGATAATTTATAATTTAATCGACCTAGCTGGATTAATTTAAATTATTTAGTTTCATGAAAAGAGAGAAATATTGAAAAAAATTTTTTTTCAACAAAATAAACTACACTATAATTAATAATAATAATAATAATAATAATAATAATAATAATAATAATAATAATAATAATAATAATAATAATAATAATAATAATATAATAATAATAATAATAATAATATAATAATAATAATAATAAATAGTAATAAACAATAATAAATAATAATAAATAATAGTAACAATAATGATGACAAATGATAGTAAAAATGGCAAAATGATAAAAATTGCACTTTCTTGCTAAATATTGGTTATTATACTCAATCTATTACCATAAATCTTATCTTTTCTTAGCGTTGCAACAAAGTAACAAGATAAAAAGCAAATTGAGACAAAATAGCCAAGTAACTAGTTTACTTTATTATCGCCTCAAACCAAGCTTATCATTAAAGAATGATCCGGAATGAACTGTTATTATGAATTCATTTATATCGTTAGTCGCTGGCAACATCGCACCAAACTCTACTCATTCATACGGCGAATTATCACCAAAAGAAATATTAAAAAGATATTTAGAGAATGTTAAGGAGAGATTTTTCGTGCAAATTGTTATTTTTTATAAATAAATTTATTTATTTACAAAAAATTTACAAAATTTATTTACAAAAATAAATTTTTTATAAATAATCAAAACTACCGAAATTGAAACGATAAAATTCGAGAAAATAATGGAAAAATAATCGAAGAACCTTTAAGTTATATTTTGTACTTTTAAAACGTTATTAAAACATTGATTTTTTTTAAATTAAAATTTTTCGAAATATTTTTTAATTGCAAAGAAAAATAATTAAGGCAAATTCGCAGCGGCAAATAACCGAAACAGTTTAAGTTCGATGAGTCTCCTCTTTCATAGAGAAAATTCGCATATAATGCATATCACTATCATTATCACTATCACTACGAATAGATTAGTAAATAAATAATATTTTTATCAAAAGTTTGAATTAAAACATTAAGAAAATTATATTATACAGCATTAGTGAATTATATAATCGCCAAAACTTTCTAATTTTTTTCCATCCAAAAACTCATCCACGAATCCCTTTTTTGTAGTAACTTGTTTGCACCATTGGATTTGAAATACTTTTTCAACGCTGTTTTAGTTCATCCAAGAAAATGAAATGTTTTCCCACAAATAGTTTTGTGAATCTAAAAAGTGGAAAAGAGGTGAGACAAAGTCAGAGCTATAAGGTGGATGCAAGTAGAACTGTTTTTTTTACTTGCATTTTGCGTTCTTCCATTGCCGTGTAGCGGTCTTTTTAGTTACTGCGGGCTAATTAACTGGAAATCGTGGAAGCATTTATTTCTTCGATGAATTTATGTGGAATCCATATAGATTTTATTTAACATAAGATTGAATCTTTGATTAAATGTCTATTAAATTTTGGATTTTGAAATTTTAAGTATGGAAGAAAGAAAGCCTTCGTTACCTTTTGAAGGACTGTTGGATCTTTGGTTGTAAATTTAAAATAATATAATATATTAACTAATAAAATAAATAATATATAATATGTAATAAAATAAATAATATTTCTAAATTTCCACATATTCGCTTCATCGCTTTTGAATGCAATTTGTCCATGTTTTTCTTCTAAGAGTGCCCACAATTGCTGGTTCGCTTTGCTTGTTAATCGGGACAAACTTTGTTATTACATTGCCGATACAAATGAATCGCTAATGAATCAACGACGAGTGGAGTTCTACCTGGCATGAATAAATCTTAAAAAATCCGTGATTTACTCCTGCCAGTTAGAACTACATTACTCTTCGTTCGGACGGCATTATTTCTTCTCGCAATTTTATAAGGCATATAAATATTCTCCAGGCCATGAATTATCACGTGGCATCACTGGGCATCACTGAATCATGAGAATAAATTTCATGAAGCACATATTATCACATTATACACAAACCTCAGATCTTTTAACTTTTATTGACCTTTTATTATATGAATTCACTATTTAATTAATGAGAAAAATATTAACAGGATGACCTATTATATATTATATATTGTAAGAAGGTAAAACGAATTATAAATCTGAAGTAAAACGAAGGCATATAAATAAAGGCATAAATGTAGGCTATAGGTCCGGCCATTGTCCAACGATTCATCTGCATTTCTATCGCCATGACAAAATTTGACTAGCCTGGAAAGTCACTGGATTAACCAGAAATAGTGAGCGCTTTTAGAAAAAAATTATTCTAAGTAGATTTTTAAATAAAACAAATTTCAAAATTTAGAATAAAAAATTTTGTAGACGATTGCAGGCACGATTGGAGCAATTACCTCGTACAAATCCAGCACTGTCCCTTTACAGTAGCGCCAAAGGAATAGAGCAAATAATACGATGGTGGTACAGCCAATTTTTTTTTATCATTCGATCTCTAACTTTTTTGGAAATTTAAGTATGCAAAGAACAAATGATTTACTGAAATCTTAATGCCTCAAAGTGGCTAATGGAAACTAGAAACTGAATCGCCTGCAGGCATAAGTACATCTTGTCTCATCCTGCATCCATCTTTTCAGAAGTCCTAAATTTTTGCAAAATTTTTTTACAGTTATGAGGGAATGAAAATTATCTTCCTAAGTAATTCAAACCAGTAAAAATCTATGAAAATTCGGTTGAGCACTACTGGCTTACCAGGTCTTACATAACACTCTTTTTTTTAAGGATCGCTCAATTAGTTCATACTAACTATTCAATTTTATTATTGCTTGAAAAAAAACTGCTTGCTTATCTGAACGATCATTCAAGGTATATATTTCTATCTTAGCAGTTTATTAAAAAAATTATTCGTAAATCTCATGGAAATTCACGAAAATTCCGATTCCTACCAAATTGCCATATTACCACCGAACATATCTATTCTAGAATATTTTGTTCTTCTTCTTTTCTTTTTCCATCGTCTAAGTCCATGTATTGCTGGTCCACCTATACGTTCAAAATCTTTTCTCACCTTATCAGTCCAGGTATTGATTGGCCCACCTCGCTTTTGACGCCAGCCATCACACGGTTTAGCATATAACGAAATATGCGTCAACTCATGTGGTGGACGATAGAGAATGTGCCCTAACCAGCGAAGGCGCAGCTCTGTGATAATGTTATTAATGCAAGTGGTATTTGAACGAAGATGAATGCGACCATGTGATATTTTATCAGCTCGACGGATCCGTAAAATGTATCTTAAACAAGAGTGGTCAAAGGTAGATAGCTGCTTAATGTCCTCCACTCTTATTAGCCATGAGTCATATGGCAAGATCGAACGGATCACGGCTATATAGATGCGGACTTTCGTTTTTATGGTGATTTCACGACGATTCCATAATGGTTTCGTCAACCGGAAGAATGCATTTCTAACTGCCGTGATCCGGGTTTTAATATTATCTTTTGACAGGCCATTTGGTATTAAAGTGGACCCAAGGTATTTAAAATCGGGCACTTCCTCAACTGGCAATGAATTTACAAACAGAGATTTTATCATCTTCTTAAGACGACAATATATTCGTTTTATTTATATTGACTGTGAGACCGATTCTTGCTGCAGTTTCTGACACGTTATTTAGTATTACTTGCATTTTGTTATAACTGTCAGCAAAAAGGACTGCATCATCAGCGTATTCAAGATCTGTGATACGATGCTCTGGACTAATTCGGACACCTCTTGAGTGCCGACAAGCAATGTCCATTATCCAGTCTTTCGCATAATTGAATATTGTGGGGGAAAGACGCAGCCCTGATGGACACCTGTTCTTATTTCGAAGAAATCTGTCAGCTCCCCATATACACAGACCTGCGCCGACGTGCGCTCATAAAATGCCTTTATGAGTCGAATGATTTTCTCTGGAACACCGTCACCCTCCATCACCCTCCAAAGCGCTACTCTATCAATTGAATCAAAGGCAGCCGCAAAATGACTCGATGAAACACGTGACAGTGGGTTGCAAATATCTGAAGCGATGTTCCAACACTTTTCTTAACGTGAATATCTGGTCAACCGCGCCCTGGTCTGAAACCAGCTTGATTAGGGCGCATCCTGCTGTCTCGTACTTCCATAAGTCTGCTGAGTTGCAAGGAAGCAAAAATTTTCGCTGAGACGCCT